TCTCTCCTCAGCGGAAGATCGGCGAATATCGGGAGCTCCAATACCGCCGACGCCACCAACGCCATGCACACCCTTACCGAGTCCTGGTGGAAGAGAAAAACCAGTTGGCCCGCCAGAGTTATCCTGTGCTCCGTGGTGAGGCTGTGGATTCTGCTGATTTGTCACAGCAGCGTCAGGCCCGTATCTCCCGCGAATGACTCCCTGAGACGTTCCATGCTCAACCTGACCGGTGAAGATCCCCCCTGTAGGGGAACATCCGGGGTACGTGTTGATGGTCCCCCTCGGAACTGCTCGTCCGACCACGGGCGAAGACATTGCCCTTGGTGGCATTGGCCCGGCAGCTCCGGTGTGGGAACAAAAACCAGAATTTCCTTGGTGCGGTTCAGGACTCCGATGTGACGGATCTTCACGTGATGGCCCGGATCCAGGATCAGGAGCAGTGCCATCCCGCTGATTTTGTTCAGGAATGCAATCAGGTCCTCCAGGCCCCGCACTGGGGCCCCGATGTTTAGTTTTCCCGTCGGGATCAGCTCTCAGACAACCGAGGCAGATAGGTCGAACACTCGACCCAAATCGACGCACATCGTCAGGCGAAGCGATGTGTTGATCGCAGTACTCGTCCTTGCATATGAGACACCTCACAAGTCCGTGTCTCCCCCCTCTTCCTCTGCATGCGCGGCATCTAGGAAATTGATCGCTGCACTTGAAACACGAGTTACAATCATGGTCAAAGCAGTCCTCGCAGACTGACTTGCCGCAACTTCGGCATGGATAGCGAGGTTCCCGATGCTGTGGATGCCCGGCCTCTTCATGAGCACACCTGGCCCGGTTATCAGGGGCAGCGCCGGCAGCCCGAGCAATGGCCCTCGTTCTAGAGGGATCCCTGCCGGAGATGGGGGCTGATGGTGACGGTGGGGGTGGCCCCGAAGGAGGTGGAGGCGGAGGAGATCTCGTCGAGCTGACTGTGCGAACATCACGAGGAGGAGAACCTCTAGGGGTCCTTCCCTGGGTTAAGGGATTAGTGTCTCCAGATTTTTCCCATGATCCCGTCCCGGCGGTCGAAGCAGCGCCAGCATTTGAAGATCCGTAGGCAGCGGGAGGTTGTTCCCTTATCTCAGCGATCTGCATGTTGATCTCATTGACCCTCAGCACAAGCTTCATAAACTGCTCTTGCATGTCCCTCGGATTGGGCCCTAAGCTTTTGTCATGAAGGTCCTTGACGCACCTAGCAACACGGGACAATTGAAGCTTGAACTCCTCCTGTTTCTGTGAGTTCTCATTGAGGGCTCCGGACACCCTATCACTGAACTGCTTCAGGTCGGTCGCAGGAACGAGATGCTGAATATACGTCTCGACGTTCCCACGGATGGTTCTTTCCCTCGATATGGTTCCCTCAATGTCGATGACACTGCGAGAGTTCGCCTCAACTTCGTCTTTGATTTTCCGAACTTCAGCCTCAAGAGCTCCGATCTCAGAGAACCTAAGGAGCTGGACCTTGACGTTCTCAAGTGATTCGGCCTGCTCGCGAAGTCCAGCAGCAGATGTGACGATCGAATCAGATCTCTCATCATACATCTTGAAACGCTCATTCGTCTCCTTCTCGCTTCGGGCGACCCACTCGTGGAAATCACGGAACTTAGCCTCGTGTTTTGAGAGAGTTCCAGCAACGGCAGAGAAAGATGATTCAACCTTCTTCTCGAAGGCGTCAACACGGTTATTGATCTTCTTGATCTCACCGACGCAAGCGTTGATATCATCCCTACATGAACGAATCTCAGTTCTGCACCCCTGGATTTCGGCCTTGCACCCCTTGACCTCGTTGTGGATCGCGAGAAGCAGTCGTTGAAGCTCAGATGCAACAGGATGGCCGCCGCTTGTGGAGGCAGACGGAGCAGGACGGCTATCAGCGTCATGATCTCCGCGACTATTTTCTTCCCTGTCAGGAGTGCAGCCAGGAGTTCCGATTTGAAAGAATGCGGGAACGAGGGAGTCGTTAACCGGTTGATTCGAAGGAAGCCCTCCATATCCAGGGGCAACGGCGCTAAGTCCAGGCCTCCGGTTCCTAGGCGTAGAGTTAATCCCGTCATCAGTCTCCTTCTCGGACATCGGGGCATTGGAGCTGAGCCCAGACCCCGCAGAGTGGATAGGAACGTCAATAGGGTCGTGATGAGCTGGGGGATTAGATCGCAGTCGGAGAGCAGCTTCACGTCTCTCGGGTGACTCAGAGCTCCTCTTTGTGGCTCGTGAGTCAGTGCCGGTTTGTCCCGACACATTATCAAATGATGATGATCCGCGAAGTTGAGCTTGATCTGGATTAGGCTGAGTAAGATCAAGCCGTTGAGCAACGTCATCATTGAGTGGCTTAGGGGAAAGTACTTTGGCAACGCGGCTCGGCGGGAGCGATGTAGTTCGTCTCTCTGGTGTGACCTCGGCCTCATCGATTACATCAAGGATCCCAGGAATGGTTTCATCATCTTCATTTCCTCTCCTGGGTGGCTGATGGACGGGGATGTCGAGGAGGTCAAATGGAGTGGAGCCAATACCAGGTGTATCCTGCTCGGATCCATCGCTGGTACGGTGGCTGGACTGCTCCTCGAGGTCGATGACGTCGGGGGCGGACTCTTTTCGAGTCTGACGCCGATTGAACGCCGCGAAGAGACCGGCATGGCTTCTTGACGAAGAGGAGGAAGGATTTGGGCCTGCTGTTTCGCGGCCCACATCCGATCGATTAGTACCTGATGTCCGATTTGGCGGATTTGAGCCCGCGTTGTAGCGGTTCGCATCCCGACCTCGGGTACCTGAGGAAAGCGGTGGATTCGGACCAGCGTTGTAGCGGTCCGCATTCCGGTCACGGGTACCTGACAGGTGAGATGATACTGCATCAGGGATGAAGTCCATATCCGCCGGACTGGGGTGATCGTGAATGATGTCAATGTCGGATGAACCTGAGACGGGAGGAGGGCCAGCTATTTGCGGCCAATCCTCAATCGCCCGTTTGCCCACCTCGGGTTGGGCCGAACCTGCAACATGAGAAGGGGAGAAATCTTCAATGGGGTCATTCTCTCCATCATGAGGAAAACCCTGAGTGGGCTCATGCGACGGCAAAACATCAAAGGATCTGTCAATTCGGGAAGGCTGAGACCTCCAATCAGCATCACAAAGGGATTGAAAATCCAGATTCCCAACCGAAACGGGGGCACCCGAGTTAAAGTCGAGCCGACCGAAATCAGGCGGTTTAGCCTGCGATCCACTGCCGAGGAGTTGGTCAAACTGATCCCATGTAAGGGACCATGATTGAGCCGTCTCCGGATGAGCAGCATGATGGATAGCCCGGTCCTCGATCTGGAGCGCCACGAACGGAACGGTAGGCGAAATCGATGAGGGCACCTGATTTGGAGGAACCTCAGCCTCTTCTAGAGGGGGTCCGTCCTCGATCTGGAGCACTGCCGCCGGGATAGGGGCCTCCGCATCCTCATCAAACACAACCTGAGAAAGGATCCAATCGTCCGTGATCACCCCGGGATTGGGCTCTGCGCCCACCATCGGGGGAATGGGCCACAGCCGGCTGTCTAAGCCGGAAGCAGCAGGCGCGGCATTGCCGCGAAGGGCGTTGGCCTCGTCGTCCACGAAGCCCGGCCCACGATGAGAAGCTCCGGGGGACGCCATTGCTCGTACAAGTAGGCGATGGGAGCAGGTAGCGGGTCACGTCCCGCAACCGGATCACCAGCCCCAGCTTCTAGCTGGTACGGCTGATAACCTGCGGTTTTGGGCGGAAAGGGCGTTGCCCAGGGACTCAAAAGGGTTCACGTAATCCACGAAGAACCCAAAGAACCCGGACTCACGACTCAGTGGACTGAAGCCGGTGACCAGGTTGAAGGACGTGATGATTGAGGAAGAGGTGGTTGAAGTGAAGGTTAAACAGCAAGTTGCAAAAGATCACCTTAACCAGGCCCAGGCAAGTCCTGCCGCAGCACCACCTACCTCCTAGCACCAGCCCACCCCAGCGCCGAGAGTCCTTTCTCGGCGACGCAGCGAGATGCCGTGCTATGGCGAGTGCCGTGCTACCAAAACTAACCTGACGGGAGGATAAACTTGAGCCAAACGGCCATTCGGCCGTTTTGACACGTGAACAAAACACACCAACAACAACCATGCGTGACCGCCTGCGCTTGAAGCCGGATGTTTTTTTTGACCGGCATGGAGAGACCCGAAGAGAGTGCCAATCGCTCCGGATCCTGGGGTGTACCTGCGACCCATCCGTGTTGCTACAGCCTTTGACCAAGTTGAACGGTTTGTTCCAATTCCGCAGCCCATACCCCAAAATTCCGGGAAAAACAAAAAAAACAGGCATTGAGAAATTATGGTTAACAAAGGCCTCAGAAACCACAAATTCTAAACAACCCAAGCATCTTGATTTATGGTTAAGGTCCTCAGAAACAAGAAGCAAAACAACTTGAGAGTCTCTTTGCATGCGTGCGCCTTTGCTTTTCTACACCTGGGTTCCCCGGGTTGACTCCTTGGTAGGAATCGGACCGGCCCAACCAAAATGGCGCAACGGCTTCGTTTTGGTGTCGCTAAAGACACAAAAAAAAGGGGGTACCAACTCAAAAAAAGACGAGCCACCCAGATTGCACTTGGATGTTCAACCTACTTCAGATGACCAACCGCCGCACTTCAGGCTTATCGGGGCTCTACAAACAAAATGTTGACACTGGTTAGAGGGGTGTGTCGTTTTTTTTGGGAACCTCCTTTTGCTTTAAGGGAAACAGCAAAGAAACAACAACTTGTTTGTGTCCCTTGAGCCTACTAATCTGGGGGGTATTCCTCCACAAGTGATAACCACTGAAAGCGAACACCCCCTATTCAACCACCACAAGTTTATTCATCCGGACCGTCGGAACCGCAGACCCTAAGTTGAAGGGCAACCAACCCATTTTCTGACTTTGATAACCCAACAAATTGTCAAAATCATGACTCCAAACCCCGGGTCACACCCAAAGCTACGTACCCTCCTTGTTGGCCGCGCCCTCGTCAGCATAGAGACGGCGGCGCTCCTCGCAGGTCCTCTGAAGAGGAGGCTTGGGAAGACGTGGAACCTGAAATGTCCCGGATCCTCTAAAAGTTTGAGTCACTTTTAGTGGTTTAGTGGAAACTTACCATTTCGCTGGCGGCGCAGTGCTGAGTGAGCACGCGGGAAAGGGTGTGCTTGCCATTTGTCTGTGTGTGTGTGGGCTTTTTGAGCGTCTGTTCTCAAAAAATGCGTTTGGCTCCAGCGGAATTTGAGCCGTGTTCCAACTGCCACTAAAACGGACAAGCCAAAAACCTGAGAAGATGGCTGGGAACAACGAAGAAAAGGGGGTCCCTCAAGCAAAGATTCCTCAATTGATACATGGTTGGATGTGTTAACCTGGGAGCTCTACTTTGGAGTTGGTGCACTTGTCATGGTTTGAAGGGGCAACCCCAACAAGGCTCATATTCGAGCCCGGCTTAAGTGTCAAACTAACAAGGAAGATTGAACGAAAATCAAGGAAAAATGGGATCCAATCTGTGGGCACATTAAAGAATTTCCAATAACATCTTTCACATCAGGTACAAATCACTGGCATGTTGCTCCAAATCTTCATCTGCTTGCGGCAAACGGCGCCCATCGACAATTACGCAAATGCACTGGGATTTTGCCCAAGCAACCTCCTCCTGCAAAATGCAACGGGGCCATACTGCCATTGTATCTACTGCAGTGCATCTAACCATGCACGATTACACGTAAAACCTCTGGCGCTCTCTGGATCGCCCCAGGTCTCAACATCTCCCGACTCCCGAATGGCTGCAAAGGCCCCAACATTTGCTTTGATCTGCCGGATATTCTGCAGCTGCCGTTGCACTTGATTGCTGTCACCACCTTGGTCGGGAGCGCCCCAAGTCACAACATCTCCAGATTCCAGAATGCCAGCCAAAGCGAGACCGCCAATAGACGGTGGATCTGCTGGACATTCTTCAGCTGCCGTTGCACCTGACTGCTGTCACCACCTTTACCTGGATGGCCCCAAGTCACAGCATCTTCAGATTCTAGAATGGCTGCAAAGGCCCCAATATTTGCTTGGAGCTGCCGGACATTCTTGAGCTTGTCTCGCACCTGACTGCTGTCACCGCCATGTGCTGAACTGCATCTCCCGACTCCAGAACAGCAGCAAAAGCGCCACACAAAGACGATTGGATCTGCTGGACATTTTTCAGCTGGGCTTGCACTTGACCGCTGTCACCGCCTCTGTCTGGAACCCCCCCGAAGTAACAACCTCGCCCGATTCCAGAAGGGCTGCAAAAGCCCAAGCAGTCGCATTGATCTGCTGGACTTTCTTGAGTTGCCATCGCACGTGACGGCTGTCACCGCCGACTTCTGGACAGCCCCAGGTCACAACATCTCCCGATTCCAGAATGGCAGCAAAGGCGCAGCAAGTCCCCTGAATTTCCTGGACATTCTTTAGCTGACTTTGCACCGGACTGCTGTCACCGCCCCTGTCTGACATGCCCCAGGTGACAACGTCGCCGTGGACGTGCAAAGCAAATGCCCATGCAGCCGCCAGCTTGACAGGCTGAAAAGCTGCTGCAATTACATCCTCACTTTATAAGCCCGCCTGACTGAGAGTGGCTGCCAAATCAAGTCGCCGTCCTTTTGCGGTCAGCTTCAGAAAGCGGCGCCCAACATGCCGCTGGACCGCAACCTTCAGCTCGCTGACAGGGGACTTCAGTGAGAGCCATAGCGAGCAACCTGTGCCACTTGGCAAATGGACCTTCACTTGCATAGCACTGCTCCGCGCAAGCGCTTGCAAGATCTTTGGAATCCACCTAGCGGCTGGGTGCCGTGGATTGCGAGCGAGCCAGTCACAGAGCATTGCAAGCCCACCGACCAAGCATTGCAAGCATGAGAGCACAAGAGTTTGGGCTGTCCCGAGTCCCTAGAGCCACAAATCAAAAACTTCGGATCAACATGGTCCAAACCATCTAAAGGCCGCACTTAGTTCTGGCTGGGACCTGACTACCTTCACGTAATGTTGACCCCATATAAATCAACCCCAATTATTTTCGGGCCCTTGGTTTAGAGGGGAATCATCACTTTCGGAGGGGCCCCCACCCCGAATAAACTCGGGTAAATTCATATGGGGCCATTTGGGCCTTCTTGCCTCGAATCCGCCTGGCGGTATCAAGGAACACCACCGAGTCAAACCAAATTTCGAGAACCCCAAGCAATGATCATCGATCCCAACCCAACGAAACCCTGGAAGAAACAACATTTGCAAGCAGAGGTTGGAGACATCCATGGGAACTGCTTTGGGCACGCCATCCCATTTTGTTCACAGAAAGTGCTTCCAACACTTCGATGTTCTAGGATGTGTCTAATTAATGAAGGCAAAACATCAACCAGCAATTCCTGCAACTGGACCTCGCCGATCTCAATTGAGGTATCCTAATGGAAGGCGACTTGGGGAGTTCGCTACTTTGGACATAGCCAGCAGGTCCAGGGGTTGCGGCGTCGGGCCCTCGTTTTCATGTTGTACAAATGTTTGTTGAGAAATCAAACACGCTATGTGTGTGTGTGTGTGTTGGGTCCTGTACTTCAAAAAGAAAGCCTGCTTGTGGCGGCATCAAAACGGGAGTTCTGCACTTTGACACACTCCTGTGGAAGCTTTGCATGCTTGATAGAATGGCATTTGACTGTTTGGAACGGTGTTTGGCTTTTGCCTTTCTCTTTGGTCAACAATACAACTCAACCCAAAATGCCCGGGCAACGCATTCAACATTTGCTTGCGTTAATCTTGTTATTTTCCCCAAAAGGGGGCAAACCAGAGCAAACGGCAAGATTCCGACACCAGCACAAGGGCTCGTAATTCAAATGGTCAAGACTCCAAAGCAAAGAGCATGCATCTTCTCCTCTATCCTAGCCTTTGTACTCACCCTAATTCGGAGCACCTCCGTTTTGGGTGTGTCTTGTTTTGAGCGGTAACCCTTTGTTTGTGGTTTTGAAGGAAAACAGAAGGGACAACCATTTTCTCACTTCCTGAGCTGATGGTCAAACAAGAAGTGCAAACTGCTTGCTTACACCCAAAATGGTCCAAACCCAAAAGCGACAAAAGTCCACAACCTCAAAGAGTGGGGGTGGTTTTGGCCGCAGGATAGGTGCGTACAGTTCAGTCGAAGACACGAAGACGGGGTGGTTTTGGCCGCCGCGATCGGTCAGACACGAAGACACGACTTGTCTCCGTCCTCTGCTGGGCCACCCTCTGCAAGGCCCAAGCGAAGAGCCCGAGGAAAAGGTTGAAGAGTAGGGGCCAGGTCCTCGATTGAGAGGATTAAGAGACCTCCCTGGGATTGAAACCATGCAAAAAAAAATGGTTGGGGTTCATACTGTCTAGGTCCTCCAGTAGAGAGGGTAGAATAAGGGTACCCAATTTTGTTCTGTGATCTCTTTTAGTAGGGGAACACTCCCCCCCAAAAAAAGGCAAAAGGATGTATAAGGGGCACTGCTGGGGGACCTAACCACTCTGGGATTGAAGCCATGCAAAAAATAGTTGGGTTCATACTGTGGATGGTGACGAAAACTATTTCGCACCACCTTAGAAACCATGGGTGAAACCATGGGTGAAACCATGGTTTCTTGGTATTTGCAGGGGACTAAAGACTCATCATTCCGTAGGGTTTCTGAACGGTGCAAAATCGACTTCGCAACCATACACAGTGTACGCACCTAAATAAGTGATGTGCGGGTACCTGGAATGCACCGCATGTGCAGGAAATCTTACCATCTACCCGCATAGGTTTACCGGACCGGATTCTTCTCATCTAAATTGGGTCCCACGGACCCCCGTTTATGGGGTCCCGGAACCCTAGAGATTCCCCGGGTCTCGGAACCATTGGGCACTTGCTTGGCGATTTCAGGTGCGTTTGCCCTTCCTGGAGAACCTCTCATAAGCTCCATGCAGCTTCCATAAGTCTATCAGATACCCGGGCCCCGAATTGGTTCACATTGGTGGCTTCGGGAAATGGACCCTGGTTCTTTTAGACAAGGGTAAATGGGAAACTGCCCATGTACAACCCCCAAACCAACCGCGGCCTTGCTGAATAGAGTCTGAGAGGACCCAGGGCAAAAGCTATCGGTACATCGTCCAAACTTTGGCTACCAGCTGTGGGAAATACAACTAAAGGTATGCAAACATCGGTGACCTTTTGGCAAACATGGATGGGAACTAGTTTTCCTGGTAAACGGAACCCATCGAAACCAGCGGAGCCCATCGTCTATTTTTAACCAAACCGATCAAAAGGACACCTGTTCAAATGTAGTCTCAACTGCGTGCCCCCCAGCACATGCCCGGACAGTTTGTTTCTGGCTTTCCTGAAGCTATGTCTTGCAAAACGCGAGCACTGCCTTTCAAGTGCGCGTGCGTGTGTGTGCCTGTTCCTTCCCTTTTAGGCAACTTTCAACTTTTAGACTTACCATTTAATGTCCTGCTTGGCCTTGTTTTGCGGGACCATTTTGGTGGTGTCTGAGGGGGGGTCCATTCACCCACCCTCCCTTTTGAATTGTGTAATGCCAAGGTGGGTTTCCCAGGATGACTTGTCTCTTCTTGAGTTGGTACGCCATGATTGTTGATTTCAAAGAGAAACCAAAAGGAAAGCCACCATTTCTTTGGGGGTCTCTAAAAAAGAGACACACCCATGTCTGGTTCATCACTTTGAGGGTGGGTCTGTGACCAGATCATCCATTGCTCACCCCCGTCAGTCCAGACGGGTGTGACCAGCACCAGATAGGTCCACCACAAGATCAGCACGGGGCTCAGCATGCCCTCGCGCATCTCGTCCATCGCCGCCTCAGCTCATGCCATCGATCCCTCACTTGTGAGCGCTCGTTGGAGCTAGAGACCCGGGCTGCCCTCAGATCCCCCACTAAAAACTTAACCTCTATAGTGGGTCAAATGGAAACTACCACACACTAAAAGGCCTTTGAAGGCTAAGGAACCGGATGGCTGGTTGAGCCACCAAGAAACCTGGTCCCTTTGCCACACCCAATACCAGTGTTCGACCCGGCCGATTGTTGTCCTTCAAGTTCCAAGCCGTGGAGAATCGCTCATCTCGGGCCGGTGCTTTCTGGACCGTCGCAAAAAGAAATCGTCAAATGGATGCTTCCATGCTGACCAAATTCCAAGCTGAAACCCAGCTTCACGAGTAGAGTTAGGCCCAGTTATAGAATGTATGGTTTATTGTTTGCTTCACTTTGAGTCACTGGTAAAATGTACAATGTATCCTAAGTCTACCCCAGGTTTGGAGTGAAGAGAAACCAAATGGGACACAAACTGCAGGATGGACACTAGGCCCCGAAGACAGAAACGGACTATGGGGGGGCTTAAAGCAACATTACGTCAGAATCATGAGAGAAATGCGAGTGACTATTCAGCCCCTTATATGATCTTGAAATGGGGTGGTTCTCCAAATGACGCTGAAAAGGCGGCACCAAATGACTCTAGGGGTACAAAAAGGCTCCCCCATTTTCGACAAGGTTCCCGCGCCATCTACATCTTGAAAGGCAAGGATGATTAGCTTGCAACACTGGCTCCGGTCGCAGGAAGGTCTTGGAAAACGTCTTTCCTTTTGTGAAAGCCTCCCTGCACTTCCATTGGAAAGAGAATAAGCGGAACAGTTTAATATCAGGGTGTTCCCCTCCAAAAGTGGTCTGAATCCCCACATTTCACCCAGGGAACCCCGCTATCAAAATAAACCGGGATTGATGTTCTCTGGGGCGTTGGCCCCCCACCCCCACAGTCCCCAGTGCTCCTCTTGCCTTCCACTGATCCATCTTCAGGGCGAAGCTGATCCGCGCAATGGCCAGCCCCGCCGCGCGGATCACGCTGAAGGGGTCGCTCACGTGGCCTCCGCGAGCCGCGGATGCGAGCCGCGAAGGCAAGGGACAGGGGGTGTCTCTAGAAAGTGCAAATAGCTCGTTCCCCTAAACGCACTTCCCGAGTGGCTATCGAGAAAAAAAAGAAAAAAGAAAAAAAACAACTTTCTAGTTGCCACCAAAATGGTCCGAAACCCAAAGAGTTTAAGTCCAGGAACTCAGGAAGTGAGTAAAGGCAAAAAAGGGTGCCCTAGTGTCGAGACAGCACCAAATGACAACCCTCGAATGGTTCAGGGCTTCGACTTCCCTGCTATTTCCTCCAAACCAATCCTGAAAATGGCTGGCTCCAAACAAATACGCGGCACACGAAGCACATCAAACGCTACCCATGCCTGCTTCACATAGCTGTGGTCAAAATTGGAGGGGTCGCTACGGTACACACCCTCTAGCTTGGTACACCCTAAGTTTAAGTTTTGCCGCCAATGTCACCTTCCATGAATCTGGGCTGCCCTCAGATCCCCCACTAAAAACTTAACTAGTGGGTCAAATGGAAACTACCACACACTAAAAGGCCTTTGAAGGCTAAGGAACCGGATGGCTGGTTGAGCCACCAAGAAACCTGGTCCCTTTGCCACACCCAATACCAATGTTCGACCCGGCCGATTGTTGTCCTTCAACCCCAGGTTTGGAGTGAAGAGAAACCAAATGGGACACAAACTGCAGGATGGACACTAGGCCCCGAAGACAGAAACGGACTATGGGGGGCTTAAAGCAACATTACGTCAGAATCATGAGACAAATGCGAGTGACTATTCAGCCCCTCATATAATCTTGAAATGGGGTGGTTAAAAAAGGACGAAAAGCTAAGGAACCAAGGAATCCCAAGCTCCCCAAGCTCCCCAAGCTCCTCCCCTCCGCCCCCCCTCCCCCAGCTCCCTCCCTCCCCGTTTCGACCCCTCCTTTCGACCCCTCCTTTCGACCTCGCCTCGGATCACCGTGGCCGGGAGCTCCCCGCGAAAGGGCTGGAAGTAGAGCTGCGCGGGGCTCTGCTTCAGCTCCAGCGACAGCTTCAGGGTCACCGTGCCCAGCTCCTCCTATCCATTGGCTTCATTCAGCGGAGAAAGAGACAAAAATATTTCCAGGAGTGAAATCGATCCCCTCTAAAACCAAGAAGGGGAAAACGCCTAAAACCTACTACTAATCATTTCCAGTACCTGGAGTCTCCATGACCTTTTTAAGAACAGGTCAACGACCCCATGATTTTGGGTCATGACCCCCATTTTTACAAGGTCATGGAGACTCCAGGTAGTGATGGATTCCCTTTAAAGCCAACAAGGGAAAAGCAAACATATTAAAACAAAAATACTCCTAAGCAACTGCAAGAAGATAGACTTGAAGACTTAAACGGGGTTGATTCCCCTGGGTCCCTCGTCTCGTCTCCCCCGAACCGGGCGTCGTGTTGCTTGACGGCAACACTGGCGCGATCCGCGCGAGTCGTAAGTCACCGAGATCCGGGTGGACTGAACCAGTCTTGGGGAGTCCCAAATAGGAAGCCATGGCTATGCACGGCTTTTGTTGGGGCTTTCCAACTCACCCGACATCCCGGATCCCAGTGACCGGGATCCATGCAAGCGACTGGTCTTTTTATGAAAGTTGTAAATGCGCCACTTGGAGACCAAAAAACATGTGAATGGATCCACTGAGTTTACAACGCAACAATACGGGGACTCCAACGGGGCATTCACTAAACGGGTTTGTGGATGCCCCGTTCAGGGCATCTTGAAACAATACAAGAACATAACATGTTCAAACAACTCAGCTACAGCTCAGACATGTTTTAACAACTCATAAGGGAGAAACCACATGCACACATGATTGTCATATGACAGTGACCTAAATGGTTGAATCGTACCCCAACTCCCGTTCCAATGACTTAGGCCTCTGTACCGCTCGACCGGTGTGCGCTCATGCGATCGGCTCGATGCCCCATGCGCAAAAAGGCGATGAACTGGTGATTCAGCGATTCTGGCAGCGCTGTGGCGAATTTGGAAAGAGAGAAGGGATGAAACTAATATGAACAAACCAGCACCCTCCAAGGGTGGTCCATTTGTACCTGCAGTGCTCTTGTGTGAGCCCTTTTGGGTACAAATGGACCCTTGGAGGGTGCCGGAAGATCGCCGTCTATTTGTGTATCCGCTTGAACAAAAAAACACAAAACATCAGTGAGCAATTAATAGTAGTGCTGGACATGCCCGCGCCCTACTGGATCGATGCCCATGGTTTGTGGGATCCAAAACAAACTTGATATCAGGGGAACCAGCGAGGGTCTACGTTGGAGGGGGCATGATTCTTAGGACCCTAACCGAAATCAGCATTCGCTGAAACAAGCACCATGACAATATATGTCCAGATGTGCTTGTTGTACAATCACAGGCATGACCAGAAATGACTAGACATGAAATAAGATGATATGAGGGAAAGAGCAAAGGATGAGAGCACGACAAGAAATGAACAGGCCATGACGAGAAATGAACAGAAGAGACCAGACAAGAAGGAAATCCTTCCAGTACTGCTAGTGTTCTTGTCTGGGCAGTATGATTCACTACCTGTCCGTTCCTACCACATGTCCTTGCTCAGATCAGAACACCTGGGCGATTCTTGCGCCCCAGTGAAGGCTCCGACCAACATGCAACCCCTGTGACCAGACTCAGTTGCTTTCTGCTCCCCTGCTAAAAGTTTAGCTTTTAGTGCAATGGAAAACCCATTAGTTGCCAAAAAAGTAAAGTCCTAACATCCAAGCAAAATGCACCAAAGCAAAAATCCCCAAAGTTCAAATTTGGTCCCGGTGCCAAGCCGACTGAAATATCGAGCATTCCGATTTGTGGCTTCTTTTCGGAGGCTAGCCGTGAGTTTATCTCTCAAGTTGGAGAAAAACAACGAAAACGCGGCCGCTGCGTTTTTTTTGGGGGGTTCCCATTTGAGACAAGCCCAGGCTTGCAGTTGCTTGGAATGTCCAGGGTCAACACACCACCCACATTGGCAAAGGACCGGCCGAACAAAAATCTGAACTGTTTATTTGTTGCCAACATGGTCCAAACCCAGTGACCAAAGTCCAGGAACTCAGGACCTGACTTCCCGAATGAAGGACACCAGTTGGATGGCTGCAATCGGGGTCATTCCATTTCTCATTCCTTGGCTATCGCAGCGGCAAAAAAAAGAGCCGCCTCGGTCAGGTGATTTCCGTAGCCAGGGGGCCTTCAGCCTTCCCCTCCAGATCCCAGGACGCCGTGACAGCGCCGCCCTTCTTCTTCCATTTGCTTAAGACCCCCCGACAAAAAGAATGCAAATATTTCCAGTAGTGAAATCGATTCCCTTTAGAACCCACCGGGAAAAAAAGGAAATAGTCTTCAGCAAATGGAAGGTTTGGGGTTTTCATCCATCCCGACTGGTGGGGATGTGATATAGAGTCAGGGGAAAATACAATTAAAAAACGAAAACACATCACCAAGTGGAAGTCAAAGCCGAGTCGAAGCCGAGCAGAAACGCCGCGGCCGCGTCGCCTGCGGGCGCTTGGCCCCGGTGACCTCCCCGGGCTCCAGCTTCCGGCCGCTGCGCACCAGGGCCAAGGGCAGCAAGTTCAGCACCACCCGCGCCTCGAACCTCTCGCGAGAGAAAAACCCGGAAAACCCGGCAAAAAAAAAAACGACCAAAAACGAGAACCCCCCCCCAAAAAAAAACAACAAAAAAGCCGGAGCCACCCGGCGAACCCGGGGTTTGCCCCAAAAAAAAGGAGAGGAGAAAGCGATAACCCCTCAAAAAACCTGCCGGCGAACCCGGGAATTTGCCCCAAAACAACGAGAGGACAAGGCGAGAACCCCCCCCCAAAAAAAAAGCCGAGCCTGCCGGCGAGCCAGGTTGCCAAACAAAAAAACGAGAGGACAAGGGGAAAGAAAGCAACTTGGGGTTCTTTCTTTACTGGAGGCGGCGGCTTTTCGGTGGAACCAACAAATTGGGTTCGAGATCCTGCGGTTTCTTTGCATAACCGAAATGGAGATGTCACACGTATGGTTCTCACAAAAGAGATTACATTCGAGGTGTGTACCATGCATAACCCATGCACAACCGCACATTGTATGTCCATTCGGGTCTGTTTCTTCAAAACAGATGCACACATGTTGGTCTGTGTTTTGTTTGTAAAAAAGTATGTACACCTTTTTGGTGCAAAAAGAAACCAAAAGGACAACCACCATTTTGGTGAGTCCGCTAAGCAAAGACACACCCATTTGGGGTATGGCGATCGTTGGCCCGAAAGAATGCCGTCTTAGACTTAGAAGCCTCCGGTTCCTACTTGGGTCCCCATGTTTGTTGGTTTCCCGAAGGGTTTCGGTTTGAATAGCGGTGTTGTTTTATATGTGTGTCCTTTTTGTAGGGGACCCCCAAAATGGCGGTTGTGTTTCCTCTTGGTGTCCCATGAAAAACCACCAAAAGGGTACCATGCAAGAAAAGAAGAAAACAAACATATACGATTCCCCTTTAGTCTCCCCTTACATTTGGTTGCGCCTTTGGCTGCCACTTAGTTCAGGTACTTCCAGAAGCCCCCCTTGTCAGGTTCCATGATGTTAATTAGTGGGAGGGCAAATGATGTTGTATTTTTCTCAGTGCTCAGAAAATCCGAAACCAGACAACCCATCAAAAGAATGCCATGGGAGCAGAATCAAGTACTGAAGAGAACTGCCGAATTTCAGGGATTCTGCCAGGGTTTTTATGTCCTGGCAGACGTCCTATTAATTGGTCGTGCCCCCCTCCCGAAAGTGGTCAGGCAGGCACACCCACTACTAATCAACCAGATGTTTTTTCATCTGGGGACAAAGTTAAACGGAAAACTTCAGGAAGCCAATTGAGCCTGCAGGATCCATGGAATTCCTCCAACTAGCTCCAACTATTTGGTCCTCCTCATGAAACGAAAGGCTACGGCTGCGTGTTGTTCGTAAATGTCTATACATGCCCACAACATGGTACATCCAATGACTTCGCTTTGGTCCAACCTGTAGGGACATGCTACTCAAGTCCCGGCCTGGTCTGTGAGAAGCTACTCTTGAGCGTGCTCTGTGCGTCGCGCTCCAGGATCCTTGGGGCTTCCACTCCAAGATGGTGGCACGGCTTTGAAAGGTATGGCTTCAGAATACTTGTCATGTCTTGAGCAAAAAGCATGTGGTGCGGGTTTTGGCTCACACATACAAGACACCAGCTTCGAATGTTCCCCAATCATGGCAGTACGAGCTATTGATTCCAGCTACGCCCCGATTTTCTGGTATTGCGATCCATTTATTCTTGCATGTCCGACCCTCCCTAGCGCCTAGGCGAGCGGTGATCAAAATCAATATGCCAAATTACGATGATATCATTTGGCGCTTCCGCGTGCTTCCGCGCGCTTCCGCGCTGCGGATGTTTGCTTCCGCGCTCTCATTTCCCTTCCGCGCCTTCCGCGGCTTGCGTCTCTTTCTTGCCAAGCCAACACAACTAGATATTGAGCTTGTTTTCCACACCCCGCCGTTTCTTTCGCGAAAAGCGTTGCCAACAGGATCACTGCAGCGCCAATATTGATTCACGCGGGCCTGGCAAATTGTTTTTGATGTCCTTGAGTGGCTGCAGCTTAACGGGGTTTGAACCTCGACTTGTTGCCTCGTATCCTGGGAAGTCCGGGTGCTCTACCGAGTCACCACGTCGTTCTGTGAAACAAGGGCGCCTGGATAGAACAAGGAGAAAGGCAGCCAGCCAACGCCCAAAAAGCCGTGAAGGGTAAGCCCCGCACCAAAGCTTTCCCCTTGTGCTTGGGGCTGCTCCCGCAACAGCATGGTAGTGGGTGGAAGACCAAAGGGGGCAAGGCAAAGGGAACTGTAAGAACAAAAGCCAAAGAGGCGTGAAGCGGCAAACTCGACGCTGACTAGACGGCTGTAGCAAATGGTTTATGGGTCCCATACTCAAAACGACGCTGAAACGCGAATCCCAATAGATTTCCAACGGCAAACGTGAAGCCTCACGACACACCGCGGCTACGATTCCCGGACAGGGCCAGCAAGAACAACACATCACACACAAGTCATCCAAATCACGGAACCCTTCCGCGGTCCTTCCGCGCCCTTCCTCCAGTGTTCCGCGAATTGATTGTCCACATCAATCTCCAAGCATTTTAGGCCCGGGAAGCAAAAACGATTTGTTCGGCCCGAACAAATCGTTTTTAGGCCCGGGAGCAAAAACAATTTGTTCGGCCCGAACAAATCGTTTTTAGGCCCGGGAGCAAAAACGATTTGTTCGGCCCGAACAAATCGTTTTTAGGCCCGGGAGCAAAAACAGCGCAGAAACAACTTCGGTTCAATTGAAAAGTAAATGTCGGCCCAGCCGGCCATCTTGGCAGAGGCTTCCGTGGTGACTTGGAAAAACACTTTGGCCTGCCCACGGAAGAGGAAGAGGGCTCGAATTCCCCGCAGCGCGCTTCTTACGGGTGACGGCCAAAACAGCTTGTGAGGCCAATGCCCGAACAAATCGTTTTTACGCCCGGGAGCAAAGGCCCCGGGAGCAAAAACGATTTGTTTAGCCCGAACAAATCGTTTTTAGGCCCGAAAGCAAAAACGATTTGTTCGGCCCGAACAAATCGTTTTTACGCCCGGGAGCAAAAACGATTTGTTTGGCCCGAACAAATCGCTTTTAGGCCCCGGGAGCAAAAACATTTGTTTGAGATTTCTACACCTTTTGACGCTCCAAAAATGTTCCCCTTCCGCGCCCTTCCGCTGCGCAAATTTCGTAGTCAACTTCCGCCGGCCCTTCCGCAAGCTTCCGCGGCCTGCAAAAAACCTTCCGCGCGGATTGATTTCAGCGCTCCCTTACTTAAATTGTTTTGAGCATTTTTGATCGCTGCTCAGGCAGGTTCAAAGCCCAAAGCTGTTGGCATTTCCAGGTGGCCTTTGGAGCTATGGGTTCTTGCCGGTAGCATGACTGTCAATTGAAGACCCTGACATCGCAATTCGGGGATTCAGGTAACGAACCACAATTGGAGGTGGTCCCCCAATAAACAAATCCATGTACACCAGTCGAAGCTTTTCAGGCACTTGTGCCAAGAATTCTCCATACCTCAAGGCTCTCCCTCTGAAAAGTCCCATCACCTAGGGAAAAAGGGAAAGTATTCACCCCTAACCACGTTTTTCGGGTACATGCCCAATACGTAATGAGTGCTTTCCAGGCCCAGCACTTGACCCCGAAGGGAGGTCGTTCGGTCGGAGTACCACATTCTTGGTGGCTTGAACCCAAAGGAAAACCACCCTTTTGGGGGGTCCCCTAAAGAAAGACACACCCAAAGGGCCAAATGGATCAAGATAGTGGGCAATCCTTCTGGAAGTATTTTTCGACTTGTCGAGCCTTTCACGGGAATCGGGAGATCTCGACATCAAGGCCCGAGTAGCGGTTGCGACTGGACTGGGCTGTCAGCTAAAAGTTGATCACTCTTAGTGGGTTGAATGGACGCCCGACCACTCAAAAACTTTAAGGAACCGGATGACTGGGAACCTCCAGCGGGATCGGTTTTTGGATTGCCTTGACTAAATAAAGACATCAACACGTGATCTCATTTGGCTAAAGGCCGCTCCGATACTTCGACCTGAACACGCACTTCCCAAAAGACGTTTTTGCTTAGCCTTTCGGGGGGCAAATTCGTCTGGCGTTCAAAAATACGCGCCGAAGCATCTAGTAGACTGTCCTGGGGGAACATGAACCTCCAGCTTACCCCTTAAAACTCCAAGCCCTGGGGAAGTTAATATTTTACAGAAATATTGCCCATGTTACCCAAAAAGTTGAAAAGTTGTGTTTTTCAGAGGTAAGCCAGTGAGCTGGGTTTTGGCCAGGCCCGAAATTTCCGTGACTCCAAAAGGCGGTTGCGCGTTGCAACGGTTGGGACCCAACAGATCTTGGAGCGACGAAAAGCAGGCAACCATATACCAAAGGGCTAACCTACTTTGTTGGGCATCAGGAGAGCGAAATCCGTTTGTTTTCTTTTTTTTCCCCCTGGTGTTTCGTGTTTCTGCACCGACCTCCAAGCAAGAGGACTTTCCGCTGTCCCCAAATCCCCACGGCTAATGGTCCATGTTCAAGCAGTAGGTATGTAGTGGATCAATAATTTGCCTTGCCAACCTTGGGCATGAATCCCCAAGGGTGGGAAAACTCTGGGAGACGCTCTTGGCTGGTTCCTTGGATTGGTGGAATCCCCCAGGGGCAAGCCCTGCCAATCGCGTGCGAAGGTCATACACGACGATCATGACCCATGAGCCCTCTGCAAGCCCCTTTGTCCTATGGAGAACAGCGACCCCATGCAACCGATTTCCCCTTTCTGACGCTCAAGCAAAACAAAAGGGTTCTTGCCGTTCCAAAGTTTTCCCAGCTGAACACTTCCCAACCAAAATCCCTGCTTCCTTGGCTGTTTGGAGTCGAATCAGTAGAGGTGTTCCTTCTTGGCTGGTTTGCCCATGCCTTCCAATCCCCCGCGCCAATCCAAACCACCAATTTAGGGTTACCTGCATTCAACCGGGAATCGGAGGTGTTCCGGGCTGCCCATGCCTTCAACTCCCCAGCGCCAAGCGGCTTGTTCGTGTTAAGTTCAGCCCACACCGATCCCTTTAGTTGGGAGCAGCCTCGACACGATGGTCAAACCGCCACACTTCTGGCCAATCGGATTTCTATCTTAGCAACCACGTTTACGCCTTTTCAACTCCCAATGAATAAAGCAAGGAAGAATCTAAAAAACACCTCAGGAATCCAGGAATCTTAAAAACACCGAGGACGCATGACTATGACTGGGCCCAACAAAAGGCTGAAGGAGCTCGCCAAACTGAAAGTCTGAGAGGATTGGGCCTACCCTCGTTCAGCCGTTGAGGTGGGGGTGTTGTTCTTTCTTTTTTTTAAGGGGGAGCACCCCCCAAAAAAAGAATGGCCCAACGGCTTTCCTAGTGGTTTCGATTTAACACCACCCCAAAAAGGAGACCTAGACCCTCAAACTATCCACAAAAGATGGACAGTCACCTCATATGTTTCGGCCACAACTCGCCACTTTTAAGGGAAGTCTAGGGTCCAGGTACCCTCAAAGCCACCCCAGGCGTTCCAAAGGTGAATTTCCCCCTGCCCCCCTCGATTCCGAGCAGCGCCGTCAAAGGCACCGCGCAGCCCCCGCAGAAGGAGGCGTCCTCCATGCCGATGTCGAACTTGGACCCCGCCCTGCCAGCTTCGATGGTTCAAAATCTTCAAAGATCGATGGGGTTCACTGGTAGCTGGGGCGAAGAAAACAACGCAGCTCAACGTCTCAACCGGTGGAGGCCGCCGGTTCTCTGGGCTGTCCGTCTTCAGATCCCGATCTAAAAGTGAATCCCTGTTCGCGGGCTTTTTCTGGAAAACCAAACGCCAAACACAAAAAGGCCTTTGAAGGCTAAGGAACCGGATGGCTGGGAGCCACCAAGACATCGTTGGGTTTCACGAAAACTTGGGGCGAACAAAATCCCCATCGAGACCAGTGGAACCCACCTGGGGACCTGTGAACCAAACTTGGTACATGTGGCATAACTGAAACTCATCCAAACCAGATCCGTCTATTTTTGACTAAGCCAACCGAAAAAGGACACATATGGCGAATGGCTCTCAACATTAGAACCCTACAAGCTTGCCAAAGATCAGGGGCTTAGGCAAACTTCCCGATGTTTTCTAGAGTTCATTTCTTAGACAAATCCAAGTCCCCACAACATCATCAAACTTCTCCTACCGCCCCCACGCCAACCCCGGTTGTGGTCTGTTGCGCGCGATTGTGATCTGCATTGTGTAGCCCAACCAGGAACAAGAGGAACAACAGCCGTCTCATGGCCCTTCGTGCCAAGGTCCGCCATGTTGACCTTCGTGTTCACTGGCTTCACTCGCAGTGGAGAGGTTTGAATGAGGTACCAACTTCTGCCTGTAGTCTATTTTTGTAGGGGAACCCTCCCCCAAAAAAGGGTAAAAGGGCACTACTGGGCGACCTACTTCAGCGATCTCACATGTTGTCTGACATGCAGCTTTCTTAAAAATGACTCTTTGAGCCCGAGTCCAGTCGGAGTTCTGGACGAGAGATGGCAAACCCGCGGTCTCTATCTGTGGAGACCCCCTTTGTGGCTTGCTTTGAAGGGAAACCCAAAGAGAACCGCAAAATATTTGCTGGGGATCAGCCCCAGCATTTTTGCACCCCTTGTTGTTCTCCCCGTGCCTTTAGCCAGGCTCTTCGAGTCCCACCTGTCTGAGTATTGATCCGACCCCCAAACAGTTGTAAACCAGGGGTCATTGGATTTCCCCAAGGGTTCTTGCAGTTTTACTGGCAGTTTCCATGGAAACTGGCAGTTTCCATGGAAACTGGGACGTGGAGGAAACCCTGTAAACTTGTTGCTAAGGACAACTGATTCGGAAACCTGGGCAAAATGTTCAGGTCGGCGATCCGTCTGGCCAGCAAGCATGTTCGGGTATCAACAGGAATAGGACCTGTTGTGTTGGGCTTAGCGTTTAAGTTTTTCCGGTTTGGGGTGTTTAGGATTTAGGTTTATGGTTTAGGATGTTTCGGGCTTACATTTAGGGTTTTCAGGGTTTAGGTGTAGGGTGTTTCGTTTCGGGCTGGGCTTAGGTCTCGGGTCTTTTGGGGGTTTGGGGGTTTTAGGGTTTTTGTTTGGGGTGTTTTGGGTTTAGGGCTTAGGGTTTAGGGTCTTGAGGGCGTAGGTTTAGGGTCTTTAGGTTTAGGGTAGCTAGGGTTTTAGGTTTAGGGCTTTTAGGGTTTACCTTCCGCAGACGAGTTTGCAAGTTGGGCTAAGGGGCTACCCGGACCCTCGTCGGAGCTTGGTCAAAACACCGACCCTGAGGGCAGCACTTCGCATTTGCGGCCAACCCGTCCCGGACGCTGGCAAACTGGGGCACATGGATTGGCCGTAGGACGACCCAAATCGGGGTTTCGCATTTTGAGAGCGACTGACGTGGAGCATTCACCTTAGAAACAAAGTACCCTTTTTGGTGTGGTGTCAAAGGAAATACCATTTCGCCCTTTTGGGGAGTCCAACCTCGAAAAAGACGAGCCACCCACTAGGTCCTCCAGTAGAGAGGTTAGAATAAGGGTACCCTTTTTTCTGTAGTCTATTTTAGTAAGGGAACCCTCCTCAAAAAAAGGTAAAAGGGCACTGGTGGGCCTAGCCCAATTGTCACCGACTCGGGTTCCAGAACCAAATCTCCGCCTATCGTAGGTGTAGACCCCCAAATCTGCGCCCACCACATGCCTCACCTGCCAGCGAGCGATGCGACTCTACAAAATGGCTGCTTACCTACCTGATAGGCAAATGATGGCGTCGGTGTTCCTTTTGCTCCCAGAACAGAAGCAACCCGGCGGACCGAAATCCGCGCTCGCGTTGCCGCTTTTCTGAAAAAACTTGCGTTTCACCTCAGCGAAACGCACATTAAATCCCCTAAAAACCTCCCAAAAAGAGGGCTCAGTTTTAGAGGCGTTTTGCGTTTCGCTGAGGCGAAAAGCAAATTGTATCGCCCATTCCCTGCCTTCTCCTTTTTCACATCTATGCGATCGCTACAACAGCTTGCTGCTCCACATCTCGATAGCGCAACTGCCAAGACCTTACATACAAGAGGAGATGCGGGCTGCACGAAGGCAGCGAATTCGGGATATGCTTTGCAGCTTGACGAGGTAGAGTCTATCGCAGTGTGGCAGACGACCTTTTCGCGTCCGCGCAAAACATCTTTGGTCAGGCGTGCTATAATGAAGCAGTCGAGCGGGTGCAGTGTTAGAACGCAGCAGTCGGGCGGGCTCAGTGTTAGAACGCAGCAGTCGGGCTGGCGCGCTTACCATGGTCAAGCGTGCGCGCAGTGTTATAACGCAGCAGTCGAGCGGGCGCAGTGGTAGAACGCAGCAGTCGGGCGGGCGCGCTTACCATGGTCAGGCGTGCGCACAGTGTTATAACGCGGCAGTCGGGCGGGTGTGCATACCATAGTCGCTTACCATGGTCAGGCGTGCGCACAGTGTTATAACGAGGCAGTCGGGCGGGTGCGCTTGCCATGGTCAGGCGTGCGCGCAGTGTTATAACGAAGCAGTTGGGCGGGTCTGCTTACCATGGTCAGGCGTGCGCGCAGAGTTGTAACGAAGCACTTACCATGGTCAGGCCTGCTATAACGAAGCAGTCGAGCGAGTGCGGTTACGCGCAGTGCCAGGGCGAAGCAGCGGTGCAGGCGTGCTATGCAGGGTTGCAGGAAAAAAGTGCACCGCTGAGCGCGGTTTCTGGTCCGCCAGCAAAAACAACCACGAAAAGGATAGCAACAAGAAAGCTTCAAACACACTGCTTAAACGAGGTCTTGGCTTTCTTTCAAACAGGACGAACAACCGGTTGTTAGGCAACTTTTGCTCGACCCCAGTTCCCCCCCAAAAAGCGAAGCTTGGCATTCCTCAAAAGAAGGCATACCGTAAACTTGTTACATCACTAAACCCTTTTCCGTTGCAAAACAAGTGCCGAAGCCTCGCAATCCAGGGCTTCAGGGGCTACCGAAAAACCCTCATTCTTGCGGGGGGAAAAAACGATTGCCCCAAATCAAGGCGGAAGTTGAACTGACCTTATAGATCAATGAGATCAAGGTGGGTTGTTCACCCCAGCGTTCTCTATCGAGCCGCATAGAAGACACCTGCACTCTCACACACGGGCAACTAGACATCCTGCCGGAAGCGCAACTGTTGGCTTGCGGCCACCATCCCGTTCGAGGCTTGCTAGACATGCAAAAAGCAGTCAAACGTTTCAGAAGTTGATGGACATGGTTGCCAACATGAGCAAGTCAACCTGTGGTTGTTCGGCTCACCAGTGACTCCCACATGTCCCGAACCTCAAAGTCACCAAGCAAACTCACTGGCTTGGTCGAAGCGATTCTCCAGGCTCACCGTTTCTTCCCAGATCTTCCAAGCATAGGGGGCAAAAAGGTTTCACACCCAAGGGCGCACATCTTGTTAGGCCTTCCAAGTGGCGATTCTTTTGTCGGAAGCAAACAGTCAGCCCGGATCCGATTGAGCCATGTCCGAAGTCAACCTGGGAACTGGGTGCATCCTCAAAACCTTTTGCTCCAAAGGCAAACCACAAATCTTTTTAAGACCAACCAAAAAAGGGTACCCACAAGGGTACCCACAAGGGTACCCACAAGGGTACCCACAAGGGTACCCACAAGGGTACCCACAAGGGTGCCCACCAACAAAGATCAGACTCTGACATTAGTCTTGAGGACCCCTCGTAACGCAGCCCATTTCTTTTGGGGGAGATTTGAGTGGAATGGACCCCGCCAAAAAAACAGGAGGCAACTCATTGGGATCCAACTCATTTCTCACTTCCTGAGTGGATGGGCCACAAAAAGGTCCAACCTGTTATTTACCGACTTTCAATGGAGGGGGTCTCAAAACCAGGTTGTTTGAAGGCCCTGCATCAATCGGGAGCCTCTGGGTACCATGAATGATAGATGCCCGAAACAAACAAAAAAGAACAAAACAAACAAACAAACAAACAAACAAACAAACAAACAAACAAACAAGACATGCTTCTTCAGCCAATGGACCCCAGAAACCCACAGGATGGACGCATCACTCCATCCCTCCATCCGAGCGACGGAATGATCATCCCATACTATCGGATCGGATCCGCCTGAAAGGCGCAGCTCTGGCTCTCCTTGAGGCCGCCGCTGCGCTTGTTGTGCAAACTCAGCAGCAGGATGGGCTTCAAGGCCTTCCTCGATCGCCCGATACGCCGATACGCCCAGGCAGAAATGTCTAATGCTAGGTCCTCCAGATTGGAGAGGTTAGAATAAGGGTACCCGATCTTTTTTCTGTTTATTTTAGTAGGGGAACCCTCCCAACCAAAAAAGGGGTGAGGAAAGGCACTACTGGGAGACCTGGAATGGGAAGCCTTCCTCGGATTGTGTTTTTTATCCACGCTCAGGAGAGGGGAAAATGGGGTGCCTGGACCCAACAGCACTACCCCTAAGAAAGGGATTTCACCCACCGTAAGCTTGGGGCCGATCACCCATATTTTGAGGGACCAAGGGGGAAATGGTTGGTTGGGTGGTTGGCCAAGTTAGTAGGTTTTTGGAAACCTAGGTTGTGACCCGCTTGCAGGTGTGGTTAACCTTGTTATTAGGGGGTGAAGAAGAACCCAAGTGGCAGAGCTAGATTCCGTACTGTGGATGGACGAAAACCATTTCGCACCACCTTAGAAGCCAGGGAAACCAGTGTTTGTTGGTTTTTGCAGGGTAATCGGCATTCCAGGGCTTCTTAGGTGGTGCAGGATCTCATCAATCCAAAGTGTGAGTCGGTCTTTCAACCCACGTCAGGTAAATATATATATATATATATATGGTAAGAAAACCAAGCCCTACGTTATAACCTATACTTAATAAGTGGGTTGAACATCCAAGTAGGTGTGCCTTTTTGGGATTGGATGCCGAACTATGTGATGCCAAAGTGGGATTCCCATCCAACCAAGTGGATGGCTTTTTGAGTTCGTACCCATTGTTTCTTGAAAGGACAACCAACAGGAGCATCACCTGTTCAGGGGTCAACTACAACAACGCACACCCGAATTGTTGGGCCTAAAGATAAAATAGGGTGTGGTGGGTGCGGGGTTGGGTTTGGGGGGGGGTTGGGTAAGCTGGGTGTGTGGCTTGGGTGGGCTTGTTGGGTGCTTGTTGGGTGGGTGGGTTGGGTGGGTTGGGTGGGTTGGTTGGGTTGGGTGGGTTGGGAGGGTTGGTGTACGGGTTCAATGCCCCAAACCACCAATCCAAACCAAAGGATTGCCTGAGGTTTGCTGGTTTGGACCGGTTGGTGCCTTCAACCAAGTGAACAAACTGCAAGCCACCAATCCAAACCAAGCAAGTACCTGTAAAAATAGGAGGGGACACCCAACATTGGGTTCCTCTCGGTTACCATCTATAGGTGTGTGTGTGTGTGTGCGTGTGTCAAAAAAAGGAGGGGCTTCAAAATGACAGCCACAATCCAAACCACCAATTAAGCGAGACCCCAGACCCCGTGTGTTATCCCAGTGGTTTCACTGGTACCCTCGAAAAATACCCAGCTCGCAGGTGAGCAGATTGAAGAGGGGCTACCGTGAATGGAACAACAAACACGCCAACCAGCAATTAGGAGTTGTGGTTTTAACAACCAGTATTCGTAGGCTTCCCCTGTTTGTGTGGCTTGAAAGAAAAAACAGCAGGAAAACTACCACCTGAAGCCTAATTTTCAAGAACACCCATAGGATGTTCCCTTAATCATTAATCCCCCCTTTTTCCTCTTTCCCAACACCAAGGCTCGTTTGCAGTAGATTTAACAGAACGGGGTTTGCCAGGAAGGCGAATTTGAAGGGATCCCTTGGAAAAGCCGAGCCCTTTTGTCAAAAGAACGGATCTTTGTTTGGTTTGGTCGAGGGAAACGTTTGGATCGTTAAACCTGGGTCAAAGCTTAGCTTTGACAGAATCGGTCGCATCTTTCCCGGAGCGTTTGAATAGTTACAGCAGGGATTGCCTTTTGACCGAGAATGCTTTGGGGTCCAGGCATTTGACGCAACTTGGATGTCAACCCACGGCAGGCAAGTAGGTAACAACCATGATTATCAGCAAGGTAACTGGGGGTGGTTCCGGAATAAAGATGCTTATAACCTACTTGACGTGGGTTGAACATCCAAGAACAGGTTGCCAAAACTAGGCATCCCAAGATTCATAGCCACTTGTGCACTCCTTACCGATCTGAGATATGGATTCCCTGAAGCGACCCGTTTCCGCTGATCTTACCAAAGGGCTTGTCCGCCTTTGCCAATGGCCGGCCCTCGCTGCCGAGCTGTACCACCTACGCGTGGCAAGCGTTTTCCCTCCCAACAAAGCTGGGCTGCCGGGCCAGGGGATTTGGCGCATTTGGTCCTCTCCCTTTAGGGCACCCCCAAGAATGATGGCTTTCCGTGTGGTTTCCCTTTAAACCCCACAAAAAAGGGTCTGGCTTTTTGGGAGATCCCAAGGAAAGCCCTTGCTCCAAAGAAAAGAACGCGCCAAGCCCTTCTTCTCAGCCCAGCAAAAGACACAACGCCCACCGGCCTGGACAAAAATATGATAGATGCTATCCGAAAGCTCAAGCTTGCCGACTCAACAAATAGCCTGCTGAAAAAAAAAAACATCGTGTCAGTCCGCCAAGTGACACCTTGAAACCACATCCACTGATGATGGCTTATTGCTCTTGGTTGGTCGCATGGTGCCATGTAAACCGAAACCCCCACCAAAGGAACGAACCTTCATGCTCCTGGTAGGTAAGGTCGCTATTTGCTGGCACAAAATTCTATCGAGTCTTTCGCGCTCGTGAAGATTAACATCACCTTTGAGCTTGAGGCTGAGGCAATCAGCTAGCCTCCTGCTTTCACCAGAGTTGACTGCCATTCTGGGTCCTCCAGTAGAGAGGCTAGAATAAGGTTTTAGTAGGGGAGCCCTCCCCCAAGAAGGGGTAGAGAAGGGCACGACTGGGGGACCTGGCATTTCCTTCTCACGCTTCCAGCACGGGATGTTGTACCACACTGCTCACTGGCGCCTTCCTAGACGTACTCACGCTCCGGAAACCCTGGGCTTGAGACGGCTTGATGCCGAGAGCGGAAGTTAGAAACATGCCGCCACTAAGGGAAACCGAAGAACATCAAGCCCCAGCAACATGGAACTTAACTGGGTTTAGCTGGGTGGGTCATGTTACCAGAAGTGGAGGGACAACAAGTCTCAATCCTTGAGCCGCCAAGCTTTGCACCGATGTCCCTGTGGGTTCCGAAAATGGGACTGGACCCCGCAAACATGGGGCTCTCTCGGCTTCCTTTTGGTCAACCAAAACGATTCCCGACCTATGGTCATGGCAGTCAGCGACTTGAATGTGCTCTACTACCCTACAATCTTGACCTGGAACCCCCAAAATTCTGGATGCATCTCTTTTTGGGACTCGGAGCTCACTTCGTGACTTCTGCACCGGCGAATTGAGGCCGCGGACTTCTGACAAATCGCCGAAGCCAGGCTCCGAAGTCAAATGGGATCTACGGTATATGGACAAAATCCATTTTGCACCACCGTTCAGAAACCTTGGAATGAGTCGATTCCCCTGTAAATACCCAACAAACAATGGGTTCCTCCGGTTTCAACCTGGTGCGAACGGATTTCGCAACCATCCGCAGTATGGCCATCGGCTGAATACTTGAAATGGACACTGAAATATGGCCAACGGTTGTTCGGTCTTTTGAAAAAGAGGTCCTTCCACCACTCAAATTTGGGCTTGGGGGAACGGTCCCAAGCCTCACCTCTCAGACCCTGCAAGGCAGCTTGCCGCCTGGTGATGTGGACTACAAATGTGAGTCACACGGTTCCCAGGCTTGGCCAAAGGCATCTTCCGAAAAAGTGGCGTGCCCACTTAGGTCAGAACTCCTTGTTTGGAAGCCACCAAGTTGCAGGTTTTGCTTTGGCCGTCCGAGACGCACTTAGATGGTCCGGGACGTAGCTAAATGGCTCGTGACCCTAATTTTGTGGAGACTTACAATTGTAAGTAGACTACAAAAAAGGTTACTAGCCATGTTTAGCTAACTCCCAGACCATCCAAGCACCCATTTCTGGCTAAAATGGCCATGGGTCAAAACCCAAATCGTACCCCCAGTGAGCAATCCAATCCCCACTAAAATAGGTCCGAACATGGGCGGTAAATTCACCGAAAGCCCCAAAGTGGGATCAACCACAACGGTTTTGAACTCATCGACCTGCGTCGCCTCCACACGCAAAGCGCCACAGAACTCCTCGGAATCAAGGTCCTCGTTGGTCTGGTCGTGGTCTGTATGAGCATCCTGGCGTGTTTTTTTGTTGTTCCCCCCCCCTCCCCCGAAACGGTTTAAGGGTCTGTTTTATACTTTTTTGTTCCCCCCCCCCCGAAACGGCCTAAGGGTCTGTGTCGTTTTTGCCGTTTTTTTGTTCCGTGTTCTTCCCCCCAAAAACGGCTTAAGGGTCTGTTTGGCGTTGGTTCCTTTTTGAGGCAAAGGGTACCCCATCTTCATTCGTTGAAAGGGAAACCCCCAGGAAAACGGGTTCTTGCAACTTTTAGGGGGCCGCGAAAAGCGGCCACACACAAAACACCAAAGGCCCAAACCAGCGAAAGGTTTGGACATGGGGTTTAAACGGGCTCCAAGAACCTTTTTGGGAAGAATCGATTTCTCTGATTAGAAGCTTGGCCGCTAGGTTGGCAAATTGTAGAATCTTACCCATTCAGAAACCTCAACATTTTTATTGTTTGTTTCCTCTAGGGGTTGATTCCCCATTCTTTTCAACCATCGTTCTTTTCAAAAACCAGCTGTCTTCCCAGGGTTCTTGGTGGTTTTCTAGAAAGATCCGGATCCCGGGGTTCAGAATGGACACGGAAGCTACCCTTAGATGTTCTTTCGACTTCCTCAGGCTTCCTTGCGACCCTCTGTTCAAGTCCACCCGTGGGTCAAAGTCCAATTCCTGTCATCCCGATCACGTGGGAGAGTCATTTTCAACTCAGGCCTGAGGGGGAAGCACGGCAAAACCACCTGCAAATAACATCGAGTCACATTGCCTCGTGGTGAGCCCGGTTTGGAGCCAATTTCGGGGGCTCAGGAGGGTTCAAGCCCCAAACCACAGGGTTGCCCCCAAGCCAACTATGGGTCACAAAAAAACACGAAACGAAACTGGGCATCTCCCATTAAGCAGATTCCTCGGCCCGAATGCTGACCCCACTCGAGCCCTCCCCCGAAGTTGCACGGTATTTGCAAACATTGGCTTCCCAGAAGCAGGACTGCCATCACAAAATGTGGTTGGTCGAATTTTGTTGCTTGCGACCTGGGACCCGCATTTCTTAGAATGTTCAACCAACTTTGGCTACCATGAGTACAATTGGGGCAGGGGACGCTTGACTTGATGGCTATCCCAAAGGGTCTGGAGGCATTCCACGAACCCAACTGTGGTTGCCACCTACTTCAGCGGGTTGAACACAAGTGGATCCTCAAGTAAAGGGCCTTCATCATAAGCTTCTAGGTCCTCCAGTGCAGAGGATAGAATAAGTTGGTACCCGTTGTTTTTTCGGTTTTGTCTATTTTAGTAGGGGAACCCTCCCCCCAAAAAGGGTAAAACGGCACTACTGGGGGACCTAGGCTCGGTGTACCCCCAGATCAGCTCGCAGCTTCATCTACAAACCTGTGGGTTTTCGAGCCTTACGGAGGTCGGCCCAGAAGCGCTCGGCACTGGTGGTCTCTTTCACCTGCCGGAGAAAAAAAAAAGCCGGCCGCGTTGCAACGCTGCGGAACCGCTGTTTTTGGAGATACTGTGGATGGACGAAATCCGTTCGCACCGCTTGGAAGCCATGATGAACTCGTGTTTGTTGGTATTTACCGGGGGGTCGAATCATTCTAAGGTTTCTGAACGGTGGTGCGAAATGGATTTCGCAACCATCCACAGTATGAGCGCGCCCTTCTTTGAGGCGACTTCACTCGGCGAAATTTCATGACGACTTCACTTCAAAGAAAATTGGCATCGCCTGAAGCCGAGGTTTCCGCAACCCAGACGTTCTGGAAATGAAGCCATTTGCGAGAAAAAGTTGGCACGCTTCTTTGGACGGTTGACCAATGGCCATGGTCACAAACCCAAATCGTACCCCCAGTGAACATCCCAACCCCCACTAAAATAGGTTCCAAAAATGGCGGTGCACCGAAAACCCCAAAATGGGATCCTAAAACGGCTTTGAACCACGGCCAAACACCAAAACAAGATGGGCGCGGCTCAAAATTAAAAAAAGCTAGGGCAAACCGCGGGTTTTAGTCTTTGGTTCCCTGTACCAAGGTGGCCATTTACCGTGTTTTTTTGGAGCAGCCAAAAGCAACTCGCCTCCAGCGCGTTCTGAGAGATCTCCGCCACCTCCTCGTCTTCTGCCTTCGATCCGCTGCGGACGGTCTTTCGAGTCGCACCCTGCCGAAGGACATGGCTCCAGCTAGGTCCTCCACATTTGAGAGGAGCTAGAATAAGTTGGTACCCGTGTTTCTTCTTCTTGTTTTTTTCTCGGTTTTGTCTGTTTCAGTAGGGGAACCCAAAACCCAACAACAATAAAAATAAAAGGGCACTACTGGGGGACCTAGCCACAAAGCCAAACCGACTTCTTGTTTATTGGCATCTTTCAGGTTTTAGTGGTCTGGCCAGCGCAATCTTGCAGCTTGAACATTGCACATGCCGGTGAAGTGGCTGAAAGGATTTGCCAACAACGACGCATGTTCGCTTTGGGATAATGGACCCGTCCACCTTTTTCATGCACCTCAGTTCAATCTCTTAGTTCCTGAGTGGATTGGTACACCAACCGCTGAAGCCATGGGGTCTCTTCCCACATAGGCTCTGGGGTTTGGGGCATTCAGGGGTTCCGGACCTTCGGTTCCAGGAGCTTCCGGGGCTGTTGGGGGCCCTCCACCTGGGTCCAATTCTGTGTACCACCGAAACGGTCCAAACCCAACAAGTGACTCAAGTCCGCGGACTCGGTCGGGAGTGAGCTGCGGGCTTCCCGTAAACGTGACTTGGCAAGGGGAAACCATAGCAAGCGGCCACTCTTAGGGAACCCTTAGGGAACGCTAGGGAACCCTGGAGAACTGTCAGGAACTGTAGGGCTTTTCAACTACCCCCCCACCCCCCCGCCTTTGTGATTCCATAAGTTGAAGAAAACACACCGTGGCATGGGTGGTTGATTCAAAGGGGAAACCCAGCCTGTGCCCTTCAATTCAAACCCGAAACCCGAGAAATAAACCAATTCATCCTGTGGAGACTGCTGGGAAACGGGCGCCCTTTTGGTTCGGTTTCTATGGGATCTTCAGATGGACTTGAAGGAAGAGAGTGATCAAAGGAATCCCAGGGCCGCCACAAATCCCAAATGCCAATCAGAGTCGACTCCCTGTAAACTGAGATCCTTTTCTTGGTTGCTCTAACAACCCCTCTGCCAAAAGTGAATATGTATATATATATACACATATATATATATATATATTTGTTGTGGGTTCAATGGAAAATCCACTGCTTCCAAAACAAGTGTTAAGGTCCAAAGACCCAACCAAACAGCCATAACATGTTTGGGCCTTGCCACCCCCTTTTCGGGCTCCTGCGGAACATGGGTGACCCTCGCTGGGTCCCGCACTGCCAGCCCGCGCACGTACTCCACCGCCCGCTGCTCGTGCTCCTCCTGCGGGAGACGGGGCGCTGCGCTGCTCCAGCGCTCCGCTGTGTGCAAACAGCGGGGCCCACATGGTGGTGAATTTCAAGAAAGGACCCTGAGGTGGACATCCTTTGGCTGTGGGCCAAAACCGTTTTGGGATCCCGTTTTGGAGTAGGTGAATTCACCACCCATTGTAGAACCAATTTTAGTTGGGATTTGGATGTTCGCTGGGGGTACGGGCTTTTGACCCATGACCCATTTGGGTGGGGATGCATGTCCACCAATCACTTTTTAGGTGGGTCCCTCTGCATAAGCCTCTGGTGTGCCAGTTTGAGCACGCAAACACTTCCTGCCATATACAGTCAGGGAGATGGGTGCTTCAGGGGCAACCTTCATTGACCCATCTGCAAAAAGGAAGAGCTCGCGAGACGTGATGCTCATAATTCGGGAGCTTCTCAAAGTGGCGGAATGCGGTTGGTTGGTATTGAAAAGCGAAACCCAAAGCACACCAACCATTTTGTATTTGAGCAACACCCAAATGACCAACCCACAAGGCCCTTGATTTCTCATGTGTTCAGGGTTTGTTTCTTGAAATCTTAAGAGGGGACAAGGAAAGAAAGGGTGCAGCAAGTTGGTGGTTTCCCATTTACCCTCTACAGAACCAGAGGTTCAACCCCCCCCAATGGCCCAAGCCACCACTGCAAACCATCAATTCAAGGCAACCTGACAATTGGAGTTGTCAGGTAGACCAAGCAGTGCCCAAACTTCCGAAGAAGTCCGAACTTGCTCTCCACTGGTCTTCCCAAGTCCGACTCCGGGACACGTCAGACAAGAAACATAAACAAAACAGGCTAAAGCGAAAGCATACCCTAAACAACACAGGTTTGTTTTGATTGAAAAAACAGCAACAACATGCAAAAAAATAATAATACAAACAAGTTGTTCACCGTTCCCTCGGAACAGTCAACCAGTCTTCAAACAAGCTCCTTGAGAGACAAGGCAGTGTCGTTGGCCTTCTGCTTAAGGTCCAAGACGCCTGCCTGAGGCTCAGTGGCGCTCGGATTTTCGGAAACTCCGGCAGCGCTGGGAAGGAAAGCAAAGAAACAGGGATCCTTACATTATACACCTGAACATTGCCTTGTAAATGGTGGTTTCCCTTTATTTTGGTGGAAAAAGCCATGTTTTAAATGGGCAAAATGTATCTTTTAAGGAGCCCTGAGAAATCGGGATTTGCTTCAGCCGCGGAACAAGGCCTTCAACCAACAGATGGACAGATAGGTACCCGGAAAAAGCTCGGGGACTTGGGTTCCTTGCCAAACTGGCAAACCTTTTCCAGCGTCTCAGATTCCCTCCCTCCCTCCAATCGTGGAAGCTGACAGACTGCTTGCCTTGTGGACAGGCTGCACGTCTTCAATGACTGGGCGCAACGGCCCTTGGATCCCCAGCTAGAAGTGTAAAACTTTCGTGGGTTAATCTCAGTTGTTCAGTGACATTGCAAAACAAAGGGGAACCCTTTTTTGGGCTTGGACCATTTTTAGTGGGGCAGCCACCAAAAAAAAGAAGAAGAACAAAAAAAAGGTGCCACTGAACAAGTGAGTAATGGAAACTGCCACTAAACCGGAAAAAATATCAAACCTAAGAGGATGGCTGGGAACCACCAAGTAATTTGGGGTGCTCTTTTTGGTGGGGGGGGGGAACCGCAGATTGGCTGGAGGAGGCCCACTGTTGTTTTGGCACATACCCAAGGTTGACAGTTGGGTGTTCAGGGTGATGTTTTCGAATTCCTCACTTCCTGAGTGTATTGGCAAAACAACAACAACTTCTATTTAAAACTAAAATGGTCTTCCCACATGGATTCGGGAATTGAGATTCACAAGCAATCAAGCCACCAATTGAGGGTTAATTACCTAAGCAAGGTCCCGGTGGATGTGCGAACCCGTGCGAAAACTAGGACAACGATGATTCGAGGGGAGTCAGGGTTCGCAACCCCATTCACCAAAACAAGGAAACAAGCAGGACACCGGTGGACCATTCTGGAAATCTCTGGTTTGTAGTTGGTGTACTTGCAGGGAATCAAGGCTGGTGTTTGAACCCCGGAACCCAGTGCTTGCCTTACCTAGCAGAACCTGCTTCTTCTCCTACCAATGCCTGCTGATTCAAACAAGGCGAAAGGGATCACAAAGGACACCAGCCATTTTTCAGGGCGTGGAAACTGGCGGTTTCATCGCAGTGAACCAGATTTTCCTAGGAAAAACACATAGACATCAGAAACCTCGCCATGCCCAAATTTTGCAAGGAACGAGATGCAGTCCGAGACTTCGGACTCGAGAAGGCAACTTTCATGCCACCGACAGGGTCCAAAACGAATCGGATTCGCCCGGAAACGAATTGGCCCCCAAGGGGATGCTGATGTTTAGAACCCCCCCCAGAATGGCATTTGGAGGCACTTGATTTAGCTAAGTGTCCGACTTAGGTACCCTTTCCCACCGCGAGATCATTGCATGGCTGTGGTGATATCCTCTTTTCTGCCACCCTGCTCCAATGAAAGCGCTTTTGATATTCAAATCATAAGATCGTTTTGCCCCCTGGAACTGCCTGAAGGGAGAAGATCCCATGACAATTTCCATTCACAACTAGGAGAAAGTACGTATCATGTGAAAGCCTGCGAAAATCTGCCCGACTCAAACTGGGGACACATGGCCAGCCCTGCCCTCCAAACAATCTTCCCAAGAAGCCGATCCCTTGCAGGACCTGTCCTTTCATTGGGACCCGGCACCTTGCCCCACCCGTCCATCCAGTTGCTTCTTCCGTGCCAAAAAAGCAGCCCATAATACGAGAACCAAAACGCACGATCCCCGGACGCCCAGCGACAGAACAAAACTTGGAACCCTTTTCGGGGTTGATCATTCTCGCCTGGGCTGCCCTCAGATCCCCTGCTAACAGTTGATCACTTTTAGTGGCTGAAACTCGGAAACTACCACTAAAAGCCAACTAAAAGCCAACTAAAAGCCAACTAAAAACCAACGAAACACCAGCTAAAAAAATATTGCCAAAAACCAGCCAAAAACCAGCTAAAAGCCTCAGAAGCCAAGGAACCGGCTGGCTGAGCCACCAAGCCGCAGCCTTCACGCAAGCCCTTCGATTCGGCGGATCGGATCCATCTGTTCTCAGGCCTTCATCTGGCTGAAGAGGCCACGGGAGAAGTCCCCAAACCTCGGCCGCCAGTCACCAAACTGAGTCACAATCAAAACCGATCGGTTCCAAAATGGTGAACCCAGAACCAACTTCAAGAATTCGAAAGGCGGATCCCCGCAACTAGTTCCTGCTGGGATCATCCCCTAACCTTCATCTACCCGAATCGGTTTTGAGTGTGGCTCAACTGAATTTGACACTACAAAACCGCCTCACAAAGCAACAAACAGCTTAGCAAACAAACAAACAAACAATGGCTAAACATAATGGGAATCAGCCCCCAAGGATTAATAAAACTGACCCTCTTGCAAATTGATCAAAGGGCTTTCGCCCATTGATCAGAAGCTTCCAACTCCCGTGCTGCAAGCGTGTAGTCGGCACGGAGGGCTTGGCCGCATACAAATGATAAGCACGCCCACCACCAAACGATGGGAAGAACACCCCGTTCAAAGGCGTCCTCGAATTAATGCTTCCTCCCATCATCATTCGATGAGCACACACACACACACACAGATGCTAGGGAACACCAGTTCAAGGGCTTCGTCGATTCAGACCACACTCCACCAAATGACAAGCTTCAACACTCACAGTATCACAGTTGGCTTTGGTTTAGGCTGGGTTTAGGGTGCGCTCAAGGTATGGCCTAGCTTACACAGCGTCTTATTCGGAGAAGAGCGAAACAAGCCAAATCAGCGCCCTAGCAAGACCACTCGTCAACAAAGGGCTCTCACCCCCGACCCGAGCAATGCAAAACGGCCCGCTTTTGCCTGGTAGGCTAGCCATGCCGCATGTCACTCCAGCCCAGGAACTAAATCTAGGTCCTCCAGTAGAGAGGTTAGAATAAGGGTACCTTTTTTCTGTAGTCAATCTTAATATGGGAACCCTCCCCAAAAAAAGGTAAAAGGGCACTACTGGAGGACCTAGAAATTCTGAAGCAAAGCCACAAAAGCTTCTTTTAGAGATGCACCGAAAGCCAAAAGCTTCCGAAACAACTGAATGAAACAAACAATTCCTGAAAACATGGCCAAGTAACGTCAAGTTCGGTCCTCCCGAATTTCTTCGTTTGTCCTTTTGATCAAACAGGCGTTCTGAAATTGGACATTGGGTATATGATCCTTGATTGGGATTTGTCTTTTTAAGACCCCCCGAAACTCAAGAAAAGAAAAGAAAACTTTAGTGCTGTTCCTTCTGATTCCGCATTAAACCCGACCAGAAGGTGCCCCGCTTGTAGCCGTCATCTTCCAGTAGGTAAGACGATGGTCAAGCATCAGCCATTGAGTAGCCCCTAAACCTCGCAACAGCTGGGTTTTCACATGTCCAAAATCCCACGCACTGTCCAAAAACCAGTGGTTTGGGGGTGCTGGCCTTTTGCTCCCTACCAAATTCGCAGACATCCACAAATCCGCCTCCACGTTTAGCGACTGTCAGTTTATTGCCTTCCCAACCCTTTGGCACCCTGGGTTGATCAATATTCTCGGCCCCAGTTTTGACCATGGGCAACTTTCTTTTCCATTTTGTGGTGAAAGAAAATAATACTTTCTTCCGGTTTCCCTGATGGTGATCCAATGTAAAGCCCCCATGTAGATGCACCTTTTGATCAGCCCCCTTTTGTGTGTTCGCGCTTGTTTTGAGGTGCTTCTTCTTGCGGTTGTTTAGGGACGCCAAACGGAGACCAATGGGGATCCCTGTGAGACAAACCTCAGTTGTTCAGTGACCCTGGAAAAAAAGGGAACCCTTTTTGGGAAGACCATTTTTAGTGGGGCAGCCATCAAAAGGGGAAAAGAATTGGTGCCGCTGAACAACTCAGAACAGGTGTACACCAACAAATTGGAATGTGTTTGCTGGAGGTGTGCTACTCTTTTGGGCTTGGAGCTTCAAAAGGAAACTGGAAACCAATAGGACACCATCCTAAACCAACAGGAAACCAATACTCACTTGTCCAAAGGACCCAGAAATCAAAGGTTCACCTTTTGGCTCCACTAAAAAAGGCTCCCAAAACGGGAGAGCCAAAAGGTCAAAGGGTCGATTCGCTTTTGGGCTGAGAAGAGGAAACCGCAGCGATCAGAACCCAAGCCCGCAGAACTCGAGGCCCGAGTGTTAAAACAGCGAGCTGCTTGTAGGCTTCGGAGCCCGCATCTCGCCCGGACCTTGCACCAAAAAGCATAAACACGCACCGCACAAACAAAACGAAACAAAACAAAACAAACAAACAAACAACAAAAAGAAAAAACAAACAAACAAACACATCTCATGATTCATAGGAGCATACACACTAAATCGAACAGGCAAAGAAGCGACAGAACAACACCAACGGCTAACAACCTAATCCAAACTGGCGACATAACAAACGCAAGGTAGACATAAACTCATAAAGCGCCGAACGGTGTGTCGCAAACACCTAGAAGTACTGCACAAACCCAGCAGTATACAGGGCAAAAAATACATGATAACAACAGGGTCGCTCCAAAGACCATAGCAAAGGGAAACCAAAGGAACCCAAACCATGTTCCTACCCTTGCATTTTGATCTTGCGGCGCGAAGCACCGAAAAACGACACGGCGAATCCAACAGGTGTCATTTGAGGTTCATTCAGTGGCATCTAAGCGGATCGTTCGAAGGACACCGCCCCCCGAAAAATGGATTGGGTGCGTTGCGTCACACCTCACTGCTGAGACTTCCAACCACCCCCCCCCCTTCCCCCCCCCTCCCAAGACTTCCCACCCCCCCCCCTCCCCTCCCCCCCCCCCAATTTGCTGCATCCCTCACCCCGAATCAAGAGAGCCCCAAACTCAGGCACGGAACCAAGCCTCACACTTTTCAGGGTGCTCAAAAATAACCCGTCGGGAAAAGGTCGATGGTCCCTTTGAGCTTCTCAAAGAATCATCAATCCAAAACCCGGGGGGAACTCACTCAAAAACAAAGTCCCAAGTCTCACTCAAAACTCACTCAAACACTCAAAAACCCGGCCCAAGTTTCTCACTCCAAAACACAAAGCCAGAAATCTGCGCCCTGCTCCCGAGCGGCCATGCACGCCAGCTCTCTTTGGCCGAGGCCTGGCGATCAGAGACGTTCGGTGTGCGGGTGAGAGAACTGCAAGGTAGCTGAACCCTGTGGGTTTTCTCACCAGAGGCTCCCCATGTATTTCAGGCCCTCAAACAGCCAGGTGTTGAGGGGTTCAACTGCCCAATGCCCATAGGCTGTGGCTTTCAATGGAAGATCCGACCCCTCCATTAGACACCCTGGATGTGTTTGGGGTTTGCTGGCCGGCAATGCGCATATCAAAACATACAAATCAGCTGGTTTGTGTGCCTCGTTGCCCTACTGGTGTTGTTGTTCAAGTATCATCGTCGTGTTTTGTGCGCCTCACACTTGGGCTGGACTGATTAATTGTCTCCGTTTTGCTTTGGGAATTGCAGCCCTTGCTTTGCGATACCGCGCAGCGCTTTGGAAAAATTGAAGATTCAGGCGGTGGCTCGCGCCAAGGAAAGAACGCCAGGGCAGTACGGTGCTCTGAAGCCGAGCGCTGAAGGCAGAAGCGCTGGCGGACCACTTCATTCAGCCGAGAAGGCATGCATGTCCACCGACTGGAAATCCAAGGCGACAAAAAGCCTCATAATCGCCAGCGAGTCGGCCAATGGCCACCTCGTATCCTCAACCGCTATTTCCTGCAGAAGCCTTCAAGATAGGAATTGCGAGCTGAGTTTGCAAGAGTCAGGTTAGATGTTGGTCTGTCCCTCTCTGGGGAACCCCTCACATCGTTCCAACCGAGTCATCGAGCGGCGACCGAACCACATCCGCCTGCGGGTTCGAGCTCTCAGAATTGGAGCGGCTCGGCTCCATGGCGAGTGCCGGGCGGCGCGGGCGGAGAGATGTGCGGGCGGATCAATGTGTCAATCGCCTATGTCTGCGCCATGTAGTGAAAGAGCTTCTCCTTTTTGGGGCGAGGGAATGTAGGGAGTGTCCAAGCATATGGGTATGAAGTTTGATACGGGGACCCTTTGGTGGACCTCAGAATTCAGTGGGGATTTTTCTGTCCGCCAATCACTTTTCAGGTGGTTCCCTGTTAAAAGTGCATGGCCGTAGTCCCTTCAGGCCCCCAGCTTTGACACTCAAATTTGCCCATGTGGGAAACATCATCTTTTTGGCAGTCTTCCAATGGTCATCCTGGAAGGAATCTTACTTAAAGGGAAATGGAACAAGAATCCAAATCCAGCAAAAATGCAAATCCTTGAATGATACGGCTTACTGACCCCCCCCCCTTGGGACCATTCCAAGTTTTTGTCGTTCTCTCGGGTGGGAATTCCCCGATGCTATGACTCCTATCGCTCAGACTCATTGCTTCACGTTCAAGAATCCGTGAAGAACATGCTGGTAGGGAAACCGGGCAAGCCACTTGCAACAAGCGGCAACTGGCAGCCTGGATGAAACAGCAGCAACAACTATACATGGGATGCACATGTCTGTGTTGTGTGTGTGTTTCATGTGTATGGTATATTAGTTGGTGTCTTATATGGGCTTCCTTCCGGGAACAATTCTCTGGTGGCGTTTGCCACTCGTGTCGAGGCGTGAAGCGTTGATGCCACAGTGAAGCCTCGCGCTCCCCTTTGTGGTTTGTCTGGTTCGAATTTCGAACGGCTGCAATATCGAAGGGCTGCGACCGGCAGCCCGAAAGCTCCTCCAGCACTCCCCAACATCGATTTTTTCCCATGTCCAAATCCCAAGTACGGTAACCAAAAAGAAGTGGTTAAAACACGGGTGCTGGCGCTTGTTTTTGTTGTTGTCTTAAGTGGAGAACAACTCATATCCATGCGGCTTCGCAAGGAACTAAAACCAAAGGCCATTGGGTCCTCAAGCCACTTGGGCCGCGTCCAAAACCCATCTCAGTTGCCCAAAGGACCAATAAAAGGTTAACCTTTTGGTGCAATGAAACGAACAGGTAAAGGTGGATTCGCTTGCCATATCGGGTCAGGATTCCCTGGCAGTCCTATGCCAGAACATCCTTGTTCCGGGGTTGAAGACCATCCCTACGCCAAGAAAAAGGGTGACTCCCGACTCACCATGACGAGACAGGCCTTGCTATCCCCATTAACCCAAGTTCCGGAGCCGGACGGGTGCGATGGCGATATCAGGAACTGAAGCGAAACCCAAAGGAATGTGCAGGGAATTTGGCCAGGAAATCAATCCCCCCCCAAATTCACAAAAAGGGAAAGAAGGCCAAACAGGCTTCCCGAGTTTTTGCAAAAAGGAGGTTTCCCTGAATCTCACTTCCCGAGCGGCTTGGTCAAACAAGTCCAAACATTTATCTGCTACAATGGTCCAAACCCAAAAAGTGACAAGGAAGTGAAGGGGCCTCATAAAGTGAAGCATTGGACTGCATTGAAGTCAGGTTTTAAAGCCAACCAAAGTTCAAGGGGTAACTTCCATTTCCATTCTGAACCCAGGGATCCGGATCTTTCTAGAAAACCACCAACGAGCCTGGGGATATGGCGATCGGCTTTTCAAAAGAAGGCTGGCTGAAAGAATGGAAAAGGAATCAACCCCTAGAAAAGTGGCCATGGGTCAAAACCCCATACCAGTGAACATCCAAATCCTCAATAAAATAGATTCTAAAACGGGTAGTGCACCTACCCCACAATGGGATCCCATTGGTTTTGACCCACAGCCAAGTGGGTACGTTGAGCTTTCGCTTTCGCTTTCGGGGCTGCCGGCTGCCGCATCTGGTTCTTCACATCCGCTGTGCCGCGGCCGTATTCGTCCTCCAGTCTGGGCTGTTCAAAATGGAGGGTTGGGCCATCCTAAGCCACAATTCCTATAACTTCCATCTGCTTATTCGCCCCCGGGATGAAAACAAATTATTTCCAGTAGTGATAGATTCCCTTTAAAACCAACAAGGCAAATAAACAAATACTCTTAAGCAAATGGATAACAAGGAAGCCACTACAAAAGGCACCATTTGCCCTAAGCCCAGGGTAAGGATTAAGGATTACCTTTCAACAACCCAGCCAGTGTCAAAAAGGGGCATATGTCAACCCCTGATGAGGAAAACCCCCCCGTCACCCATCAGGGGAGTCCCTTTTCAGCGGGGATTCCTGTCTTCCAGCGGGACCAGGACCCTGATTAATAACTGGGGGGGGTATTTATCAGAGGGCCACATTACATTACTTAGGGGCTGGGAATGGTGTTTGGGTGAAATCTAGACATATTCGCCAGCCTGAAAGAAGAGTCGCAGAAACCTTCATTCATTGGCGAGTGCAACTTACTTGCATTGAACGTGTTTGACCAACTCATGAAAACAGCCTCGCGGGCCTTCCCACACTGGAACAAGTCATCAGTTCGGAGATTGCCGTTTGCCACAAGGTGAACCCTTCCCAACCCTCAGAATACGTCCCCTCTTGGCACAATGACCTACTGTAGGGCAAGCTGACGAAAAGACACAGACAACGGGCCAACTCAACTTTGCAAGCAGGCAAGGAGAAAAGTGCAAACCCTTCCCAACCTCCGGAAAAAAATCGTCTGCTTCTGCCCACTCCGTCATAGACTTGAGGCTGGACTCAATCTGCGAGATGCGCTGTCCGCTCTCTCGCTGCACCTGCGTTCGCCCGGCCAGCCGGCGAGAGAGGTGCTTTTGGGAGGCGTTTCGGGCGAGAGAAGGCGTTTTGGGAATAGAGTCAAGCAGGCTTGGGCCAGCCTGTTGCTTAAATGTAGTTGCCCAGCTCGGCATGGGGCGCCTGGTCGTTTTGTGTTTCTGCGTCTTAGGGGGGGGGGGGTTAGGGGGGAGGGGTAACAACGTACGTGCCCTCGAGTACACAAGTTTCCAGACTCTCTTTCCGGACATTGATTCTTGAGGGGGGGAGGTGTTTGGCGGGTGTGTCTTGTTTTGCTCTGTGCTTGTGTCACATGATCCACTCATGAAGCAATCTCTTGCATGCATGGCTCAAGGCCTGGTGTATAGCTCACTAAGTGTGAAAAGGAGCTTTCGCTTTGCTGATTGTGGAACATCGCATTATTTGATCCTTCAAGGACCAAACACTGCCATATACTTCATACTGTGGTCATTTCCCTCTTTACAGATTTATTCCTCTTGCATCGGAGTGGATCTTCCTGGCCCCTGTATTTACATAGTACGTATGTGCCCTCGAGTACACTAGTTTCCAGACTCTCTTTCCGTATATTGATTGGCAGCCGTGATTGCAAAAGACGCTTCATTCATTGCATGCCGTTTCGAAGAAAGGCGGCACCAAATGCTTGGACAGGGATTGGCAGGCCTTAATGGCTTTTGTGCCAAAGACTGCGAACCGGAAACCTAAGACGAATGGGCACTCGCATGTCTCTGATACTTTGCAGAGACGCTGCTGGCAATGGATCTGGGGAAAAAACTTGAAGAACCCGGCGCCGAATAAGCTTTTGGAAGAGCTTCGAAAGCTCTTCAGAGCTGCCTGAAAGAGGCATACACTTGTTTGGGCTTGCGAAAAAAAGCATAAAGCAGCTTCTATCGGTAGTTTTGGACATTGTCCAAAATAGGGTTCGCAGCCTGAAACTGAAACTCTGGCGGAAACACTGCAACACATTTTCACGGCGCCTGGCATCGAGCTGACCATGTAGTTTGAACCACTATTGTTTGAATGCTCTCCCCGTGTTGCTTTCTTTCATTTGTTTAAGCAACCTTTCAAAGGGGCATAAAGGGGCCAAGGGCTGACTTGTTTTTGCCCTCAAGTGGTTGGGTGTCCCTAGCCCCCAGCATGTGTTGCCTTCCGAGGATGGAACTAAACTACAAAATGAGGTGTGTTAGATCCTCACAAAATACCAAGAGACTCTTAGGCAGGGAATTCCTCAGATCCCCTGCTTTATCAACTTTTAGCAGGCGAAATAGAAAGCCCCACCAAACTGTAAAAACCTCAAGTAAGGAACCGGACGGCTGGGAACCACCAAGAATCATTTCTTGGATCTCAGTTTGACCAACCCAGACATTGGCTTTGTCTTGCTCGCGTGGCGGTCACCCCTTAGATTCCCGTGACAACAAGCCTACACCTCGCACACAAAGACGTGGCTCTCTCCTTCTGGCTTCAAACATCACCTTTTGGTTGCCATGCTTATTCTCACGTCCTCAGTGGACCGGCAAAAGCAAGCGTAAGTTTTATTGTTTACCACCAAAATGGTCTTCCCCAAAAAGTATAAAGTCTATGAACTCAAGGAGTGACAGAGTCTCCCTTTTTCATGATTAAAGGGGCATATGCATATATATATATATATAGAGTCAGCCTAAGCCAGCAGTTTTTCGGCCTAACCACGAGAAGGGTTCCAACCATTGGGGTGAAACAAATGCTGAGACCCAGCTGGGCTCGTCAAGGGTAAAGAACCTATCAACTTTGGTGTGACATACCCTACGCCCTGACCAGATCGATTCCTTCTCTTGTGACTGAAGTCTCCATGACCCCTTCAAGATCTTTGCACATGTCCCAACACATCGCAAAAAAATGCATTCTAGGGCTACCTTCCCCCATCGAATACGTACAGAAAAACACCAGCTTTGCGAAAACCACACCGGACGGCCGAAAAGCATGGGGACTCAACCCCCAGAGTCCTAGAGGCATGACCACTTTGTTCATCCGACTCGGAGACTCCGGGCGGTCCATTTTTTTTTATCTCGCTACTCACCGGCGCTTGCGACGCTTCCGAGATCGGAACACCTGGCACCGGCGGCATCTGCGGTCAAATGATCATCTCAAAATGACAAAATGTGATAATATCTCCCTTCCTGAGTGGATGGACCAAAAGCAATCCATTTTTTTTGTGTACCGCTAATGGTCTAGATAAACAAGAATATGACTGTCTTGGAAGCAACATGTACACAACAAACACATTCATCCAAAGGCAAAACAAAAACGAGGAACATACAGATTGCTTCTTCCTGGACCGCCCGTATCCATCGCGGCTGTCCAGCTCCAAGTTGGGACTTCTTCCACCCTGAGAAGATTTTATTTGAGGCCTCAGAGGGGAACATGTCCTTTGGCTAGTTGAGTTGCCCTTCTTGAGGGATAAAAGCCCAGCCCGTCCTGCTCTTCTTCCTCTTCCTCTTCTTCCTGCACCTCCTCTCCCTGAGCATCTTCCGCTGCCTCCTCCTCCTAGCCGGCGAGGAAGGACTTTAGACTCACGCGCCCCACATGGACTCCCACTGGCCCGGTGGCCCAAGTAAAACCAGGAATCCTTTGCAGCGTTTTAGAGGCGGGTATGCTACCAAACAAAAACAGAAGGACCAAACATTGGGTAGTCTCTAACCCGCAGACCCCAAAGGCAGTTTCACATGAAAAACAACTTCGAACACACACTGAACATAAACACACACACTACACACACAAACGCGAAAGGACACACACACACACAAAGATGAGACCATGCACACAAACACCGACACATCACGCGCAAAAGCACGCACGCACTCGCGAACGCACACGCGCGCGCTTGGTTTCGTTGCTCGGGGGCAGAACAGGACTGGGATCTGCGAGCTTTTCCAGTGACCATGATGTCAGTCGTTTCTTGACATTCGAGGGAAAAATGGAAACAAGAAACAGTTTCGCCCTGGAAAGCCAGCTAGGCTCGTCAGTTAGACTCGCTGGCTTTCCTGTCTAAGACTCTGCGAGTCAGAAAAAATTGTCCCGATGGCAGTACCTCAGTAAGCATGACCTTAGTGTACAGGTGTCTCACACACACATTTGCTCCCAGTAACTTCTGGACAATCACGGCACGTCAGCCGCTACATTTTCTTGACGGTTGACGAACGGGTAGGTAGCTGGCTCTATACCAAAAGAGGAAGCCACTCTTGTGTACACTTCCAGGCACCCAGCAAGGTCAGTATTACAAATTTGTGGCTGGCGGAGCAGCGCCCGGAATGAATCCCAGAGCGCGGACACAATGCGTCTTTTTGCTGACAACGTACATGCGGCCGGGGCGGTAATTGCACGCCGCCTTCGGCCACACGATGCACGGCAGTATTTTTTCTCCCCCTTCTCCACTGGAAACTGCGCTGGTGTGGCCCCACCCCAATCCGATTACCAGCAGGTCGCTGCTGTTTTTACTGGCCTGCCAACCCCAATAAGCAATCCGGCCAAGAGAGGAACCGTTGTCGGCCTTGTATGAGCAATACTGATGCCCGAGGCAGAAGAAAGCTTGGCTTTCTTTGCAATGCGCAGCGCTTGCCGGCCACGTGGCCATCAGCCAGAATGTTCGCTTGTCCTGGCGTGGCACCATTGCATCCAGGGCACGTGTTGCGATGGCCATTCTGGCTAAAAAGTACGAGCCAAACATAAAAGAACAAATCATTGGGCGCCCGCTTGATTTCCTAGCTGCGCTCCCCAGATTGCCCTGACGCCTCCAAAATTGCCCAGTGGGCATCAGGCGTGGCGTCTGATCCGGAATAAAAATCCGGCAGCTTCCGTGCAAAGAGCCGCTTTCGCAGCTTCCGGTATGCGTGGGCCATTTTTTTGAAATCTGACTTGTCTCTTTTTGGGATTTGTGCAATGCATTTTCAGAATAAACGGATAATTCAGCGCCGGCATCCATTGTTGGATGAGAAGGGCTTCCATGGCCCGAGTTTGTAGCTGTGTGTCTAAACTCAGCACCGGAATTGTGAAGAAGTCATCGAAAAAAGAACGACGATAAAGCACCAGTTCGGCTTTGACCGGCTGGTCTTTTTCCACCTGCGAAACTTTCTTGTCCTGGTGTCCTGTCGTTCAGTGACAGAGGCAACAGAACTGCCCACATACATTTGCGGATGCTTGACTTGAAACTATCCCTTGTCCAACAAACCTCCGCCGAAATTCGATCGAATTACACCAGCGTAAACGGCAAACGGCATGCAAAAGCTTTGAAAAGATTTGCTGGGTTATTCTGAAGGCTGCAGTGCTTGAAAAACGGCGCCTCCAAAGTTGCACTTGTCGTGTGTTTGCACGGGTGGTGGGCAATGCCCCAACAAAAGCAAAAGCACAACAAGTCGCCGCGCACCACAGTTTGTAGTAGATGTACAGCCCCTGCATTTGGTCGCCGAAAAGCGAATATATTGGTTGCGGTCCTCGATTGATTTGAAAGTTCTTGATCGAACACTCTGAGATTGAGAAATCTCCTGCTCAGTAGATGGTAAGACGATACCAGCCCGATCAAGCCCAGTGATGTTGGGGTAGCGCGACAAGTCATTGTGGTATGGACATGCGGGAGCCCCCCTAAGCGCGGCGTCAATTGCTCGTTTGTTAAAGCCCCAACGCCCGATCAAGCCCAGTGATGTTGGGGTAGCGCGACAAGTCATTGTGGTATGGACATGCGGGAGCCCCCCTAAGCGCGGCGTCAATTGCTCGTTTGTTAAAGCCCCAACTTTCCAGTACAAGTGTAGTAAAGGAAATACGCTTTGGCAGCTCCGGCTCGAAAGTCCAAGCTTTTCATTACACTTGTAGTCAACGAAGTACACCTTGGCGACTCCAGCTCGAAAGTCGCAACTTTTCAGTACAAGTGTAGTAAAGGAACTACACTTTGGCAGCTCCGGCTCGGAAGTCGCAACTTTTCAGTACAAGTGCAGTATAAAAAAAGAAGTACACTTTGGCAGTCGTGCATCACTCTTGTCTTCACGGTACCAGTGTTCGTTCGTAAAAGGAAATGACTTTGGCGCTCCGTGGCTCGGAAGTCGCACCTTTTAGGTACAGTGCAATCTAGAAAAAGAGTTACACTTTTGGCAGTCCGGCTTTGGACGTCGCAACCTTTTTCAGTACAGTACAAGTGCAGTAAGGAAAGTACACTTTGGCAGCTTCGGCTCGAAGTCGCAGCTTTTCAGTAACCAGTGGCAGTAAAGCAAAGTTACCTCCTCGAGCTTTGTAACTGCGGCTCCAACATTTTCAGTACAAGTGTAGTAAAGGAAGTACACTGCGGCAGCTCCGGCTCGAAAGTCGCAACTTTTCATTACAAGTGCAGTAAAGAAAGTACGCTTTGGCAGCTCCGGCTTGCAAGTCCCAACTTTTCAGTACAAGTGTAGTAAAGGAAGTACACTTTGGCAGCTCCGGCTCGGAAGTCGCAACTTTTCAGTACAAGTGCAGTATAAAAAAAGAAGTACACTTTGGCAGCTCCGGCTCGAAAGTCGCAACTTTTCAGTACAAGTGTAGTAAAGGAAATGCACTTTGGCAGCTCCGGCTCGGAAGTCGCAACTTTTCAGTACAAGTGCAGTATAAAAAAAGAAGTACACTTTGGCAGCTCCGGCTTGGAAGTCGCACCTTTTCAGTACAAGTGTAGTAAAGGAAATGCACTTTGGCAGCTCCGGCTCGGAAGTCGCAACTTTTCAGTACAAGTGCAGTATAGAAAAAGAAGTACACTTTGGCAGCTCCGGCTTGGAAGTCGCACCTTTTCAGTACAAGTGTAGTAAAGGAAGTACACTGTGGCAGCTCCGGCTCGGAAGTCGCAACTTTTCATTACAAGTGCAGTATAAAAAAAGAAGTACACTTTGGCAGCTCCGGCTTGGAAGTCGCACCTTTTCAGTACAAGTGTAGTAAAGGAAGTACACTGTGGCAGCTCCGGCTCGAAAGTCGCAACTTTTCATTACAAGTGCAGTAAAGAAAGTACGCTTTGGCAGCTCCGGCTTGCAAGTCCCAACTTTTCAGTACAAGTGTAGTAAAGGAAGTACACTCAGCTGCCCATTTCCTAACATAATATGGTAGTCCCGTACACAAAACCGTGTTTAATCGAGGTGTCCCTTTTTCGTAACCCTATCGTTTCGCAGTCTTTTTGGCACGTTCTACTGCACATGTTGGTATGTCATGTCCAGCCCTTTACATCCGAGCCTTGTCCTCGGCGGGCTGTCGGGCCGCGAAAAACCCTGCGGAGAACAAGGTCCGGAACTGGGGCCGCTTTTGCGCACTTTTGCACCCAAAAAGCGAGCGGTGACGAAGCGGTGACAAGCGGTGACGAGTTCAGCGGGCTGGAATTCGCAGGCTTTTCGAGGCAGAAAACGGAATTCGGAGCACAGCGAACGTCTGGAGCCGGTTTTCGGCGGAAAACGAGCGAACTTGGAGGCTCGGGCACCACTTTTGGCGTCTGACACGAAAAAACGAACTGTTCGGAGTTGACCGTTTTGAGCGCTTTTTGCACCAAAAACGGAGCGGTGACAAAGACCGGTGACATCGGAAAAACGTTCAGCTGGTTGGAAATTTGGCTGTTTTGGAGCGTTTTTGGCCAAAAAACCCAAAAAGATAAGTTACTATAAGCAGACTTTCCTTACTACTCGTGTAAGCTAAATTTGCCACTTCCAGGCTTTCGGACGGCGAGAGGGGGCAGTCCGGAGAGCTGCTCTTGATGTGCGCCAGGATTCGTGGCACCAATTTGCGTTCATGAATTTAATGCAGCCTGGGCCTGGCGACTGCTTGCAGTGGGTGTTCTGGCTTGGGACAGCACCAGTCTGCGGAAGAGTGCATTCCTGCTCCGTCGCAGGTCGGGAGCCTGCAAGGCGCCAGTGTGATGGTCCTGGAGATTTCGGAGTGCAATGGCAGTGTTTGTCGGAAGGAACCTGTTTTGCTGACCCTTCCTATGCCTACCTGGGCAAGTTGCAGGGCCAGGGAAGGCGGGTATTCAGCGGTCAGAGTGCTGAGGTATACCCCTTGTTCTTTCACGCCTGCAATGCTTCGGTGCTTGTATGAGTGATTGCAACGGGCCTCCAGGGCCTGTATTTTCGAACTGTTGCAGCCGAACGCCCACGATTTGGAGAAGGCTTTATTGTGCCTGCAGGCGTCTACCCACACCAGGGCACATTGGTGATCGCGTAGCATTTGGAAGTTAGCCTCTTCCAGCCAGGACATGGCTCATGGCGGTTGTTCCCAAATGCCTACGCCTCCTTTGGAGACCACTGCTCTGAACAGGGCTCTGCCGCGGTCGTGAATGGTCTTGCTATCCAGCAGTTTACGCTGCGAAAGCGAAAGGCCGGGGACCCCGTTCATGTACTGCGGCGTTCTCAAGGCTTTGGGCCCGCCAGGGCGTAGTTTGAGTCTGGAATATTCCTTGCAAGGCGGGGCAAGCATTAGGTCTTCCAGAGAGAATCCTTCCCATTTTTGGGCGTATGATTCGGGGTATGATTCGGGGGTGTGATTCGGGGGTGTGATTCGGGGTATGATTCGGGGGTATGATTCGGACAAGTCGCACTTCCACTCTTTACTAAAGGCTGCGCACCTTAAAAAGGCACGCGCCCAAATAGATAGATAGAAAGAGAGGTAGGTAGATGGGGTGATTGGTTGGTTGATGGATGGATAGATGGATAGATGCATAGATGGAAAGATAAGTAGAATGAAGGAAAGATGGGTAGATGGATAGATAGCTAGATGGATCGACAAATAGATGGAAAGCGAGATAGACAGACGGACGGGCGGATGGATGGATACAAGCAAGCCGTTCAAAAAAGAGAGCGCTTCTGGGTTGCTGTCATTTGGGCCAGCTTTGCGCCAAAGAGCAACATCTATAGGTTTAACATTTTGAAACTTCCGCCCACCCGCTTCGCCGGCTCTTTTCGTGTTGCCACAGGAGCGCAGAAACTACCGCCAACGCGTCAAGAGCAAGCACTGGCTCGCCTGTCACTGCAATGCAAGCTCGGGAGGTTCAAGTCATTGCTTTGTCCCGTTCCCTTTGAACTCCGTCTTCAGGTTTTTGAGCTCCTCTTTGAGGCGGGCATTTTCGTCCAGGATTTGTCTGAAAAGCCGCAAAATGAACTCGAACGCTGGTCCGCTGCTGCTATTGCTACACGTTGCAGCCGGCGCCGCTGATGCCACCGATGCCGACGAAACACCGGCGTTACTGCCGCTGCTGCAGCTGTTGCTGCTGCTGCTGCTGCCAGCCTGCTGCATGGCCTTGCCGTAGCCTTTCCCCTTTCCTTTCCCCTTTCCTTGCGGGCCCCTTTCCTTGCGGGCGTTCTGACGACACTTCCGTCGTCTGACTTGGATGTGGAGCGTTTGGTCCAAGGGCTTCGCCCGCTGGTCCACAAGAGCCATTAGGTGCGCCATTCTGGCCGAAGCTCAGCTTCAAGCTGCCGAATTCTGCCCGCGATGCTTCCAAAAAAACAACGCCAATATTGACAACTTCATCAGCCAGCTGCTGAATAGCCCAAGCTCATTGGGCTGTTTGTCTTTGGGAACTTGAGGCCCCTTGTCCAAGAAGAACTTCTCTGCCATTTGGTCAAGGTTGTGCTTGAGCATCTGGCAATATTGGGACTGGGACCTGTCGTGGACCGCAACGCACATCGTTTTTGACGCCGGTTCTGCCTCCTGAACCTGATCAATTGGACGATCCTCAGACCACTGTAGCCCGAAAAAGATGGCCGGCTTTACGCAAAACGCCGCTCGCCGAGTTGTCCAAGTTGAACAGTGCATGAAGGCCTGTCAAGGAAGAAGTGGTAGGGCGAGCAGGCGAAGTCACAGGTTCAGGGTTCAATCAAATGAACATGTGCGTCATCTTGTTCAGGATGTGCTTGTTGATCTGCGTCAAGCGGATTTAGTAGGGACGCCTTGCGTGCGGGCATGCATGTGTGTGTGTGTGAGACACCTGTACACTAAGGTCATGCTTACTAAGGTGCTGCCGTCGGAACAACTTTTTCCGACTCACAGAGTCTTAGACAGGAAAGCCAGCGAGTCTGACTGACGAGCCTTAGCTGGCTTTCCAGGGCTGTAAGACACGGCTTTTGCTGGTAGACAGGCGCAGAGTCTCACGTTGCCAGAACTTTCGTGGATGGGTTAGTCAAATGGGCACTTAGGGGCGCTGGCAAACGGCAAGTTTGTATCCTTGCTTTACGGCTTTACGCCAGATCAATTCGTGAAGCCAGAGAAACTCATGAACCAAACTACCCAAAAGTACATCTGGAATCTAGCCCGTCACCTTCCAGGTATGGCGGTGGCTCAAAAAAGTCATACCCAAAATGGCACCTTGGTATAAGAAAGCAAAGAGTAACACCTGCGAAACTCCAGCTTCATTGAGCTGCATGTGTCTCCCATGCGTCCAGTCCTGGCTTCAACGCGTTGAGAAACAGATTTCCATTCTTGTGAACTTCAAGGTGGACTTAAACCCAGGGGTTGCCCTTTTGGGCCAATCAACCCTGGGTTGAAATCTTGGGGTGGAAAATGGCACCCTGCTCGTGAAACACCAAAAGCAAGTTGAAAGCGAATCTGCGCCCGGCTGGCCTCTGCCACCCGCATCTGTTCCAGGCAGGTCTCCTGGAAGTAGAAAATGACGGAGTGCTGACAACAAGCAAGCGGCAATCACAAATGGCCAGGGTCAAAGCTGGCTTGAAATGCCAGTGTCTTCAATCGTTGGTGAATTAGATAGCATTACAAGATAGTCGTAGGAGTAGCCGGGCAGCTTCGTCCAGTTGGTTATCTTCGCATCTACGCCACCAAAACCGTAATGGAGCCCCCTTTTCCCCTCCAAACCATGCTCAGGATAACCCAGCTTCTGGTCGATCTCTGCGACCTTTCGGACCAAGGGTGGATATCATTTAGGTAGAGATTCGTGTCCACCAACCACTTTTGAGGTGACCAAGAATCATGTGTCCATGGGCCAAAAGCCCGTACCCTCAGTGAACATCCCAATCCTGACTAAAATCCGCCGACGCCGGTCGAGCGTGCAGATGGCAGTCCGCAACTTGGTCTTCCTTCGATTTCTTATCAAAGCCGAAGGCTTTTCTGCTATTTTTTGGGCATGCTGCGCTGGGTGTCCAAAACCTGTATTTTTGCAGTGTGTTTGCGTCTTTCGTGCTAAAAATCCGCGTTTCGCCTAGGTCTAGGGGGGGGGGGGGATCCCCCGGACGCGCAGGATCTGCATCCCCAGCATCATCAGGATTATCTTGTTGCCATGAATTTATCTCCTTTTTTTTGCAGATACTAGCGGTGTTTTGCTGTTTCAAGCGATGTTGGAATTGGCCTGTTAGGGGTTTGGGAGCGCAGTGATACTTTGAGGAACTGTTGAAATTCGCAAAAATGAGTGTTTTTTGCAACTCCCCACCTGTACGGAGTTACTGCGAAACATCCCCATTATCGTGCTTTTGGAAGTCTACTTTTGAGGGGGGTTGCTAGTATCGGTTTTTGATGGTTGCTTTTGGGAAATATCGAAAAACCCTGATTTTTTGCACTTTTTTGCGGCTAGCCGGCTGCATTCCCAGCATTCCCCACATCTCTGGTATTTTCTGCGTTTGGTCAATGTTGCGTGTCTGAAAGTCTTAAAATCTTGAGCGCGAACATTGGGCCTGTTCCTGTAAGTTGTGTGGTTGCATCCCTTGCATTTCCAGCATCCTCAGCGTCTGGGACATGAAAAACAGGAAAGTGCCAACAAGGCCTTGTTGCACTTTCAAAAAAATTGGGCCTTGCTTTTATACCCTTTCGGGGGGCGGTAAAAAGACTAGACCCTAGTGTTCTTCTCCTGTCACGGCGTTGTTTGCATTCCCCCATGTCACCGAGGCCAAAAAACATCTTTTTCCTTACCCCAAATTCGAGGCACCCTCTCCTTCCACGCGTTAAGAGCCCCATGTGACCTAGGCACAAGGCACCTCAGAGGGGCGTTGTTTGTTCTCCTTCCAACAGGGGCGTCGCTTCTTCCAGGCGTTAAGAGACCCATGTGACCTAGGCAAAAAGACGTCTTCTTCCTGACCCCAAACGTGAGGTACCCTGCAGCCGACGTCAGAGGGGCATCGTTTGGTCTCTTTTCACTTGTTAAGAGCCCCGTATGACCTAGGCAAAAAAACTTTTTTTTGCCCCAAATTCGAGGCACCCTGCAGCCGACGTCAGAGGGGCGCTGTTTGTGTTCTCCTTCCACGCGCTAAGAGCCCCACTCGACCTAGGCAAAAAAAGAGTCTTTTTCCCTACCCCAAATTCAAGGCACCCTGCAGCCGACGTCAGGGGGGCGTTGTTTGTTCTTCTTCCACGCGTTAAGAGCCCCACGTGACATCAGCCCCAGTTAACTAATAGGGGACTGTCCACTGGCGTCGGCGGATCGCGTAGCGATTTCAATAAAGCCTAAAAATGGGTGGTGAATTCACCTACCAACCAAAATGGGATCCCAAAACGGTTTTGACAACCACAGCCGTCTCGAAACAGCCGCTTTGGTCCAGAATGGCGAGCTGCGACTCCAGGAAATCTTCCAGGAACTGCTTCCGTCGCCGCGCGGGGCCTGATGTCGAAGACTCCGGCGCCCTCGAAAGCCATACAGACGCATACCCTCCCTACCACTAACATGGCAACTGACAGGGGGTCCCTTCAAAAGGAAATTGATCTTCCAGATACGTCCCCACAGGTGCCATGCTAGTTGGAGGAAGCATAGGCGTCCTTTTGGGGGGAAAAAAAAACGACGGCGCTGTTACATGGAACAAAACGAATCTAAACCAGTGGCCTCGATTTCTACGCAAAACAATCTAAACCAGTGGTCGTTGAAACAGAAGGGTCCTCTTTTTTTGAAGAGCTCCCAATGTTGAAAGCGAAATTTGTAGGGTAAGCAGGGCAACTGAGGGTACGTGAATGGTGCACCAGGGCGAATGAAGGGTGAGCCGAAGGACAATGTTGGGTGCATGAGGGGAAACATCGGGGGGTATGAGGGGTAGATGCCAGGTAAAAGGGTTAGTAATTGTGTTTGAAGGGTGAATAAACGACTAAATGAAGGGGACGATTAGTTGTTTTGGACATGAAACTTGTATCTCTTGATCCTGGAAATAATACCAATACATATTTTGGAGCAGACAGACAACAACATCAAGAGTTAAACATAAGCTAAGTGACCTTCTGTCCGCTGCACAGCTCACTTCTTCATTTGGATCTCTTCGCCAAATATTTCTTTCAACACATACTGGCATACTGGGCTGCCCTCACATCCCCCCGCTAAGAGTTTAACTTTTAGTGGGTTAAATGGAAACTACCACTAAACACTAAAAGGCTAAAAGACTAAGGGGATGGCTGGAAGCCACCAAGTATATAGAAGACCAAGAGATCGAACGAACGGGTCTATTGCTAGCCGTGGGCCGAGGAGGGAGGAGGAGCCATTTTCCTTTCAGCCCTTAAAGGGTGATGCCCTTGGCTACCTACAAATAAATTGATCCAATAAGCAACAATACAAAATCAAACTGAAACTCAACCCAACATGTCCAAAGAAAGCTCCAGCAATACTGCACCAAATCGATTTTGACGTCAAACTCTCTAAAAGCAGCTCCAGAAATGCGAGAAATCAAATTGACAAAAGAAAGTCTATAGAACCTCAAATGTTTGCCGGAGCCCAAAGAAGTTTGAGGTCGTTCCGGGCTCTATCGGGCTGTGACCCGCAAAAGTGATCGGATAGGACACCCCCAATCAAACAACAAAAAAAAAGAGCCACGAGCCAGTTCGACCCATTGCCTTTGCAGACGCTGAAGTTTAGCTCCTGAAGGCTTTGGGTTGCTGCGTTCGAGCCTCTAGACACCGCGGTTATACGCGCTACCCCCCCCCCCCCCGCCCGTGACACTGGGCTCGCTCTCACCTACTGAAAATCTGCCGGCAGAACGCCAGGGAACTTTGGAGTACCCTGCAAAACGTATTGAAGGCGAGGTGCAGTTTTAAGCCACACAAACACAAACACCCAACAGCCTGCTGTCCGCAACAAGTGTCGACTTCGTGCGTTCAGCATATGAAACCCAACAATTCAGAAGCCCGGTGTTCACTCCTTCGGTAGCTGCTTTTGGCAGTCCGTGAGCGCGCGCCGCTTTTCCAGGATGCCCTTCAGCAGCGACACGAACCTACAGTGAACGCCATGAATCAGCCTAAGGTATGGGACAAAATTATCCCGCAAGGAATTCGACCGGTTGTAGTCCTTGTTTCCATTTACCAAACCAACCCATTTTGGGGTTGGCCTATTTTTGACTCACACCCAAAGAAGAATCACCACACCGGTAATTGGACCCAGGACGAAACCAGGGACCCCAGAGCTAGCAATGGGTTGTGCACTTTCCCTGCGTCTGCGTCCGATCTCTCTTGGGGATAGACACTGAAAGGAAAAGCGCACATGTGTGTCTCAAACTAGGGCCCCCCAAAACGGGTTGGCTATGGTTGGCTTCCAAAAACTTCCATTTGGCTAAGACCCCTGGAAAAAATCTCAAAATATGTCCAGTAGTGAAATCGATTCCTTTAAAACCAAGAGGGGGAAAATACGAAAATATTCCCTTTAAAACCAACAGGGGAAAATACAAAATGTTCATCTTAAGCAAATGGAAGACAAACCCATGGTGTCGGCTTCTGACGCACGCCGAAGCGAGTCCCGAGTCTGGGGCCCGCACTGCTGGGTGTCCTGTTCCTGCTCGATGGCGTCGGCCACATCTTGGGGGATGCCGCGGCGGCTCAGCGTGACCTGTCCTTCAGCGACACGGCTCCTCTGGACTCGGATCTGGGTAATGACAAAGCTATGGTTGGGGTTCTAGTCTTTGGTTCCATTTGCCAATGCTGGTACATTTATTTGAGCCACCGGATGTCCAACCCACTCAGCAGGTTGTAACCAGGGCAAGTGGGAGAATAGAGCTTCTGTTGTAACTACACGCTACTTGCGTAGCTTGAACATCCAAGTATCCCAAACTTGGAGTTCAACCACCCACTTGGTAAGGCAGACTTCAACAAGTTGTTCCAAGGGGAGGTCTAGGCCCGAGGCTTCAGTCCATGCAGCCTGCCACACGGACGTAAAGGAACCACCCCCGGGCCCCCCAAGTGGTATCCCCAACGGAGCAACACTTGGCCATTTCTTGCAATCCCATAATTTGAACATGTCATCAATTTGAGGCCGTGTCGGAACAGACTGCTTGGCCTGATACTGTAGGGCATATATATATATATATAAGAAAAAAGAAAAAACGACATCAAGAAATGGCCGTGGGGCAGAACCTATGGCTCCATTTTGGGGTGCATGAACATCCATTTGCCAGCTATGTTGATGTTCACCAGGGTTTCCTGGGTTTTGACCCACAGCCAAATCAATGGGCATGGGCTCCGAGCCAAGCGACTGCTCTCCGCCAGTGCTAGCCGCACAAGGTCGTGGGGGTTGTCGCTGGTGGCGAAGCCGTGCTGCAAACTCGGCGATCTTTGGAGTGAAATCCCGGAGGGAAAAATGGAGTCGGAAACCAAGGGATATTTGCTGTGCTGATTTTGGGTGGTGATGGTTTTACATTTGTTTTCCTAGTGAGTACAGCGGGATCGCCACCTTCGGGTTTTTGAAAACCATTTGGTGTATTTTAAATGCTTGATCAACAAAAACAGAATGCGATCCGGACTTAGGTACTCGATTTTTCCAGTTAGTAAAAGGGGATCGCCACTTGGGGGTTTTTCACCCCCTAGGTTGACCCACTGAACGGGGGACTTGTAAGTGGGTTAAGACCTAGGTCACCAACCACCTACCAACTTGGCGAATCGACCCAAGGACACTGAGGCGCCCGTTGGGAGGGGAGGGGGGAGGGGGGGAGGGGGAGGCCTTTGGTGTTTGCATGCTGATCTTCAATCACCTTTGCTGTGTGTGTCCGGCGTTTCCTGTCGACGAGTTGTCGAGAATCTTCCCCCTAACATGTCAGGAATAAACTGACATGTTCTATGCAGCCCCTCGCCTAAACCCAAAAACAAAACGACAAACGCTACAAACACATTGACACGAAAAGAAAACAACAGCGCAAAGAAAGAGGCCTCCAAAACAAGGGTTTCTACACTTCTACTTCCCTATCAAAAAGCCGCGGAGTCGCCGATCCCTGTATGGTTCCCTGACCGTGACACGCATGAATTCGCCCACTCGGCATCTTCCGTCACACTTGGCGCGCGGCAGCAGCAGGGCGTTCTCGCGGGTGGGACCCAAACTCAGCTGCTCGCCCGCCTGCGAGGCGGGGAGTTGCGCCAGTTTACCGCTCAGAACTGCCACAACATGGAGGCTGTTGGTGTTTTAGCACCAATTGGGTGGCCGGCACGTGTGCCCATGTCCTTCCCAAAACAATAGACTAAACTGTCAAACTGTGGGAATGGTAGCAAAGAACTTGTTGCTGTAGCCCAGTGAACATGAACAGAACCAAGAAAACACATAAACACCTTAAACACATGCCCACAACGGTGAAGTAAGATATGAGCCACGCCAACATGTACGGTAACATCAAGGGTCTGAGAAACTGGATGACTTCCAAATGATGCTTGTAGAACTTGAAGTGGGCTGCCCCACGTTCCTCTCAAGTTGAACATAGACTACAGGACATTCTGCGCACACCTCATGACCATCCTCCAAGAAAGCCGCAAACCCCCCCCAATGACGGGAAGTTCCTTTCTACTTCTGCGACACCACTGCCAGTGACTTATCATGCCAACCCACAGGAGGGTTCTGCGTCCATGTTCATAAGCTGGTGGGGATGCAACAAATGCGAAGGCAAAATACGGGTGGAGCAAATTCCTGGTAAATCATCCCGAATCCCTACTTCAACCCTCCAATTGAACAAGGACCCGGATCCTGCCACCTCAAACCTCCACAGCCCTTTGCTTGGAGTACATGCTGCCTTCCGAGTCTGGGTTCTCTGTTTTTCCTGAACCTCATTCCATCCAGTTGCCGCAAACAAAACACAAATGCGTTTTTGACCATTTTGGCAGACCCATCGCCTCGAGTCGCCACATATCTGTCCATCCTTTGTATTTATGTGTGCGTTTGTTCCGCCATGACAAACATATGTCTATATATGTATATAACACTGTGGATGGGCGAAATCCTGCACCACTCTGAAACCATGGGAAACCATTGCTTGTTGGTATTTACAGGGGAATCATCATCCCAGGATTCTTAGGTGGTGCAGGATTTCGTGCATCCACAATACGTGCCTATATAATTTTCCACAGTACGTGCCTATATAATTATCTAATATTCTATACATGTGTATATATATATATACATCGCATGTATAGCCGTTTGCGCAAAGAAGACAATGGTCTCTTCACCATTCTTTGTTTGGCCCAGCGCACAGAACCTGAAAATCCCCAAAGGTCAGCCGGTCGCATCCTCCGCGTTCTCCGCCTTCAGGTCTCGAGAGGTATGCAGCGTGGGGCCGTCCAGGCGTACCTGGGACTCTCTGGCTATGAGGAGTCCTTTGCGGGTACTATGGATGGATGAAATCCGTTCGCACCACAAGTGGGAACCGTGAAAAACCACAACGTTTGTTGGTACATTGGAATCATTAGGGTTTCTTAGGTGGTGCAGGATTTTGTCCATCCACAGGTCCGGGTTCTTTGGGAGGTCCCCAATTGAAAAGTTCGTCAATGTACTGGGGGATTCCATTGAATCGATCGACACTTTTAAAGGTTCCAAATAGGATGCCCCGGCTCCTTAGCTCCCTTCCATCCAGTAGCTAGGTGTATCTTCAAATCGGGGACCCCAAAAAACAGGCGAAACGGTGCCTTTTTGGGGGGTTTTCCTTTAAACCAACGCAGGGTACCCACACAAAAAAAAACACAGACTCGGATAGAACAAAACCGTGCCAGGCGCCAGGTGACTTGTTTTGTCCATTCACGGGAGTCTAGACTCCCCAAAAGCGGGTCTTGACCATGGGACTTGTTTTATGAACGATATGAACCCATGGCCAATGGCCATGTTGGACCCTTCGGTGCCAAGTCCATTCAGCTCACTGGCCCAAAGGACCCAACAATACCAGGCGAACCGTGGGCCATGACCAAAAATGGGCCCAAAAAAGGGAAAAATAAGAACAGGTCAAGGGTCAATTCGCTTTGGAGAACTGAAGCCTTCATGCTTGATTTCAACCATAAACCTGGGGTTAGGATCGGTGAAAAACGGTTTTCTTTGTTTTTGGGGTTGGTTGATAACCGACCCACCAAAACCGGGTGATATGTAGATGTTTAAGGGACACTCACCCCTTCAAATGCTGAAAGGCCGGAACCCACGGGTTGCAACGGCAGCAAGCAGTTATTTGAGTGAATTCCCGAAATGGGGGTAGCTCGGCCTTGGTTTTATGGCAATGTCCCGTAGGTTGGGTCAGGGAACTCCTATTTCAGGAAGCAGCCACTCGACTCACGAAATGGATTCGACCCCTAGTCGCGCCAAGCACTCATGGAGCCAACACACCTGCCGACCATTCCTACACCTTCCTACCCTCAAGTCAAGTCGTGGTTGGTGGATGTTGGATGGATGGATTGGATGGATTGGATGGATTGGATGGATTGGATGGATTGGATGGATGGGTGGATGGATGGATGGGTTTGGAAAACTGGTTGCTGTTGACCCATCTGCAAAAAGTTTAGCTTTTTGTGGGTTTAGTGGAAAGCCCAACTTGATTTCAACCAAAAAGCTAAAGTCTAAAGATCCAACCCAATAGCAGTCAAGAAAAAGGCCAAGACCCCCCAACGAACCTTCCGTGAGCCACGGCACATTGGCCTTTTTGGGCCGCACCAGCAGCGACTCCTCGGCTCCACACTCCGAGCTCGGATGCGCCGATGCCGTGAGGCCCAAACCTTGGCAGAGGCAAACCTGGACGACAAACAAAAACGATTCTGAAGAAAATGATGATACATGAGAATGCGTTTGTATATATATATATACATACATATGTAAAATGGAATCATAATGGACATGTTTATTTGTTTAGAAGTGTAATCCTTTCCAACCGGTCGACTACTTGCTGATGCCATAGGTAGGGAATGACTTAGCCAGTCCGGGTGTTGGGAATGAACCGTCTGGGGACTCCCTTTCGTGACAGTGGCCAGGGTACCACAAGAATATGCCAGCACCCCACCGTGCCTGCTTTTGAACCAGGTCCAGAATCCCAAGTACTCAAACCAAAAATCAGTTGTTGGGAAGGCCGAGGGGTGTGTGCTGGCAATTGTGTCTTCTTTTCATGGCATCCTTTATAACGGGGAACCATTTTGAGGGTCCCCGATTTTGAGACAACCCCGTTTCGCCCGTTGCTATGTTTGGAGATGACTGCTTTGAAGGGAAAGCCAAAGGAACCCTGCTCATGCGGGTTGTTCCTTTGTGTTGAACCAAACCCATTTAAAATGAGGTTGGGGATGGCGAGGCACCGCCTGCTTCACGTGGAACAAAACATACTGCATGTAGAATGGTCTTTCTGGGAAGTGGAACTTGTGTCAGGAAGGGGATTCCTTCAAATCATGGGGCTTCAAAACGAATCGAGCCTCTAAAAGTTAACCTTTTGCTGATTCCAAGGAAAGCTGAAGGAAACGCCAGGGAAACCGGGCAAAAAGAATAAGTATGGCAAGCCGAAACATGCGCCAATCTTTGGCGAGTTTGTTTGCGGCCTTCAGAGGGGAGCTGTGCCTGAGGTGAGGTGGTTTGGGGTACCATGTGTCTACACCGCCTGCTGCGCGCCATTCATTGCCTTTGCCTCAAGGGTCAGTTTGCTCCATGAATCAAACAATGTGTGGATCATGCTGCGTGTTTGCGTGCCGTTGAAGCCTTTGCGAGTGAAAGTTCCTGTTTTGTACTTGCAGCGGCGTCTGCATCATGCCTTGCGGACGTCCAAAGTTGGAGAAGGATGCCTGTTGCCCATTGGCTGTACGGAAGCCAAGACAGGATTGCTCATAAACAGTTTGTTGGCCCCTTCTTCGGTCCCGTGCTAATTTGCTGGGTGCTACTATGTAAGGAACTGGAACCACTACCGGGAAACACACGACATGGGTATGTGGCAACATACGGTACGCCAATCGTGGTGTTCCATGTGGTTTCCCTTCAAATCAAATTCAAAAGGCCACCCTCAAGAAAACGACGCACGAAAACACATGCAACACACCCACACACACACCCACCCAGCCACCCATCCACCCACCCACCCACCCACACGCGCACCCACACACACACACACCCGCCCACCCACACGCGCACACACACACACACGTCCTCGCGCTTCACCAAGCAGCGCTTCACCAGGGGCTGGAAGACCTCCGGCCACTGCGCCACACCGAAGGTGCCCTGCAAAGGCCAAAGGGTCGCAACCCAACCGACCCAAAGGGCACCAAGAATTCAAAAAAACGTACTAACTTACTGGAGTGGTTTTGAGCAGTGGGTGACCCTTTAATTTGGGCATCAATTAACTTTCTAAGGGAAAAGGAGCTGAACATCTGGTACTCAAGGAGTTGTTGCTTTGACAAGCAAACTTGAAAACACCAATTAGGTCCCATTTTGATTGGCAAGGGGTCTACCCAATCCTAGACACAAAGTAGTGCCACACGAGCAGCTGATGTTGAGACTCCCATTGGCCCACACCCCTCCCCTCCCACTAGCGTGGAACCCTGGCTGAAGGCTCCTCTAAGTGGCATCGGGCGGTTAGATACCCGCAAGCCGAAACCCGCTTCCAACTCCCAGCCTTTGCCAGCAACTGGAATTCTGTTTGGGGAGGGGAGGGAAGTGGGGCAGCTAAGTTCGAAGGAGAACATATCTTTGCAGCAGGCCCTGCATCTGTTTCAAGATAAGAACCTGATGTCTAATGGATTGTAGTGTGCTGGAAGTCCCTGGTATGTGTATTACATACTATGGCGCGAGAGCAAAGCAGCAAGGCTTTTTGTATATAGTATTCTGTATCAAAGAAGGGCCTTGAGCCACAATACAATGATGATAATATATGATTGCGTGATGGTCAATTGGTTCAAACAAGAGAACAAAAAACAAGTTTGTGTTGACCTTCAGCATCGAATTACTGTCTCAAAGATCTGTACCGTAGCAACATATCATATGGTTCCAACCATGATCAAAGGGTCGCTCGAATTGGTGACCCGGACATGTTGGATGCGTCGCTGTATTTATATAAATGTAACAAACTGATTGCACCGTGCTGACCTTCCAATACATGAAGCACGGCCGAACAACATCTTCAAACACCTGCTGAACTTCTTGGCGCACGCGCTTTGCTCCCAGCAGCGTTCCAAAGGGGCAAAGGGCAAGAGGCGAGTGGGAGGAACACACCTTTCAAACCTCCGTCCTGAAATTCCTCGCGACCGCAAAGCAGAAGCAGTTTGCTAATCAGGCACCATCGGACAGAAAGGGGCCAAACACACTCCCACGCCCTGCGCCCCATATGCCGCGCGATCGGCGCTCGTCGGGCTCGCTTTATAGTTGCGTTTGCTGGGTCACCGGCATGCCAGATTGGACGCTCTTGTATGGTGTGTGGCTTCTGAGGCGTCGCCCGCGCCGTACGTACTTCGTGCGCTCTGGGGCAAGTTGCTACAAACGATCCGGCCCTGTGGAGCCGCCGCTCGCGAGCGTCAACGCTTGCCGCAGCCGCAGGTGGCTCAGCTTCTTATGCGCTTGGCATCACTCAAGTCAACCAATCACATATGTTTTCTCTCTCTCTCTCTCTCTCTTCCTTGCCACTGCAATGCTCATCCTCCTCATCCTCTTCGTTGGCTGTCCTCGCCGCAACCACCCCGTGGAGCATCCAGCGCCTTGTACACACTAGCTGGTTCGACGAAACTTGGTGACCGCCTACATTGGCATCGTAGTGTGTGCGCATGATACACTTTGTCCACGACGCAAGGGCCCGGAGAGCCGGCCCATCTCCACCAACTACAATGCAACAAGATACGCCCGCAATAGCTTGACATCTGCGCTCTAGAAGACCTTTGGAGAACCTTGCTCATCATGAAGATATCCACCCTCGCTGCGCGGCATGCAGAAGCGCTTGGGGCACGCGCGCGTAGCACTACACGCACGCCCGCCAAGTCATAAGCACACCCGCTCAAGCGCGTCCGCGTGGCACTGCCCGCACGCCTTTGAATCACCAGCGCTCTCAAGCGCACCCGCATAAAAAATGACTGTACACACGCCTGGAAAATGATAAGCACACTCGTTCACGTGCGTCCGCTCGCCTGCCAAATCATGAGCACACCAGCTAAAGCGACGCGTACTAAAAAGGCACAGACGAAACAACACCAAAACTCTGATACTCCCACCAAAAATCCTTCCCGAAAAGGGCCTCCACTGCGCCCTTCTTCTCCGGAATTTGCAGGAGCACCTGAGGCGCAACCCTTCGGAACTCAAGCATTAGGCTTTACAAACGCCTCAAGCTTCCAATGCGAGGGTGTATTGATCGAGATGTTCGGTCTCGGAGAGGCACCAAAAATTTCTGCGGAAAACAAACCCAAGCCACGCCTCGTTGGGCGGCAGCTGGGAAGTGGCGAAGAGACCCCAATCGACACCTTGCAGGCTCCATCTTCCCGAGCTGGAAACCGCTCAGCTGCCCTCTGATTGGTGGTTTGAATTGGGGGTCCTCTACAAGAAACAAGGATTGAAATCCGCAAGCCACCGTCCAAAGTACCAGTTTTTGGGCTACCTGGGTTAACTGACATGTTGCGACAAACTTTCGAGGCTCTGTGCATCTGGTCTTGCACCGTGCAACGCGGCCGTCAACGCAGTGCCAGGGGGCAGCGTGTGGAATGACGATTCTCCTGTAATACCAACAACAAATGGTTTCCCATGGTATCAAAATAGCAGGGAACCCTGAGAGAACTGCAAGCACCGAGGCATACTGGGAAAAAACAGGACCCGGGACCCCCATGGGTGTTTCTCTTGGGCAGGGGTTTTAAAGCAGGCCAAAGGGTATTTCAAACCCATCATGTTGCTTTGTGGATTTGTGTGTAACGTGCTTAGCCTCGAAGCCAGAAAGCTCCACATTCCAGTTGAAGCGCAACCCACGCGCCGTGCTGCCAATCTCGATTTGGGACACGTGCCGTGGTCAAGGCTTCTGTGAGATGTCCTGGACACATTGGTTCTGCAAGCCCCCCCAGTATCCCCAAATTCAAGGAAGGATCTATGGCCATTTTAACTGCGAGTAAGCAAACCAATCGTTTACGGCATAAAGGTGTCCCAGCAGAAAGACATCCCCGTTTCCGCTTGCACCGTTTTGTTTGGAAACCGCCCCCTCAATTTTGCCTTTTCAATTGCCAACCAACAATTCAAAGCCATACGCAACAGTGTTCCCTACTTTCTCGTTTCGAAATCAAGCTCACATTGATAAACAGGACCAAAAGGTGAGGCCACGATCGTGGGGGTTTGTCAATCTCAACGAGCCGAAACATGCGAATTATCTTGCGGTTCGTGGTGTAGGACACCTTCAGAGGCTTCCCATGTCACAGGTGTCCTTTTTTGAAAAACAGATGGTCCTGGTTGCTTAGATGGTTGAGTCACCAAGCAGACCCAGCGCCCTCCAATTTTCAACCAAAGCCACCAAAAAGGACACTTCTGGCTACCATGTTCTGCTTCCCGACGAAAACCGACGAAAAACGGCCCGACGAAAACGCCTTCCTGCCGCAGCTCCACCCGGTCAGCGTTTGCCCGCGCAAGCCAGGACTGCGGGGACTCCAGGTTCGCGGGCGCCGAGGGCCCCATGGGCCCTGGCTCCTCACGGCTCCGATTTCTGCGGCTCACGAAATGGAGTCCCCAAAAGTCGCGCGTCTCTTCTTCAAATTCGGGGACTCCACTCTTCACATGTTTGGGACTCCGCAAAGCCCCATTGGGTGAGTGAGGACGCACCTTTGTCGGGTCCCCAAAAAACAAAACAGCCCACTGAATATACCCTCCAAACAAAAACACATATTGTCTTGCCGATGTCATATGATGTGCGCAAGTCGGCCCGGGGATTAATCAACAATAATTTGCGAAGAATCAGTTGGCATGTGCTTTAACAGGGGTCAACTAGGGATGTTTGTCGCAAGACCTTGTGTGCTAGCTGTTTGTTGCACAGAGTCACCAGTGTCGATGCAAGAAGTCTAACATCTATGAAGGGACTACCTTTTATCCGCGCCCATTGGAACAGGCCCCTCTACTTCAGCCACAGGTTCCTCAGTTGTTCAGTGACCCTGGAAAAAAAGGGAACCCTTTTGACTCGGCTTCCATGTCGGTGAGGACATGCGGAAACGCGGGTCACAGGGGCATGCCGTCCCAGGACCTCACAGAAACGGGCAACTGGTGCCCCAAAGCCAAAGTGCAGGGGGCAAAGCCTCACCCCACACCTGGCGTGGTGGGCAGCGGGGTGCTGCGTGAAACGGAGTGCCACCCGGAGTAACGTGGCAACGAATCGAAGCGCCCACCAGAAGAGGGCAGATCACAAAATCAAAAGTATGCTGTACGCAGCAGAGAACCCGAAAGTTGAACAGGATCCAGCAAAGCCACATCCAGCCAGACAAGACGGGGCCTCCGAAGCCGTTGACCCAAGAGCACCGGGAAATAAGGTGAAGCACCACACGGCTGCAGTACCAGTCCCACCGGCAAGGAAGGTAGGAATCCCGCGTCTACCTTGGCACCGACTGCTGCAAGCACTGGAGACCCACAGGTACCATGAGAAAAGCAGCCTGCGTCACAACTGCCGAAAGTCCCACAGTGACGAGAGGGCACAACCAGGCTCCAGAAAGAACCACCCAAATATGCAGACGCAGAGCGTGCAGAGGACGAGTCATCAAAGGGGTCAAAAACCCGCAAGGAAAGGCCCGCGGCACCTTCACCCAAACAGGTGTTCAGAAGATGGGGCCAGCCCGAAGGCCAGGAATCTTCACGGGTACGGCGGGCCAAAGGCCTGCGCCTCCAAGCAGAAGCACTCCATGGACAACAAACCACAAACACGGCCAAGTAGAAGAGGGTGAACAGGGGGTTCACGAGGAGCAGGTTGAAGACGGAGCTGCCAGCCATGGCTTTTTGGACGCTGGACCGGGCTATGGAGCCCCAGCCCAGCCCCGGGGGCTCAACTCCCTGAGCCGACGGGCCTTTGAACCCGGACGGCTAAAAGGAACCCTTTTTGGGGAAGACCATTTCTGGTGAACCAGCCAAGAAAAAGGGAAAATAATTGGTGCCACTGAACAACTGAGGTTCTGATTGCTCCCTCAGTCCTTCGCCTTTCGTTTTCTGCGCTTCACTTTCTGCTTCAATTTCGGCGCATCCAAAGCCGCCACCTCCGCCACGGCCGCGGCTGCCGTCTTTCGCTTCAGCTTCTTTCCCATAGCGCAGGGTGAACGGTTTCGATACCTTTCCTGCCAAAGTAAAACCCTGGATTCAATCATTATCTTTCGAATCCGATAAAACCATCGCCTTCAACCAAACAAGGATCTTCCGGGCAAGAGCAAATGGGGCCGTGTTCAGCCGGTGTGTGTGTGTGTGTCAAAAAATACCAAGTCGTGCCTCCCTTTGGTTTCCTTTACAACAACCCCTCGCTTCCTGAGTGGATTCAAAACTTGCTGTTTGCCACGTCCTCTCAAAAAGCTTGAATTACTCAGGGAGTGAGACCCCCTTGTGGCAAACAAGTCAGCCCACATCAAGACAACTCGCCCAATTCGCTTTGGACAAGTCAAGGAAACAATCTGAACAAGCCGTGCCGGTACATTTTTAGGAATCCAGTTGTCTTGAGGCCGACATCGCACGCTGAGACTGGTCCGTGACCAAGCGCCCCCTGTCTGGACAGCGGGGGTCCCCCCCGCGCGTGATTGTTTATAATAGGAGCGTGGCTAGTGCTTCTTCTTGCTTGCGGCAAGCTCTAAGCCCAAGCTCAAAAAGGTGCATTTGGCAGTCGGTGCTTCGTCAGTGCTCTCTGAAAGCAAAGCATTGGAGAACCATTGCAATTCTACCACGATGCTGGTACAGGTTCGCATGGGTCCTCACGATTATCATCGCACCATTCATCCGCGTAGATTGAGCCAACCACGTCCACCCAACAAACAAATGATAAATGAAGGCAAACCATAGGGCTTCCAGCTTCTTCCCATTGCAAACCATACTGTGGATGGACAAAATCCTGCAGCCAGTGAGTAGGCGATTTACCCAGCATATCCCAGTCCTCATAGGGTTTCATCCATCCCAACTGGTGCAGGATTTCGCTCATCCACTAGGGCCTCCAGCTTCTTCCCCGTGCAATGTTTACCTGGGCTGTCCCTACCCCTGTCAAAAGATTGACTAGTGCGTTCAACGTTGAAGCCCCCACCTAAGAAACCGGATGGCTGGGAACCACCAAGTTGCCTCGCAGGTGTCGATCCTAATCACACAAGCCCCATCTCCCCCAGGGGGCGGGGACCCGGTCGCAGGCGGCTTTAGCCGAGCCGACCTGCAGGGAATGGCAAAACCCGGACGAAGTTTCGTTGGTGCACCAGCAAATATTTGGATGTTCAACCCACTTAGCAAGTGCATTATACGTTGTAGCCATGGTTGCAAGTGGGGCAACTGAAGTTGGCTTCCTTTAACGTTGCATCCAAGTTGTCAAGCGACACTGGGTAGAAAAGGGAAACGGGTGTTGGAGTTGATCATGTTTAGCAGGAACTCCAATGAACAACTCGGTCTCTAAGTGAAGAAACTGGTCAACCCTAAATCCTTGTTGGGGCTCCCTGTAAAGGTGGCACAAACCGTCACCAGGGTCCTGAAAAGAGCTCGCTAGTGTTGAAGACCCCGCGCCCGTATGTGTTTGCTACAGGTCAACAGGAATTACATGTAATCGAACATGTGGAAGCCGGATTTTCAGTCGGCGTTCCAGAAAAGATTGACCCTCCACCAAGCCAAGTCTCTCTCTACTTGCTTTCCTCATGTATTGATCTACTGCGACCTCTCTGTTGGGAAACTGTGCGAACTGAAGCGGAGGCGAAGCGAATCAAACCAAATGCGCTCCTCACCCAGTCCGCTCTTTCCGGGAGAACTTGCACTACAACTACGAAGCGATTACAGGGTTTTGTACCTATAACACAGAGTTCCGCTCCACACTTTGGCTAATCGATCTGTCTCAAGACAGCTTCCATTAGAGTCCAGGACAGCGGCGAAATGAGAGAACATGAGGCGCCAAAAACTGTTTCACGAGTTTTTGTCTGCCTTGGGGTTGGGGGTCTGTGGGGGAACTCGTTGAGAAACTCAAAGGAAGCTGGTCCATTGGTGTCTCTAGAGCTGCTTTGGTTCTACTAGCTAGTGAGGGTTCGTTTGTCATGTTCCACACGGGGATTAGGGTTATTTCGATACAGAACACCAATGAGGTTTCCGCCAGCGTGTTGACAAATGGGGGGATTCCTTTTGTTCTGAGGTGTCACAACACAAACAACAAACCAGGAACGACCGATTCAGAGTGAAATAGACTCACCTGCAACCAAAGACCATACAAGCTGATGTTGGGATAGCCATGACTCAACGTAGATCAAGCAGCGGAAACCAAGCATGGCCAACAGGACAAGGGTCGAATCCTATTCAACTGAGGGTGTCGACCGGGGGGGTCATTTTTCCCCAAAAGTGATTTGGGCTTCTCTTAAACGGGGCACCCCCAAAATTCAGCAACGCGTGGTTTGCCAATCCTCGCTTTCCATTGAACAATCCAGTTTAGCAAAAGAAACTCGGTTGCTTCCTGCCCCCCTGTCAAAAGTTTAACTTTTAGTGGTTTAGTGGAAAACCCATTGGTTGGCAAAACGCAAAATGCACCAAGGAAAGAAGGGGTGGTCATCCCTTTGGCCCGACCGGCCTCATTCTTGGTGACCTGGAGGTGGTTCCTGAGACTGTCGTTAAGGGGCTGGGTAAGCCAGAACCATTTACCGAACTGATCCTACAGGTCCCTTCAGGTATCCGCTAATTTGGTGGTTGGTGGTTGGTGGTTGGTGGTTGGTGGTTTGGATGGGTGGTGTGGGGATTTGAATCCTTGGTTCTTGTGGGTAAATGGAAAACCACCCCCCAAGCCTCCAAACCACAATCCAAACCATCACAAAGGGAAGCTGATTCCTTGGTCTCTTTCGATTCCAGGATGACCTCTTTGGACCCTCTGGGTGACACAGGGCAAAAACACAAACAAGATTCCAATCATCGGTGAGGTTGCAACCAGTCGCTACAAATTGCTTCATGCCTTTTACCTCGGGCAAAATTGGGAAACTCAAACAACCTGCGAATAGCGGGTTAACGATTGAATCGGTTGACCTCTGCATGGGTGCGGCTCAAAAGCAGGAATCGGCCTCCCTGGCAAACGGGAAAGTAGACAAACACCTGCAATCCCTGGCTCTGAATTTTCGAGCACACCCAGATCTGGACCAAGCCAGGAACAAAGCAACTGGGGTCCTCAGATCCCCTGCTAAAAGTTGAGCACTTTTTAGTGGCTGAGATGGACACCACTTTTTACTAAACCGCCCAAAAACCCCCAAACAACCCTAAAACAAATGGCTGGAAACGGCCAAGCCAAGAGGTCCAAAGCAGAGGGCACGGGCCTCCGAATCGATTCGATTCCGCCAGCTTCAGGGTCCCGGGACCCGGTAAAAAGCTGTTGCTCACGTTGAGTGAGCCAACCAGAAACAATGATGTCAACAACGGCCCCCAGAATTTCTCTAGGTCCTCCAGTAGAGAGGTTAGAATCAGGGTAGCCATTTTTTTCTGGACGTCTATTTTAGTAGGGGAACCCTCCCCCAAAAAAGACACGGTAAAAGGGCAATACTGGGGGACCTAGTTCTGGTGGTCAAACGGTAAGATGAAGCCCAGCTCTTCGCACGCTGGGGCACGGGCTGCATTTGGATGAGCGAGCTCTGCAGGTGCTGATGCGCCTGGCCGGAACGAGCGGCCGAGAAACTGGTGACCCGTCGGCCGGTTCCAAAAACAACTGGGTGTTGGTGTTTTAAAGGGAAATTGTGTTGCCATTTTGGATGTCCCCTGAAAAGACACCAAATTGGGCACTTGTAACAGCAATGATGACAACAATGACGACAACGACAACAACAGCAACAGTGGTTGTTTGCTCCTCGCTCCCATTGCTTTGACTACTGCCCGACAAGCTCTCGTTTCGCCATTATTGCAATAATCATCACAATTGAGCCACTTGCCAGCCCGTTACAACGCCTTTGTTCGATTTGTGCCTGCATTGTGAAAGCTTGGGGGTGTCCTGAACTCGGGGAGCCCTTTTAATTGTTCCTGACTGGTGCGTCCCTTTGCAGAAAAGCCACAAAAACACTCACCCCTTTGAACAAGTCAGGATGTTTCTTTCAAAAAATCCGTCAAACACCGCCATGACGGGTCCATCAATCTGGCGTGACCCACCTGACCAATTCCTTTCGGACAGCGCCCGCGCCTGGGAGTAGGACTTCTTCAAGGCTTCCAGCTCGTAGGTCTTCTGTGACAGGTTCTGCTGCAAAGTGTTCACGTCCTACGACGGATACCAGGCCGGGGATACCAAAATCGATCGAGGGGCCCCCACACCCAGACTTGGGCTCACCCCGACAGGAAATTAAATTTAAAGGAGCAAAGAGCTCTAAACGGGGAGACTCTGGAGGATACCGAAAACACAAACTCATCCGAAGCCATTTTTGCTTCTGGGAAACGTTCGAGGTGGCCACCTTTCGCTTGCTTTTGGGTTTTTTCACAGTGGACCATGACGGGAAACCAATACAGGGAGACGGTCACGGCCGTTGGCCTCGATGCAAATGGCCACTTCGATTTCTAGTCCTTCGACCCACCTGGGACCCGATGGTTAGCCTGTGGGCGTCCCTTCAAATGGGTATGTCTTTTGTTGAGGCGAAGGTACCCATCTTGTTTGGTGGTTTGAAGGGATATCAAACAACACATTTGTTTGCCATGTTTGAGCCTTCAGCATCGCAGGCAATGTGCCCAGATTCTGATCTATCGAAGCAACCCATTTTTCTCTGGACGTCTATTTTAGTAGGGGAACCCTCCCCAAACAAAAGTTGGCAAAAGGGCACTCCTGGGGGACCTCGTCAAGCAAAAGGTGCTTGGATCAACAATCCCCCAATCCCCCGCTCGCTGCTATAGGCCAGCGGCCTTGCCTTTGTTTCCCTCAAGACACGGAAAGCGCAAAAACCGGCTCTCGTACCCTGAGAGCCGGGAAAAAGGACCTGTCCCCTGGTGTCCCGGAAGGAGCTGGAGGACATACGGCAATACGTTGGAAATCCCGCCAAAAAGGCAGATTTCCCCTACAATACGTTGGAAATCCCGCCAAAAAGGCAGATTTCCCCTAGCTGGGCAAACCGGGTGCCCAGCTTAAAAGACATTCTGACATACCCATGTGTCGTACATGCGATGGTCATGGTCATGGTCCCTCTTCTGTGATAGGAGCGACAATCCTCGTTTGTTTTCATTAACCTATTGAAGGATTAGTGACCATCTCTTGCACCGGCGGCTACCCCCACACCAATTCGGACCCTTCTCTTCCCGCTCCCAAGGACCCTGACACAGGGTGATATTTGGCCCCGTGTCCTGCATCATCTCCGTATCCGACTGAGTCCTCAGGCCGAGATGGGGGGTCTCCCAGGTCCCAGGCGCTTGCAACCACAAGGACCAACAAGACGCGATCACGACCAAACAGTGGACCAAAACGGACAAAATGCCAAATCAGGGCTGTAACCCAGCTAAAGGGCACAAAGCCCCGTGTCAGGGATTCCCCTTTTGAAGTGCTCCAAGTGATTCTTTACGCAGGCTACATTCGGAAAGGCGATCAACCTCCAGGTGTGGCCTCTAAGCATCTCCAAGCTTCCCCGACTCCTACTGGGCAAAATGTGGTACACCACACGCCCCAGGTCCCCTTTGGAGGACAACCAATGAAGTTCTCCAAACAATACCAAGGCCCTTTACTTCCAGATACACCCAACCCCGGCTCAAAATCCATTTCGCACCACCTAAGAAACCCAACAAAATGATGACCCCCCTATAAATACCAACAAACGTAATGGGTGGTGCGATTTCTGGATGTTCGCCACCATCCACAGCTATGCCCAAACCAAAAACCGCCAACAAAAATCCTTCCGGAAACCCAACGCACCGCCGCCTCCCCGCGCCGTCGAATTCTACGAATTCGACCCGCCGATTTTCCGCGTCGAAGCGGCTTCTGCTTCACCAGCGCCGTGATCTCTCCAAAGGCCGAGGTCAACTTCTCCCGCAAATCCGTCAGCTGAGACCTGCGAAGGGCGGGCCAAATGGGGCCAAATCCGGCCCCGGCGTCTTGGGGGCTCTGGGCCCTTCTTTTTTTTTCCAGTGGCATGTGGTTCGTGTGGCTAGCTGGAAGGTTGGTCTTCTTTTTCCAGTGATTGATTGGTTAGTGTGGCTAGCTGAAATGCATCTTCGAAATGGAAATCCGCAAAAAAGGTGCTGTTTTCCAGTACCATGGACATTTGTTCGCAAGGACAACTACTAAAAAATACTACGCAAAAAAGTTGGAAGAATCGTACGAACAAACACTAAGAAGTTGAAAACTGGGGCGCCCGCCCATAGGCACCCGCGTAGGATACAACTACTTAGGTCACAGCCTAGAACTGAGGAACTGGGGTTGGCTCCATATCTTATAACCATGGCTATAACCTAAGTGGGTTGAACATCCAAGTTGCTGTCTTTCCAGACTTACCCCACAGGTTTTCGAAAGCATGGCCAGTTTCTTTTTCCGCCTGGTACTGCCCAAGGTGCTGCCAAAACACGAGTCCAAACTTCGACAAAAGTGGTGACATGTGCTTTTGGAAAAATAAGCAGCAGCCCGATCTAGGCATGTGCTTTTGTTAGGCGGGTCATTACCTCCCTTCCCGAGTTGATGGGCCAAAAAAGTCCCAACTTGTTGTACGCCACTGCAATGGTCTTCCCAGAAAGCATAAAGTCCATGAACTCAGGGTGTGAGTTACAATTCGCCCAACTGGTTGTGCAAAACCAATCCGTGCTGATCAAATTGACCTAGTTGTAACCAGCTCCCCGGCTCCAGGACTGAGAATGGCGAAACCCATGAACAAGGCAGGAAGGAGAGGGAAAAGGACAGGTAAACTCAACAAGACGCAAATAAATAGAATAAACATGACAAATGAACTACAAGTATTAAAAGAAACAAGAACGACAAGTGACGTCTGGAACAGAAAGAACAAATGGTATGCCCAGGAGTAAAATGACCAAAACTACTGCAGGGGGGGGAACGGATGGGAGATACAGTAAAGAGAAGAATGCTATCACTCCCGATTATGAATCTATTATCATCATGTTGAATACTTATGTTGTATTCCTAATACAATCTCATTTACAATCAGATCCTTGTCCTCTGATGAAGCATCATTGTTGGGAATAGTTGTTTGTTGCTTCTGTTTTTAGAATTAATATTATATTACAAAATATATCTGGAATCTTCTCAGGCTTACATGTAACAGATATGAATTCAGCATGATTCAGTAAGTGAGTTTTACTCACAGAAATATAGTGTGGATTGATTGTGTTTACGGTTTCTTCATGGTGCATCGTTCGTCTTTCCGCTTGTATTCCTATATACATCTTGGAAGAGCTATATCTTATGCTTCATATGTTTATAATCCTAATGCTTGGTTGTCTGGAATAGTGATTTACTTCTTCTTGGTGGGAACAGCATTTATGGGTTATGTTTTGCCGAATGGACAAATGAGTTTATGGGGAGTTGCAGTAAGTACAAATTTATTATATCCCATTCTATCTTGAGTTGAATGGCTTTGTGGAGGACATTATGTTTACAATCCAACTGTGACGAGGTTCGTTGTCTTTCATTCTCTATTGACATTTCCTCTGTGTGGTGTTCTTCTTTTCCATATTGTGAATTTACAGTTCCTATCTTATGATAATCCTATGAGGAATTTCACTAATACAAAATAGCAGTGGAGCACAGACCATGAAACACCTCCAAACTAGGCACCACCTTCAACACTAGGCACAACCTTCAAACAAATGGGGTGTAGTGGGGTGTATCCAAATCTATATGTGTGTGTCATCTACGGGAACCCTCAGCCCTCGGAATTGTGGCTTGCCTTTGTTCTTTCCTTTTGAACCACCCCAAAAGGTACCCTCAAAAAAGATGTACACGTGTATACTTATATATATACATAAGTCATACACAGTTGATGCATACCCGTAGAAGAGCAATCATAGATTTGCTCAGTCACTTGAGGCGCCCCCGACAAACTGACAAACTCTGAGCTTCCCACTGCATCTGCTGGGAGATACCTGGAGCTCGAGAGACTTAAACATGGGAGCCAAGACGTGGTTGCTCTTGATCCCCTTCCAAAAAGAAGATTATCTTGTGGGTCCAACGGAAACCCACTGTTTCCCAACATGTTAAAGTCCGAAGATCCAACCAAATAGCCACAAAGTAGCCATAAAGAAATAGTTTCACAAGGGAAACCAAAGGCCAAAAACCTAAGCACAGATATTCTGAAGGCTCGTTCGTAGACTTGGGATCGAAAATGCCCACTTTCACCATGTGCTGAAACTGTCACCATCCTGTCCAAGAGGAATTCCCAATCAACTCAACGCTACTGAGATCTGAATCATGTTGGGAGGGCAAGCACAAAAATATATAACCGCCATTACTCCAAAGTTGAAAAGCATGTGTTGATTCCGACAATGGCATATCGCCAGATTCAAACATGCAGAGTGCACTCATTGCAAGTCTAGGGTTTGCCCTACACGATCAAACCGACCCTTGGCAACAGGAGACGAAGTGATCATATTGCCCACCTACACAAAAGTTGAAGGATCTATTCCAAGGCCAGACAACAGCTGTGTTCGATCCTTCCAACGACATAAAGCCCTGGGTTCCACCATCTTTGCCGAGAGCCTGGGATTGCGATGCAACCGAGATGCAGACATTGGCGTTGAGCCTATATGAGTCAAAGCTTGTCCAGTCCGCTGCGCCTTTCATCACGGAACCACACCGGAGATTTCGAAGCAGACTTCCCAAGACCAGAATCCTAACCAATTCCAAAATCTCGACTGGCCTGGAACTGCAACTCATTTCTTCATCCTCAAACCTGCACATTGGGAACCTGAAAAGGACCAAAGGAAGCTATCCAAATCTATGCCCTTGCGGTTTGGACGTCGAAAGGCCCAGAGCAAAGCTATCGCATTTCTACAACGGGGTAGTCCTAAGGAATAAGCGTGAGAGGGTCTTGGGAAAACAAAAGAACAAACCCTCGGTTTTGGGGGGGTCCAACCTTAAAAAAAACAAAAACGCTCCCTACTAAGACCCCCCAAAGTTCCCAAAACTCCCAAGAAAAGCCCCAAGTGCCGCGATTTCTCCGGGGGGCGACTCACGCCTCCACCAGAAATAGAAAACAAAAGAAGAAAAACAACGCAACCAAAAGCAGCGGAGCCCGCGAGTCCGAAGTCCGCGAGTCCGGGGCACCGCTGGAGTGGCGCTTGAAGTCCGTAAGCTCCATGTTGTTGGTGGTGATGCTGTCCCGGATGATCGACCTCCCATTTTTCGGAGAGCTATGGTGAAAGAAACTCATATAGGGCCAGAAAGCAATAAAATAATTGTGGTTTTTAGGGGGGGTGTTTTTTTTTGGGGGGGTTTTCTCTTTGGTTGATCCATTTCCCTTCGGCCCCCAGTTTTGACCATGGGTAACTTCCCCCAGTTAGTGGTTGGAAATATCATTTCCCCCAATGAGCATCCCATGTAAAGGACCTTTTGATCGACCGACAGAGAGTTGCTGAGATTGAAACTGGCTCCATGGAAACCTTTTCTTGGCGATCCGTTTGTGATCCGTGGTGTTGTGGAAAAAAGCCATGTCTGAAAAGGCGATGCTTTTCAGAGGTCACTGGATTGCACCAACTAGATAGCACGTAGCGTCCAGACCATTTCCCGCGTAACGCGTAAAAGGACATCGGTGGCCTGGTTGGCTCGGAGTTTAAACCGTTGCTTCACGGATTGACCTGGACTTCCAATCAACTCAATATGGAAGCCAAAAGAAATTGCTCTACACTTTGATAGGGTCTTAACCTTAGGACGAGTAGCACGAAACATGGCAAAATGGTTTGCCTTGTGAGCACACAGCTTTTTTAGGGAAGGGACGAGCCTGAAATTGTAGAAACCATGTTTAGGGGGATCCCTTCTTTTTGCGCAGGGGCGGCAAACACTTCATGGCAGGTTTTGTAGCTGACTTTGCAGCTCGAACAAAAGCCTAATGAAGACATCCTGAAGTTCAGGCAGAGCCATATCAGCTCTTCTTTGCTAGTTCTTCTGTGTTGTGTATGTGTGTTGGATCATGATTGAACCCCGACCATTCTTCGTGGGCTGTGATCAACATGTACGGGGCCTGTACAGCCAGAACACACACACACAATGACACCAGGGTTCCAAAAACTTCCCCCAGTTCCTTCCCTCGACCGCCGCTTGCAAGTCGCAGCTCAAGGGGTGTTGCTGTGCGGGTTCACTTCGACCATCTCACATGCCGCAAGGCCGCTATTTTGGTCAACCCGCCAAGTGCTTGTGCGTCTAAAGCAGCGAAAACCTACCTGAGAGGCCAAATACTGAACAATTGCCACAAGGCTGGTTGCCTTGGCTTAAGTGGCTGGATGGGCGATTAACAAAAAACAAAAAAAACTGGAAAGCTACACGCAGCACCTTGGAAACTATAGGACACCATGGGAAACCGCGAGTTTCCCTCAATTCAACATGAGAAACCATAGGAATCCGTTGAACCACGTGGAAACCACAACGGAAACCGCGGGTCTCCCCCAAACCTTGGAAGAAAGCTGCCGCGGTTTGGTTTGAGTCGCCCACGTCTCGGAGAGGATCTCCTGCACCGTGCGGTTGTTCTGCACCTGGCATCCATCGGACTGGTGCCGAGGTTCCGATCAAATGGGGGGTGTTCAGATTCATATAACATATATTAATACTTATTGTGTTTTTGGTTTCTTTTGGGCTTTGTTTTGGCCAATCAATACTCCCTTCAGCCAAAAAGCGATGGTCCTCCCGTGTAAAGGTCAAACCCAAGATTTATATGATTAAAATCACCTTCTCCATGACCATCCCAAGGCAAGGGGTAAATTGATGGCAGATGTGACACGTTGCCTTCTCGAGGCTCTCAAAACGGGGGGGTTTCCCTTTACTGGCCTTTGAAACCACCCCCCAAGCTATCCTCGAAAATTACAGGCCCATGTAAGCCAAAGCCGATATCCAGCTTGGTAAGGTTTGCCCACATTCCTATTTCCTCCATGTCATCCCCTTTACACTAAATGACCATGTCTACGGCCACTACATACAGCAATCCGTACATGGTCCAGGTTTGCCAAGCCACCCGCCCCCCCCCCAAAAAAATGAGAGAACCAAAAAGAGAGACCCCTCGAGATCTGAGGACTCCGAAGGGACGGTCCTCTCGTGGAATGCTCGGCTCAGCTCGAGGGTTGGAGCATTTGTTGAAGCAATGGAGCTCACTTCTACCTGGGTGTGGCTCAAAATTAAACAGGAGGGGCAAACCGCAGGTTTTGGTCCATGTTTCCACTTACCAGGGTTCCGTTTTGGTGCCGGTTTGTTGAGCCACAGCCACCTGGCAGTGGGCTAATGGCAGGGACAGGTACGCAAACGGCCTCGTCTGCGCCCCTCACAGGGTTTTGGAGTGGTGGGGGGGGGGGGGGTCTCTACCGGACCGGCGACCCTGTGACAAACAAAAGTCGAGGTGCACGCCATGCGTCTAGCTGTACTTCCCAACCATTCTGAATATAGGGTTGCTTCATGCCTCAACAACTGAGGAACCTGGTAGCTTCTGCAAACGAGCTCTGAGTGAGAGTACTGGGAGATCCATGGAAAATCCCCCTGAAAGGAGAACCAAACTTGATCCACCTGGGCTTTCAACCACAAGTGAATCTCAACGGGGGATGCCAGCTGCGAAAGGAAAGGCAAGGCTGATCTGACCCTTTAAGTACTAAGTACATCCTGGAGTGTGGCCGGTTTTGCAGTGACTTCTTGCATGTCACAATGTCCCCCCCCCAAAAAAAAAACTCATGTTTCCAATCGTCCATACTCTACCGCATACTCCACCGCTTCCGAACCCTTCTCACACCAAGGATCCCCGCCACCTTAGCCCCCTCCCCTAAATACCACACTAAAAACACAAGGAACCGGATGGATGGCCATAGTTCTAATCAATCACAGCCCCTGTTTCCATTCTGAGGTAACTCCGAACGACCGTTTCATGCAGTTTCCCTTGAGCTTCCTTTTTACCATTCGCAGAAAGGGCCTACTCTAGAAGCGAGTGGTCCTCGCCACCCAAAACATTTGATATGCTGGGCATAGGAGTCCGGACTCACTTTCAGCACACGTGTTTCCAATCTGCTCCATGAAGGAACCAAATTTGGCTGTGGCCCAACAAATGCACGAGCATGGCACCTTGGTCAATGGAACCAAAGACTAAAGCGTTCGTAACTCAGCTCTTTAATTTTCAGCCACACCCATTTAGCCAATTGAACAAGGTAAGCTCACAATAAAATGGTCAGCTCAACCCAGCCAAGGGAAGATGGGGAATCATTGGGAAGCAACCTGTCGAGGGCCAGTTTAAAAAACAACCCCCTCGTTAGCCCTTGGCGAAGACCCCACACACATGAGAAGAAATGCTCTTTCCAACAATCATGGAAGTAGAAGCTGGGCTGCCCTCAGATCTCTCGCTAAAAGTCTAACTTTGAGTGGCTTAAATGGAAGCTACCACTAAACACTAAAAGGCTAAAAATATAAGGAACCGGATGGCTGGGAGCCACCAAGGAAGGGCTAACCAGTCTTCAAATGCCTTGCAAGCTTCCATGTGTCGCCACGGAAGCTTGGGAAGGTTCCGGGCAGGTGTCCTTGTTAAGTCAGTCTGGTTGGAAATAGATGGGTTCCGCTGGTTTAGATTGGTCTTCTTGCCATTCTTTGCCGGAGGAACCCATCTATTCTCACAAAAGGACACCTATGGTTCTGGGGTTGTCCCCTTGACATTTCGGGGGCGAAAATCGACGAGCCGAGACCTTCATCTCGGCCAGCCAATTGGTGAAGGTCTTCACCTCACCCGAGACCCGTTTCGGAGTGCCAAACCCGGCAATCCCCCAGATCCCCAGCCAGCCAACAAAATATGCGGGGGTGAATCACAAGGTCCATTTAAATTTCAGAAAACTACCAAACAGTATGATATGCCCCCTTAGCCTTCGTAATTTGGGGACCAGAAATATTGATCAACCCCCATGCTATTCGAGGAGTACCTTTCCTATTCGTTCCAGGCATCCTTCTTTCTAGAAATCCTCTTCGGACACCCAGGCGAAACAGCTTTTCTTGAAAAAAACGATGGTTGCACAGAATGGGGAATCACACCCTAGAGTTCTCACTCTAAGAGGGGAATGTGTTTTTTCAGGGAACCCGCTTTTTGGTTGGTTTCAAGCGGAAACCAAAAGCGAAACCACATTGTTTTTTGGGGGCAACTGTTTGTCATAAGAATCCCTAAATGGGTGTGCCTTTTGGGGGGACCCCCAACATGGATTTTGGTTTGCCCTTTGGTTTCCTTTGCCCTTCCACAGACAAGGGGCACCCTCAAGGGGCACCCTCAAAAAAAACGAGCCGCCCATGTGTTCTCACTTCAAGGGGATTCCCTTGGCCACTCAAAGAAATCGTCAACAATTGCCAACAAAAACGCCAACAAAAACGTCCAAAATGAATGGTAACAGAAAAGCTGCCTACAAAGCCTCCCACTGGCCCAAATCCAAGCTCCATTCACTGTCGGTGATTCACATGGAGTGAGAAGGGCATTTAAACAAACGGTGGTGCGCATTGTGCTGTTCACCACTCCGGGTCCCACTTTGTCCCACTTGACCATGGGGTTGAACACTCGAGCGTGTGCCAAAGAAGGCTGGCTGGAGTTACCCCTTACACGTCACCAAGAGCATCACCGGGTATTGGTTCAACCTGCAAAGTTTCAACTGGCGAAGGACCCTTTCCCAAATAACCATGTTTAAAGATCCAGGGGAGTATCCATAGGGGCAAACAATGTGAAGTTCTCACATGACCCGCTTCCGGCGCAAACGGGAAGCTTCAAACGCGCACAACCCAAAACCCGGGGAGCGGATTCCATCGCAGAGACCAATGGTTCTGGAGCTCGGTGGGTTTCGGACCGGGAGAAAGATGAAGTCGGAAGTATCTGATTCAGGGTTTCCAGAAATCTGTCCAGAAAATGTTGAACGGAGAAACAGCAGAACACACGCAAGATGGGGAAAAAAGGTTTCAGGAAATTGTGCTTTCCTTTTCTGGGCTGTCCTCAGATGCCCTGCTCAAGGTTTATCTTGTGGCTTAAATGGACACCCTAGAAAACCGGATGGCTGGGAACCACCAAGACTAGCCACTCAAACCACAAACCCACAAAAATGAGATGGGTGTGCCTTGTTTTAGGGACCCCGAAATGGCCCTCTTTCAACCGTTTTCGTGGTGGTTTCCCTTTTATATATAAACCACCAAGAAAGGTTGGCGCCAACTTAAAAACGGACACCTTCTCTGAGCCCGGGTCGGTCGGATCATGCTCCACCTGGCGACCCACGCTGGGGCTCCAGTCTTGCGCTGCAACGCCGCTTGATGTGGCTGGAACGAGGAAACTCCCCCGGTAACTCAGCTTCCCTTGGTGGTGGTTTGGATTGGAAGCCCTTCTATTTGAGGTCGGTTTTGGGAAGGTACCAGTTTTTCTGTTTGGTTGAAAGGGAGACCAAAACGGAAAACCGAAACCATCTTTGGGGGTACCACAATTGTAAGCCACGGCCATATTGTCCGATTGATTGATTGATTGATTGATTGATTGATTGATTGATTGATTGATTGATTGATTGATTGATTGATTGATCGATTGATTGATTGATTGATCATGGATTGATGGATTGAGACACCCATGGATTGATGTCAATTGATTTCACTCGATGGACTAAGATTCAGCTGATTTGATGAATGTCACCCTCCTCGATGTTATGCTCTCTCGGCATTGGGGTGTCGCTTGGGTTTCGAAGCACGCCTTGTCATGAGACCATACAAAGCAACCGAGACGTGGCTTACGGCATTAGGCTTACTCAAGCCTCAAATTTGAGGCCCCCAAGAGGCCATCGGACATTCCAAGGCTACCTCTAGATCCAGCAAGCTGAACTCCTCCCGACCAAAATTCAAGGCCGTGCGGGTAAAGGCATGTTGCAATCCTCTCTTGTGATAGGGGTGAGTCGCTTGATACAGTCACTCAGTCAGTCCCCTCAAACTTCGCCATCGCAAAACTGACCCCAAGAACAAACACACCACACTTCGCAGGTTCCACTTGAGCACACGACACAGCACACCCAACGGTCAGAAAAGAGGCCGGCAGCTGATCGGAAGGCACTCACGCTTGAGCCTCCGGAGCCTCCGGCTTCTCAAGCAAGGCATCGGCTCCAGTTCTCATCTAATGGCTTGACGTACGTCAGGCTGCAACCCCAGAAAGCCAGCCAGTCTCCTCCAGTGGTCTAGGCCCTTTTTTTCCGCAGTCTACTTTAGTACGAGAACCCTCCCCAAAAAAACCGTTGGTAAAAGGTGGCACCTAGCTGGGGGAAGTAGTGGAACCACCCACCAAAAATCGGTTTCCGTCGGTGCAAGCGACCAGAAGGCGCCTCCGGCTTCATGACTCGCGCCTGGCAAAAAAATCCGAAGGTCAGGGGACGGGTGCCGAACCGAAACTCGGAGTCCCGACGCCACGAGGAATCGGGTCCATTTGGTTTGAAACACCCATAACCATTGGATTTTGAAGTTGATTCTAAAAACAGCTGGTTGATTTCAAAACTCCATTTGGTTTTGATTTTGAAAAAGCTGGCGCGACCATTTTCTCCACATGAACAATACATCCGCCGTGAAACGGAAACAACAACAAAAAACAAGAGGAAACAAAAGAAGAAACCCCCCAAAAAAAACGAGGGTACTCCCGGTTCGGAGCATCGTCAACCCCGTTTTCTACAGGCGCTTCGGAACTTCCAGGCCACTTGCAGCAGAAAGCCACAGTCTGGGAACGGGCGGCTCGTCTTTCTGGTCGGACCCCCTTTTGACCTTTTGGTTGGGTTTCAAAGGGGCGTTCAAAAGGAACACCGCCCTTTTGGTGGGCCTAAACAAATAAAATGACACTCCCATATTCCTTGTGGGGGAAACAAACTATCGATGCGGAAGGGATGTCAAATGGCCAGGCCCGAGAAGAAGTCTCTCAGGGCCTATGCACATTGTCCATTTGACTCCCAGACTGCTGTTCACTCTAGGTCCTCCAGATTTGAGAGGTTAGAATAAGTTGGTACCCGAACTTTTTTCTCTGGACTTCTATTTTAGTAGGGGAACCCTCCCCCACAAAAAGGGTAAAAGGGCAGTACTGGGGGACCTAGCATTGAACATAGCCCATTCAGGTGTCGAAATTCTAGTTCCAGGTTCTACTTTGTGCATGTTGCTGATCTGACCCCAAACGCGAAAGCTGTCGCGGATATGTTCCACCGCTTGTGTCGAGAAGTGGTTTGAATCAAGCGGTCAAGCACTGATCTGACTATCCACATGTACATTAAACTCACTTTTCCAAAGGGCCAGAAATTTATTTCTTTACAGCTAGTATACGTTTGGAACCTTGACCAAACATGGACCTGGAGAAAAACCTCAGGCCGAGAACCTCAGGGCATGATTCATGGTATCGCCCCCGCGCAGTCCCGCCCTGTCTAATCTCTCTGACACGTCCGAATGAGCCCGCTCGCCTGAAGATTGCAGCTAGGTCTCTGCGCAATGGATCGCGTTCTGACGCCAGGCTGGTCTGTCAGGTATGCTGCAAAGCTGCTGAATGTAATCCGGCGGGACCTTTGCCAGGAATGCATGGCCAAATGCTGACGTGCGATGTTACCACGTGCGATGTTACCTTGGCCGTCCTTAGTGCAGCTCGCTTCAGCTGTTAAAGGGCCAACACGGCATCCGTTCGCAAGCATCTCAGCCTCAAGCACAGCAAGAAGGTCGATTAAAGTAAATCAATGTAGCAAGGGATGCGTACAAGGTACCTTGTGTTTCTTGAGCATCAACCAAAAACATTGGACCACCTGCAGTGATCAGAGGGCAATGTTGATGGTAACTAGCTGTTTCTGTACATGACGGAAGGCTACATAGGTATTAATACTTGAAAATAAAAGAGAAATGCAAAGATAAGGAAATAATATGATGTAGCCACCTGATTCATTATCCTGTTTGTCTTTATTGGAGGTTATTTGGTGGCTACAGAAGGGACATAATATCTTTCCTGGTCTTTCACCTACAGCATAGAATGGTGGTTGGGTGAAAGGGTTGTAGGGAAGTGTCTGGATTCTCTTTGTGGGTTGCCTGGTCTAGAGATTTCGAGGGAGTGACAGTCATGAATGAAGAGATGAAGAATGATGGTGGATCTGTTAGGATGATTCTATAGACAGGACATGGTAAAGAGAGGGAGATGACGAAGGAATCCCATCTCCCATTCCCACTCCTCTCTTCGTTCGGGAGTGTCCATGAGATGAGGGACGAGGCGAGATGACACGAGAGAATGGGAAAAGACAAGGAGGGAGAGGCTTAGGAATGAATCCAGCCACTTTATTCTTGGCGGTTGGTGTCTGTCCTTTGTCCCGCCACCTTGATTAATAGTAAATAGCTGTCTCCTGTGCTTCTTGGATGATTTCTTCCTTGGCAGTCAATGGTCAAGAATTCTTGGTGAGGAGGCGACAAAGGGAAGAATTTCCACTATTCTAAAGTTTACAATAAATAATAAAACGATAGGACAATAATAATGAAAGATTTACAGTGTACCATCATTCCTTGAATGGCTTGTGTGGTCTGTTCAGAAGCTTTCCTATGGTCAATTAATTATAGAATGGCTTTCAAAGCAAAAGCATGTCAAAGCAAACACACTATCTGGCGGTACGCTGGCCACCTGGTACTAAGCATGAACTCATGTTTGCAAATAAGGGGGTGGTGATCAAAATTCAGGGTCCCGTGCTCTAAACTTGGGTCATTTGCTTGCTGGCCGTCATCCCAATGAGACCATAGTAGATGAAACTCGGACAATATTAGGAATGTTCCTTTGCATTGCAGGAACATTGCACAATGGGATTCTCAACTCAGGTGTTCGTGGGACATTTGGGTTGTTCCCCTCTGTCTCCTCCCAACACCAACTGTAGACCAACAACTTTGCCAGGGACTCCTGTCAAATACAAACCAAGAGCGGTGAGGCACTGAATGCAGCAAGACTCAGTGAAACGCGATGGTTGTCTCGCGTCGAATCCGCCCTCGCAGCTCACTTGAAGCACAAAAAGTCACCAGTCAGAAGTAAGTTCAACTCGATTCCAAACAAAAAAACCGAACATCAAAGGTTGACCTTTTGGAACCTTGATCAAGCATGTTCTAACACTAGATCAATCGAAAGAAAAAGGCAGGTATCCCAGCCGACCACCGCCAACTAAACTGCTTCAGAGAAGACCGGAAGAACATAAAACAGTTTCCCTCGAATTGGAAGATTGGTTTGGTCGCCTGGAAGTGAGGGGGGGTGGTTGCCATTTGCCTTCAAGAACTAGGGGTTCAAATCCCCAAACCACCAATCCAAATCACAAATTAGAAGTTACCTGCAAAACAAACAACAAGGCATGGGTACTTGCACCTCGCTACCAAAAACCGCGCGCTTGCCAATTAAGGGATAGGGTTTACGCTCAGAATGTTGCGGGAAACCGTGGTCGTTGGCTGGTGCTGTACAGTCAACACTCGGGGCGCTGCTTTTGTGCTGGTTCCCTTTAAAGCCTGTCGCCAAACACGCTTCCATAGCTCGCATACCCCTCCCCGCCGAAAAACAAAAAGAGGTGCCCTTCGCGAAATCTGCGGGAAATGGGCAAAGCCAGAACAGTCTTTCTCTCCCTCTCTCAGCCTCTCCTAAAAGGGGGCCCTTGGTACCTTCCCAAACAGGCCAGCCAAAGCACGTCTTCGCAAAGCACCACAGGCCCCGTCGCGGAGTTTCGCTCGCTCGGAAGTTTTCTTTTCGATCGATTCCGTTTCAGTCCGGCAATCATGCTGGCTGGTGAGATGCGGCAGAGATGGCCTTTGGAGGCTTCCGGTGCGGCCGTCTAAGAAAGCTAGGACCTGCGAGTGAGTTCGGTCAAAGTTTTGAGGCCACAGAAAAAGTCACCCTGTGGGACAAAATGCTGCACTTTGAAACTATGGTTGAAACCATGAAATTTGGTGGTATAATCCAATCTATTCAGGGTTTCCTGGGCGCGAAAAGGATTGCGCCCATCAGCAATTTTTAGCTAACGTCGGCCTTTGGCCAGCCGGAATGCCGGGAAGGCGGGAAGGCGACATGTCCCACTGAACCTCCTTTTGATGCTGAGGATGGTTGCGAAATCCATTTCGCACCACCGAACAAACCCTGGAATGATTTCCCTGGAAATATCAACAAACAGCGGTTTCAACCTGGTTTCTTAGGTGGTGCGAAATGGAAATCGTCCATCCGCCGTAAATCTCACATACTTCAAGTTGGCCCAAACGGCCACACTTAAATTCCGGTGGTATTGACATAGTGTTATAATATAAACACATGTGAAGAGACAACATGTAAAAGTCCTCTTCTATGGAACATCCCGTCGAATTTGGTGCCGAAGCCAGCAAAAGAACAACTTCTGCGTCTACCGCTGAAGTAAGCTGAATGATTGAAAATGTGAAATGAGCCCTGCTAATGGACCCTCATCCTCTGACAATGGATGCCCAAACCAGAACAAAGACACTTGGGAAGGGTATTTCAGGTCCGCAAATGGCTGCGTCCTCTTTCTGGGGGTCTGTGTTTGTGGTTTTAAAGGAACACCGGTTAAGGACATCGCCATTTTTGGAGTCCCCCCAAAAAAAAGACACACCTTAATATCTATTGACTGGCGAACAGAATGCAGGACGCATCCGGGACAATCCTCAAAGTCTCTGCAGCGTGTTCGAATTTCGGCCTTGGTCAAACTAGCTACTGCACTCCACCCCATGGCGAATCACACCTATTGCGCCGGAAGCATCTCTGGTGCATGTCATGTGGGCAATGACACCCAGGGTGCCACCGTCTGCAGAAGACGCGTTTTGTTCAAATAACCTGAGATTGAGGGCAAGAAAAAAGAGCTTGGCTCTGAATTCTCGGTTGCGAAATCTGCTCCCCTGCTAAAAGCTTAACTGTTAAGCCTAATTCGGAAAACCCATTGGTTGGCAAAAAGTTAAAGTCCTAAAATCCCTTGGCAAAATGCACCAATGAGTTTTAAGAGCAAACCCCTCCCTGAGGATCAAACTCTTGGGAACTTGGAGGATAGCCTCCAGTGCCATCTATTTCCAATCAAAATAGGCGATAAAAAGGACACGTATGCCAATGACACACCAGATTTCAACTAACCCTTAGTGGTGGTTTGGGGATTTCAACCCTTGTTCCTGTTGCGGGTAAATGGGAAAGCCCGCCTTAACTACTAGCCAACAAAGGACACCTACTATGCATGGACGAAATCCTGCACCACTTTGGAGCCATGGCTGAACCCCACCGTTTGTTGGTATTTTCAGGGACAGCTAATCATCAACTCCAGAGCTTCTGAACGGTGCCACAAGCGGATTTCGCAAGCATCCATGTCGAAAGAAATCACCAAGCCAACTAAATAGAAAAAGATCTAAACATCTGTCTGGAACCGAATGGCTCGAACGTCACAGTACTGTGGATGGACGAAATCCATTTCGCACCACCTAAGAAACCCTGGAATGATGATTCCCCTGTAAATACATGGTTTCAAAGTGGTGCATGTTGTCCATCCACAGTATGACCTTGCTCTTTTGCCTATGCCTATGCCTTTTGGGCCTCTTGAAAAAGGCCATGGCGATGGAGTGCCATCGACTCCTTGTGAGTCCGGGACCACCGGCGAAGCGGCGAAGCGCTCGGCCTCGCTGCTGGAGACCCGCTGGCTTCCCCCCCCCCCAATCGACAGATTTGGGCCTGTTGGATTTGCTGGGAGTTTGCTCTTCGGAAAAAAAAGAGGCTGTGGGTCATTTTTTTTGGTTGGCCCTTGGAAACATGGACAACAAAAAACCAGTGGTCCATATCCTGGTGGTTTCATTTTGACCCATACCCATATGTGTGTTTTTTTCCGCAGCCCTCGGTGCGGACTTAGGTAGCTGGGAGTAGGTTGTTTGGTTTTTGGTTGTTTATATCCGTGAGGGAACATGCGCTGGGCGTTCAATCCTCTTTAAATGTTCATTCTTGACAAAGGAGGAATCCAAAGCGCCTCAAAGCATGAGAATGGCTCCAGAAAGGAAACCACAAGACACCGGTGAACAGTATTCTACCCAAGGGTGTTTATCATCCCATAGAGCCCAACCCTGATTGTCTTCCAAGCACAGCAAAAACATCTTGACCACGGTTTTCCCCATTGGAATGTGTTGGACCTCAAACGACAAACTTGTTGGAGACCCCAAGAGGCGTCTACAAAAAGCTATGGGGCACCATGAACCCACACCACTGACAGGGGCTGCCTGGATTTCCCAAATCACCATCCCCAAATCACCAGTTGATCAATTTACTGGCGGGTCCCATTGAAACTGCCACTTTTGAATTAGGTCCTCCAGTAGAGGAGCTAGAATAAGGGTACCCATTTTTTCTGTAGTCTATTTTAGTAGGGGAACCCTCCCCCAAAAAAGGGGTAGAGAAGGGCACTACTGGGCGACCTAGTTAAAGGGAAATGGACACCGTGAAGAAGCAGCCGCAACCTGTTGGCAACCCCTTGTCAATTGCCATTCCGGAGCAATCCTTGGGGCCACGGAGCGTTGCCGCTTTTTACCCCAGGGAGCCTGCAGAACGGTTGGCTTCCACCTGGACTCCCTTTACAATCATTAGGCAGCTTTTAAGCAGGGTACCCAACAAAAGATACATCCACCGGGTTTGCTCAAGGATTCTACCCTAAAACTCTTGGTAAAGAACCAACACGAAGAGAACTGCTCTCCTTTCTTATCCACCTTCATCTTTCCGCTGAAAAACCTACAGGGCTCCCTATGTCTCGAGGAAGCTCCAAAACAGCCGCCTCAGGTCTGATCGTAGCCACTTGGATCAGAACCTCTGCGCATGGAAGTAGAACCAGGCCTTCTAAGGAGCCATGCTTATTGCGAATGCTATGAAGGATCACTAATGACGTGTCAAGTGCAACTCACCTAAACTCAAAAACCCTGCAGGTCTTCCTCTTTTTGGGGGGGATGCCCCTTTCTGATGGTTTTCAAGAGGTTCCAACAGGAACACACCCGTCTTGCCATGTTGTGATCCAGCCTTTAAACCGACACCCAGACCCCCCAGTCTTTGCAGCCGAAGAGCCGGATCAAGACTCTCTGCGCAACGCGCAGCAATTCCTCGCCTCTTTAGAATGCTCTCTGTGCGATGGCACTCGTTACGCGCCCGCTGGCAACTACCGCCCAAAAAGCTTACGCTGGGACCTAGAGCCTCCCAAAAGGAGCTCCAGGCCTAAGGGATCCAGACACGTGAATGTGTTGTTGCTCATGTTGGGTCTGCTCCAGTGAAAATCCTAGGGCGGTTGGATGGGACTTGGACTTGCTAGTACTTACTCTAGTATTGCCAATACTTAGTTTAGTATTGCAAAGACTCCCAATACTTACTTTAGAATTGCCAAAACAATTTTAGCACTGCCCAGCCTTGCTCTAAGATTCCCAGCCCATGAAAAAAGTTGGACACTAAAGCGACCCCCCAAACCCGTCACATTAATGAAAATCAGGGCCTCTTGTGGGCAGCCCCCTTTGTTTGACTGCTTGCCCTTACTTTTTCCAAAGAAGTGATACTAAAATTGTACCTCTTTAAAAACAGGAAGTCCTAATGCTTGCCCCGATTTGTTTGCCCGGATTTTGTTGCCCGATTTGCCTGGCCCGTGTTGCTTTGGCACCTTGTTTTTCAGACAAAACCACTTTCCACTAAAGTGACCCCCGTATCCCCCCTTAACAGTCACAGGATTCTGAATTAGGAACACGACTCTATAAAAACACGCCCCCAATTATAAAAGCAAATTCGACAAAGCAGGTCAGACATTCGTGCAAGGGAGAATCACAAAGGCCAAAACAGCTCACGGGGCTTTTCAGCTATGACAATGCCTTCCCTTCTTGTAGGCAAACGCGAGTACCTTATTTTTTACTGATTGGCCGGCAAAAGCGTGAAAGGCAAAAATGAAATGGCTCCCAACAGGGTTGAAATTGCTGAACTTCGTGTGGTGGCTATGTCCTTCTTACACAAATAGGGACGTGATGTTCCTGTGGCCTTGCTCTTTGGGGTAGAGGGCAACCCTCCAAACCTTGAATGGATTCTGAGCTCCTTTCGGGTGGCGACGTGCAATTGATAGGTTGCATTATCAAGCTCCAAACCACTCTGCTGGAGGGCTTGAAAGCGGCGGCAAGCTAGCAACTTTCATGCGTCACAAGCTCAGCCAAACTTTCCAGAGATCCTCAGGCGCTAAGTCCGAGATCTTCGCAACTTCCACTGGAGATCTCCAGGTGACCCAACTTGCTTGGCCAATGATCTCAGTAGCCCAAAGCTGCCTTTTGAATTATAGGCTCCCTATTTTCGGGTTTTCTGAGGTCCCAAAAGGGCAAACGGCCAGTGAGTTTACGGAGCTACTTCGTGTGCGACCAAACTGTGACAACCTGTACCAGCCTCTTGCTTGTTGCTGAGTGCTGTACAGAAGGCAAGACAAAAGACGAGCCATCGACAGCAGATCTTGGTACCTTCGGGGTGGATCGTACCCCAAATGGAACCCGGAAAATGGAAACAAGGAATCAAATTATGCGCCCCCCTGGTGGTTCAATGATTTGACCCATACCGAAACATATCTAGTCCAACATAAAGTGACATCGGGCTACCATCCATTTGGGAATGATGCATCGCAAATCACCGACCGGGAGTGAGACACGGATCCAAGAATGACATCTTCGTGGGTTAAATGGCCTGCACATGAAAAACAACTGTGAGAGGTCGCGAATCCCATTTGAAATGGATTTTCGGGGGGCGGGGGGGGTCGAAATCGAGCTTTGGCTTTTGATGGGGTTGGTGCCATTGAGGTTGACCCCTCTCAAGTGTTCAATGGAATAACGACAGCGCAAAACGAAAGCAGTCGAAATCCGCCCAACATCGGTTCGATTACAGGACACAAGGGGCAAGTCAAACGCTCATCCTAATACTGGTTGATTTTCAGAGGATCCGAATCCTAGGTGTTTGTGGGACGCATCCTTGCCCAGTGTCTATTTGAAGGCAATGTAGTTGAGTGGTTGTGCTTTCTCGTGGCGACAAAGCTTCAAACCTTTTCAAATCGCCAATCTTCAGTGCGCGACAAGCACGAGTCAGAAAAAGAAGGTTCGGGCAACTTTGGAGGCTCCCGAAGCCAACTGAGCCTTCGGCTGCCTGGGAGGTCAGTCTTCGTACCTGCACATGTCTCTGTCTGTCATCCGCCCCCGTAGGCCCTCCAAAAGAGGGGTTAGAATAGTCTATTTTAGTAGGGGAACCCTCCCGCAAAAGAGGGTGAGAAAGGGCACCTACCTGGAAAACCTAGAGCACTACCCAACGACAGCTCGTTCAACCTCTTTTGGAAGAGAACTGTTCCTTGGTAAGGCGACTTCCACTTGCCCAACGGCCAGTGTTGAACACGAGAAAACCTTCAGCCCTTCCTGCTCCAGCTTGTCTCCCTCACCAAATGACATGTAGACAGCATGGTCCATAGTGAATGTTTTACTTTTCATTGTGTCACTCGAGGTTGCAGTTTCCTCTGCACCCTCTTCTCTCTCGGCACTCCTTAAAGCCCCATCCCTGGGGCTTGCACTGATCATCCTCGTCGGCCGGGGTGAAAAAGTTATCTTTCCAAATCCGGCAGGTGTTGTCCTGGAGAGAGTCGCCGGGGGCTGTTTTGCGCGGTCCGATCTCCCCCAGTCCCCAGTGCGCGCGATTTTTCAGGGTGCTTCTTTCCGCCGGTTTGGGGGGGGGGTAACCAACAGGTCCCATTGGCCCAGAAGGACATGCAAAGGATAGGCTATGTTGATGGAACCTTCAATACACATGGCCCAAATATGGAAAATGGACAAAGGTCAGATCCAGTACTAACAAATCACAGATTTCACAAGTCATGGTCATTTCCCTATAGAACCAGGCTGAACCCACACCATCCAACGTCTGCCCGAACTCATGGGCATGGTGTTTGGCGTGGTCATTTTCTGTCACACCAGCGAAACAATGCCATCTCAACGCGGCGAGACCATGCCAACTCGAGCTCATGAAGCCGCCCAGACCTCAGAAGACCAGACCTCGCCTAAGACTCGCATTGAAAGAGTCAATTGTCTAAGTCGGTGACCGCCTTTCTCACAGGAGATGAGTTGGATAGTGTTCGACCAAGGGTGAGTATTTAAAAACCATCGGGAATATCAAGCCATTGAAATTGCCCACCACAGAAACACCTCATATGTACAGGCTCAAAGTTGACATTTCTCTTTGCGGGTTGAGACCCTAAACACCCCAAAGATGATGCCAAAACCCACCAAATCAGGGGACGGACATCCTGCGCTCTCTCAAAAAAAACACTTAACGGCAGTCCTTGGAGCCGGTGATGACCGTGTCGCCCTCGTAGTTGAAGGCACACGAGAAGATCTCATCACTGTGCCCTTCCAACACCTCCGGAAAAACGGTCCATCCGCTCCCCTCGAAACCCGGCAGAAAGGGGTGGATTCTGCGGTGCTTCGATGGAACGGATATGGCGTAGAGTGCGAGGCCGTTTCTTTGGGGAAGGACCTACAAAAGTTTCGAGGGGTTGAGTCTTCTTCCATTCTTTTCAACCATCGTTCTTTCCAAGAACCGGCCGGTTTTCCCTGGGTTTCCGGAGGTTTTCTAGAAAGAAGGATCCCTGGAAAGAATGGGGAAGGCACCCCTAGAGCTATGGACAACTTTTCTCTGGGTACCATTTCTTTGTGGCTTGAGGGAAACCAAAAAAGTAAAGCTACAAACATTTGGGAATCCATTGAAGTTAAATTCCCACAAAGACGCACGGAAATTTGATTTTTAGATGGGAAGGTTTAAGCCTTGCATGCTTTGGCCAAAGGGATTCGACAAGTCACTACTGGCTGGTCAATAGGGAAATATCACGGAATTGGGCGTGGCCCAAACTGGGTTACGCTGGTAAATGGACCAGAGTAGACTGAAACCTGCGGTTTGCCTTGGATCTCTCTTCAATTTTGAGCCACGGCAATGAAAGCAACAAGGTTAGAAACGTCTAGCAATGATTGGTGGGTCAACCGTGTCCACCAGAATCGGCCGAATCGGCCATGCTCCGCATTTGGACGTGGGTGTTTGTCTCGAACAAAAGTAGGCCCCGCCCCCCCCAAAAAAATAAAATACAAGTGCCCACCATTTTGAAACATCTGATTCGAGGAAATAGAGGGTTCGGAAGCATTTGATTCTCTTTTGCGGGTGCCACAAGGGAAGACCGCCTAGCAACTGGAACCTGAAAGGGAGGTACCTACCCTCGGGTTTTGCAGGGAAATCAAGACCAAAGCCCATGGCCCTTTTGAGCAGTGACCTCACGTTGGACATCGAATATACAAATGTGAGCCCATTCTTTACTTGGTTGATGTTGGAAGGGGAGCAACAAAAATCATTTTAGCAGGTAAGTGGCGGTTTGCCACCAAACCACAAGAAGCAAAAATGTAAAATGCTTCCCAACAGCAACCATGTTTAGGGTTGTCCATGACCCCAAAAGGATTGGTCCGCAACAATCCACTGGCTGGTCATGACTCCACGAACCCCAAAGATCCACCCTTAGGCTCCAAACATCCAGCCAGCCACTGGCCATGTCACCAGCTGATTGTATACGTTCTTATTTGAACCCATTGCCATTTTGGAGCCTTTGGGGCCTTGGGGCTGGTTTCCCAGAATTAAGCCGTACAACGAACGGTCAATTACATATTAAGCCGAAAAACCATGGGCTCACACCAGGGGTTCGTAATACTGTGGATGGACAAAATCCTGCACCTCAGCAACCCTGGAATGATGATTCCCCTGTAAAATACCAACAAGCAACGGTCTCTCATTGGTGTCCTAGGTAGTGCGAAATTGATTTTGTCCATCCACAGTATGGACGTATACATCCAGCCTTTGACCACTCCTAACTCCCAAGTCGGGCCTGAAGGCATTCCCCGGTCTCCACGGACCAAAGCCGGCAAGTCCGGTCCTGGGCGGCAACCAGTCGAAGTTTTCGATCTGCCAAGGCCACGTCCAGGGGAAAACACATTGAGACACCTGTGTATGTTGTGTCCAGTCATACTGTGGATGGGCAAAATCCATTTCGCACCACCTAACAACCTTGGAATGATTCGACTCCCCTGTACATACCAACAAACAACAGTTCATCATGGTGTCCAAGTGGTGCAGGATTTCGTCCATTCACAGTAGGTCCCCTGAAAATCCAGGAGTCATGGGTAGTCCCCTGGAAAAAAAACGAGAAACCACCTGTCCAGTGAGAGGCTATCTTTTTTATTTTATTTTTTTAAGGACATCACAATATATACGGATATATAGTCTGAAGCAAGTGGAAGTCTGATGGGAACCCCGGATCTAAGTAGAACCCCCGGTCGACTTTGACCGCGTCGGAAAGTCCTTTTAGTGGGAGGTCAGGCCACTTTCGGAGGGAACACCCTCCTAATAGGACAGGACTATACATCCGGGATCCGGGGTCAACAGTTATAGATAGTCACGCTAGAATATGAAATTCTGGAGGAGACCCCAGCTTACTCCAAACAGCAACATTTGACCCACTGAATCAGCTGGTGAGTTTTTGACCGCTCCACATCTGATTCCAGAGATCCTATCTTTGCAGTTGCACCTGGGTCCCAAAGAACCCGTTTTGCGTAGAGGTGGAAAGCGAAGCATGCGCGAAATGTTGCAACCCAGGGCTGTGGGAAATGGAATCCACTTCTGTGATACAACAAAAAGAGCCTCCCAAAGACGAACCCCCCATATAAAAAGGGGATTCCCTTGTATCACAGAAGTGGGGATAAACCCCTTGATCCCACAACCCTGTTGCAACCTCTTCCTGATACCCTCCAAGAATCATGGTACTTGTAGCTGCCGGGTGAAACGTTTATGAAGACTCCCAATGGCCTTCTGTCCACGTCCATGATTGGCAAAGCACTCAATCCACACATAGAAGCCACGGCGTTTTTGTTGTCTTTTTCCCCAAAAGGTTTGAGTTGGAACACAGGGCCTTTGAATTGACCTAACAGGTCTCCATGCGGGTGTTTCTTTTTTCAGAAGACCCCTTGTTGGTTGGTTTTAAAGGGAAAAACCAAAAGGACAACTTAGCACAACCACCAATTTATTACTTTTGTTCTTGTTGGGGGGGTCCCTCAATAAAAGTTGCCACACAACCATGTCAATATTTGGCAGCCTTCCAGGCATCGTTGCGAAAGCCTCTCGCACTCTCAGTTCAATCTCTTAGCTCAGCGTGCCGCACTCGAGGCCGTGATAATCTTGTACCCGTTCGGGCTGAACTGCACCTGGCAAGCAACCCAAATCAGCCAGGTCCTTAATTGGGGTGAAGTACTTCTTAGGAGCAAAAAAACAAAGAAGTGGTTGTCCTCTAAAAACACCAAGCAGGGGTAAAAATATATCATATACATGCAAATCTTGGAACCAGATGGATTTCGTGTTTTCACCAGGCCCGGACCTGGATTCGTCCCGTTGCAAACGAGTCAGGTTTTTGATGGAACTGCTTGAGGAGGTAGAGCTGTTGGTTTTGTTTCCGCCCTAAACCCTAAACCCTAAAAGGCATAATAAGGTGTGTTGGTATTTCCAGGGGAAGCATCATCCTTCGCGTTTCTGAACGATGGTGGTTGTTGTTTGTTGTTTTTTGCTGGTACTCTGCACAAATGGCAACATCCGCAGCACCAGGCACTTGGACCCGGATGTTGCCAAAGGTCGAGGACATGAATAAATTTGTAAGGCCAAGGTCAACCGATTAATTCGTCCGCTTTTTTGCAGCTTGCTTGGGCAAGTGAAATTTACCAATTTTGCCAGAGGTCAAGGGAAGTCAGCGATTTGTAGCGACCGGCTGCGAGCTAACCGACGGGTGTCCGGTGGTGCTTTTGCTGGTCTCGTGTCAAGGGTCCAAGGCTCGGAACTTAGGGAAGCAAAAAAACAAATCTTAGCAACTGAGTGGAGTTGGAGTTCAACCACTAAACCACAATAAGCAAACATGTAAAATGCTTCCTAACAACAACCATGGTGAAATCAAACCATGCCAAGGGATCAGCTTCGCTCCAATGGGTGGTTTGGAGCCCGGTAGAGGTGTTCCGGGGGAGGGAAACCCCATTTACCAGGAGGTAAAATCCAATTCCAAACCACCAATCCAAACCACCAACTAAGTGTTACCTGGAAAACCGGGGGGGGGTGCAAGTTGGCCAACAAAAACAAGCAAACACACGAAAAGTTACACCAAACAACAAGGTCTAGCGAGGGTGCAAACTGAACCACCCGAGCAATTTGTTCAGGGCAGCATATTATGTTTACAGCGGAAGAGACCTCATCCACAAACCTGCAAATCAGCATACCCAGGCATAATCGTGTCAGTTGGGCATGCAAGACCTGTTTGCTGATGACTCACCTTTAAAATCCAAACGAAAGGGGGTTCCAGATCCATTTAAACGCGCCAAACTGGGCCCCCAAAAATGCGGTTTTCCTTGTGGCTTCTCAAACCAACCTGAAAAAACCGGTACCCTCAACTAAAAATCGCGGGGACCGCCCGATTCATTTTCTCGCACCGTCGCGTCGATTCGTTTCATCCGGACCTTGGAGATCTCTCCCTCGTGACCTATCAGGATGGAGATGCACGCGCCGGTCATCACCTCACTCGCTGGTGGGTTCACAACCAAATCGGTGTGTCCCAAAATGGAACTTCTCACTGTTGGGTTTCCTTCCCGACTAAAAAGGGGCATGCCAATAAAAGGGACACCAAAAACATGGAAAACCACAAATTTGGCTGTGGCATGTCCAAACAAGGTACCCAAACTGAGGCACCTTGGTATACGGAGACAAAGACCAAATCCTGCGGGTTGCCCCAGCTCTTCAATTTTGAGCCCCGCGTATTTGCTGTTGCTTCTTGTTCTTTTGGGGGAGGGTACAACAAGGGGAACCGCCATCACATCTGGCATGATGAGTTGGACCTAAGGGAAACAGGATGTGCTGGATGGTTGGCTGAAGCAAGCTGAAAGCCAACCTGCAACTGCTTGGGTCGCACTCGCCCCGCAGAAAGAAAAAAAGCAAGTGAACCAACCTGCTACCAGTAGGCAGGGCAACTCTTCAACAAACCGTTCCGAAACGCTCCGAACGGGTTGAGTCGGGGGTATCGAAAAGCAAAGCTCAAAGAACATGAATACAAGTGAGGGGAGCCCACCAAAGGGACTTGGAGGCTGCAACTGCAGGTTTCGGAAGCCCCTCTTCAGCTCCAACGGTTTCCTTTGCGCTGGATTTGTTGCCTGGTGTGCTTACGTGTCTCCAAAAGCACGAAAGCCACAAAAATGGCTGGCTTCTGCTTTGGCTGAGCCATAAAGCCATCCAAAGAGTGCCTTTTTCCTGAAAATAACGAAACACCCATATCCCTTTTTGGGGCCACTAAATTCATGGGCCGACATGAAGCCAAAGGGTCCGAAGGCCGGCCTTGGAAGTGTGGAATGCCACGTGCCCGAAGGCGGGAGGAACCTCTGCGGTTTTGTAGCGACACCACCAGCCTGTGTGATGCTTGCGCCATTTGCTTTGGGATGTCTTCCCATCTCTTCGATCGGATTGTTAGCATTCCCGGTGGGGGTCGGGGGGGGGTTCTGGGTGGGTGGGGAAGGTTGTGGGTGGGTTTAAGGCTTACGTGGGTGTGTCTTTTTTGCGGTGACCCCCAAAAGTGGCGGTGTTCCTTTCGTTAACATGGGCCCTTTTTGTGGGTTCCCCTTTGAATGGTGACCAAAAAAAGCCGTACCCACAAAGCAAGACAGGCCCACTGTGACCCCAGCTAGTCCCCAACTTCCCCTGCAAACCCAAACAAGAAGCCGCCAAAAACGGGGAAACCACCCCCAGTTCATCAATAGGGGGTGTTCCCCTCCAATAGCGATCTGATTCCCACCCACCCTCTTCATGAACTGGGGTTGAAATTGATATGGGTTTTCTGATTGCCCACATTTCACCCACCCCCGCAATTTCATAAACTGCAGTTGATTCATCTGGGGCCAGCAGTACCCAGAAAAGACGGCCACCGCGTGTGCCACAAACCGGCGACTTAAGGCTCCCCACATTGTAGACCCGCGCCGTGCAGTCCGCCGAGGCAGTGACCAGGCCTCGCCACGACCCCCAAGCGGATCGACCGTCAGGAAATGACCAAAGTGGTCCGCCATGCCTCAGTTGCCCAAAGCGAATCGACCTTTTAACCATTTTCGACCTCTTGGTTTTCCAAAGTGGGTCCTTGTCTTGCCAAGGTGTTAAAAGGTTAACCTTGAATTTCCAGGTCCTTTGGGCAAGTGAGAATGGGATGCCATGGGTCGAAATTACACAATTTACCTGGGTTCCTCATTCAGATTCATAGCCCTTTGGGTATGGGTCAAAATGAAACCAGGATATGGATCGCAGGTTTTAGTCCTTGCTTCCATTTACCAGGGTTCCATTTGGGAAAATTATGTTTGACCCGGGCCCAGCATCTATGACATACTCGAAATGCGTCCAAATGGACTATAGACTGTGGTGTATTTTGGCTGAACCTTCTACCATGATCAAACCACTCCTTTGCTTGGGATTGCTAGGGCTGTCCAGGAACCCTTTTAGGGGTTCAGACTTTTGCTTCAGCTTTTCCCTCTTGGTGGTTTGGAGCCCGGTGAGGCTGGGGATTTTCCATTCACCTTCTACTCAAACTTTCAGGTGAACCACCATCCAAACCAATCTAAGGGTTGTTTGAAGTACTTGCTGGTGCGGAATGACCAAGAACTGCAATCCAACTGCTGGGTTCCTTTCAGGGGATTCCTTTCCTGCTCAGGCAGGAGAAAGATTCCTCTTCCCCATTCTTTCCAGGCATCCTTGTGTGCACAAAACCTGCAAACACTCAAACAGGGCAAACCGTGCCAGCGGTGTTGTCAAAATACTAGGGAATCAACCCCTAATGTGCATCCCCATTCCCCATCCGCGTGATCACATGAAGGAAACAGCCAAGGTTCTGTTTTCGAAACGAGGCGTCTGCACTTCTATGTTTACAGGCAGTGTGCTTTGCCGAATTTCAGAACCCCAGGTTTGCTCTAGTAGCCGCGAAACCAGGACAACTTGGGGCTGTGTCAAAGAAGGCCAAGGGAAAATATCATCCCCCCAATTTAAGACACACACACACACATGTCCCTTGTTGGTTCACATAACTTGAAAGTGGAGTCCGGTTGCAACTAGTTTCGAGGTGAGGTGCCGAATGTTTCTTCTGACCAGGAACGCGGGGTGAATAGGGGTGACAGGGAAAAAAAGGATTCATGTAGTCAGCTATACTCACCCACAGGGACTAAGATGGTACAGAACATACTAGTTCCCCAGATCCCCTGCTTATAGCGTAGCTGTTCGTCGCAAAAGAGTCGAAACCCAGCCACTAGAACCTCAAGAAGCGGGATTCTCCCATGAGCGGTGCACCGATTCTGGGCGCGGGGCGGTTCCCCGTGGTGTTGAAGCACACATCCAGGACCTCCGGAAAATGGGCCGGGACATCGTGGCGTATCTTGTTTGGTTCTTGGAGGGGTTCTGCGAACTGTTCTGGGTAGAGGTTGAATGCCTGTCTTCAACGAATGCAATACTTCAGGAAGCAAAGCAACTCCTTGAAGGAAAAAGACCCGGGACATACCACATGCCTCCAGTCAACTTTGGAACCTTCCCGCGTCTTCCCACCCCAAAAGGCAAAACGAAAACCTCGCCGCAGGCTACAGCAAGACCTGAGCGGGTCTCCCCTAAGAATCCAAGCAGCAGGCTCAATGCGGAGCGAGACTAAGGATCCACCAATCGCCCGCTATGAAACCAGTCCTCACGTGGCCATGTGCCAACGGACGGCCAGGCTCAACCGCGCCCTTCTGACTGATCAAGATCCCCGCTCCACAAGACCCAAACGAGGGCCAGCGGCTGCCAGAGGTTCCTCAGTCTGAAAGGGCCCTAAGAAATATCGGTCAAATCGCAAATCCAAGCGCGACCAAGCCACTGAACTGCAAAACTATCTCTGAACATGTGATCCTTGGGGAACAAAAAAAAACAGTCTTCCTGGTAAATGGGGAGAATAAAACCGTCTAAACCAAAAACAAACCATCTACTTCTAAACAAACTGACCGATCAAAAGGACACCAAACTGCCTCAAATCCCTCTCCCCGCTCGGCCACAAACTGATTTGGGGCGTCGATTCCTCACTCTGATTGAATCGGTTGACATGCTCTTTCAGGTCCCAGTTGGGGCCTCTGTTCTAGGCGGACCACAAACGAATCCGCCGTCATGAAGGGGTCCGGAGTCATGAATATCACCCTCTTGTTTTAGAAACAAGGGTTTGCCATGAAAGTGATTGACCTTGTCTGTGGTTTCTGTGTCTGAAACGCGGAAATGCGCTTGCTTCGAGCCGGTGCCCCGTGCCTCGTCGGAATGGCCCCTGAGGGTCTCCATGCACTGGCCGTTGTTCACGTCCCAGAGCTTGCATGTCCGATCCTCGGATTTCAGGCCCAGCTGTCCCCAAGCTTGATTGTTTGAGGGCTGAGTTGATTGAACTTGGCTTGGAGCTGGCTTGAAGTCCGCTGGAGTTGGTTTGAATTGCTTGGAGCCAGTTAGATTTGTGCTTTTGTTGGTTGGTGCGAGTTAAACCAGCAACCCGGGAAACCACCCCAGCACAAAGCAGGCCTTATGGTTCTGGGCCTCATGTTTTATCTGGCCTTGGCCTGCCCATATACGGGCCTTGATTGTCCTCCCATACAAGGACGGCGACACGCACTACTCAGGGGGGCTGGACATGGGCCCTCCATTGACAATCATTTACCAGCGACAAAACAAACGACATTCTTATGACACATGCCAGGCAACAAGCATTTGCCAGCCCCGAGAAAACCAACTGGAACCACATCCATTCATGCTAGGGAAAATGCCCCAACTTGCACCTGCTTGATTCTCATGGCCATACCCTCTGAGCCCCTGACGATGCTCCCGGTGATGCAGTAGTCGCCGGTAAAATCAAACTGGCGGAAAGCCGGGATTGCGAGATTGCGCCCCCCCAAACCCCCCCCCTCCCCTAGATTTAAACTGAGCGCGCCCATGCACACTTCTCCTCACAAGCCTGGAGAGGCTTCAAGGAGCTATCCAAGCCAAATGGCCGCTGGTGAATTGAATAGAGCGTGGCTCAAATTGGAGACTGCGCGGTAACAGCGCAAAAGTACACAGGTGGTAACAGCGGAAAAGAATGCTGCGTAGCAACAGCGCAAATTAGGGGGGCACTACGAGCGCAAAAAGTAAAATAGAGGATTTCATCTTCCCGTAGTCTTCTTTCATCTTCCCGTGTTTTTGTTTCCCTCTTCCCGTATTCAATAGCCCAAAAGGTAGTAAGGGTTTCTGAAAAAGCTGGAACCTGTGGATTCCAAGGAGATGGGCATTCCAAAATTGACACATATCACCTCCATCGCCACGTGAACCATTGACAGTGGTCGACAAAAGTTAAAGGTAGAGGACAAAAAGAACCGTATTCGTTGCTTAATGGTCATCAACAAAAACGGTATGTTTACCCAGTGGTCTCGTGACATGCTTGTGGTGTTCCCCCAATCACCATGCCCACTTCCCATCGAACCAACAGAAGGACATACCTGAATCCGAAGTGTCGGGAAATGAATCATGTGCTCTCCGATGCAGCAAATGGGAGTTGCTCAATGTTCGGGTGAGCACTTAAGATGTTACCCTTCTTCACATGCCACCCGGGAAACGATTTCCAGTTAAAGGCCGCTCTGGCGAGTTCCATGTTGGCGAGGAAGTGCACTAAACGCTGGCTGTCAGTGGCTTGCATAAGCCACGGGCATCGTTGTTGTTAGTCTATCGGTGTGGAGTACGGCGGGCACCCTCGTTCAAACAATCCGAAGTGGATTTTGGAAGGCTACCCTCCATTGCTTTAAGTCCCCTGGAAAAAACAACTAACTCCATCTAAAACCGACAGGGGGGAAACAAGCAACATAACATATTCTTAAGCAAGGGCCCTTGTCTTCCATGGGAAAACGGGGCATTCAAAGCTCCACTTCAGGCCCCGCCTGAGTCGACGAGATCTCCCCCCGGTGGCCGGCGAGCGTGTGCAGGCACCGCCCACTGCAAGGGATTGTGGGTTGGGGGGTGCCCAGGAAGGAAAACCAAAACAAAACACCCAAAGTGCTGACCCCTGATTGACAACCCCCCCCCCCAGTTCTTCATCAGTAGAAAGGAATCCCAACTAAAGTAGAAAGGAATCCCAACTAAAACGAGACCCCCCGATCAAGAACTGGGGCGGGGGTGTTAATCAGGGGTCAACATTCAGTGGGGGTCCATCTAGAGATGAACGAGGTTTGTAGAATCCTGTGCTTTCCTTTTTCCCTTTGGAACCATCTCAACACGGAGGTTCCGCCCATTTTAGCGCTTCAGTTTCTTCACCCGCGCCTCATTTTGGGTTGACGAGTTTGGGTGCTATCCAAGAGAAATGAGGAACAAACATACATTCAGCCAATGACATAGTCTAACAAACCCAACCCCGGTGGGAAGTATGTCATTCTGCAAAGTCTTCATGGACCCTGCAAACCATGTTCCTTCCGCCAATTTGCGATCCCTTCATGACTTCGAACCGAAACCCTAAGGCTCCTTGACAGAGGAACCGAAACTCGAAGGGGGATTTTTTGTGCCGCGCACCCGTTGAAATATGTCTAAGCCACTGCCAATAACCGCCAATTTGCGATCCCTTCATGACTTCGAACCGAAACCCTAAGGCTCCTTGACAGAGGAACCGAAACTCGAAGGGGGATTTTTTGTGCCGCGCACCCGTTGAAATATGTCTAAGCCACTGCCAATAATCCTCATCTTCGTGTCTCTTTCAAGGGATCCGCCAAGAAGACACAACTGGCTTCTTTCCCTGGTGCAGAATCAACAGCGGGGAAACTTGCCGCATCTAAACTGGACTGTCCTCACATCCCCTGCTAAAAGTTATTCACTTTGAGTGTTCCATGGAAACACCCACTAAACCCCTAAAAAGCGAAAAACCTCAAAAACCAGATGGCTGGTTGGTTTCACCAAGTAAGTAGAGAGCACAGAAAGTGGCAACCCCCCAAGACAAGAAACGACGATGTCCCAGGCATCATTGGACCCATGGGAGGAGAAGGGATCTTCAGATGTCGGTTGCCTCCATTCAAAACGTGGCAGCGACGAGAAAGTTCAGCTGAGAAGTTTGGTCGGACTTATCCCCTGCAATTGTTTGAAAGACAAACATGTTCCAGAAGGTTCTAACAGCAACGAGGTCAATCCGAAGAGAAACATGTCAAAAAGCACACAGACAAACAACCAACCACCAGGGAGGAAGCAATGCGCAAGTGCCCAATTTATAAGGAAAGAGGTTTAGAACCCTTTGAGGACTTCTTGTTTTGAAAACTCTACTGTTCTGCCCAAGCCATGCAACATGCCACCCCTCCAGCAACCAGCCGCCCGCACTTTTGGTTTTGGAGACCATCCGTGGTGAAAAGGTGCACCAGACAAAAAGTTCGGAGAGGTCACCCAAAACGACCGAAACCAGAAAGGCCTGTGCCGAACTCAGATTTGGAGCAAGAAAAAGCGAGCACAACATGACTCTGCAGTTCCCGTGGGCTTCTTTCAGGATCTGCAAGCTGCTGTGAACAGGCGGTTTACGTGGACCAAAATTGTCTATCCTTCTTTTTTCCCAAATCAAAAAGCGTTTCCCGGAACATACCCCAAACTTTGAGGGAAGACCTTCTGGCAAGAGAAATGTCAACTTTGTCTGCAGCACGACCCAAAAAATGACACGTGAGTTCTGTGGCTTCATTCAACATATCCTCTGTTTTGTTGGCTTCCCTTTTCAGAACTGGCCCCATTAGTCACCCCCGAGTGTTAGATTAAAGGGAAACCACCCCAGTTTTTGACGTTGATACCCCCAATAAACGGTCAAACACATAACAGTCAAACCAAAGCTCCAACTCCCAGAAATGGTCATCAGAAGGACCCCAGAAGTTCAAATTTGGCAAACATATGCGGCGCCCGCTGGGCAGCATCCCTTCGCTTCAGCCGGCCTTCGGACATCCCAAACCTGCGGCACGGGTTTCGTATATACATATGTATATCACTTCATATATATGTATGACGAATATACGTATATATCTATATATCAATAACAATATCAATACCAATAACAATAATAATAAACACATAATGAGTTGAATGGTTATTGATTCGGAGCCCCTTGTGGGCGATACCTCTTGATTATTGAACATCTAATGAAACAATGACTATTCAAAGTTGCCCTTTTCTGCTGGTATCTGCTTGGTTTCCCTTCAACACCAAAAAGCAAAAGAAGGGAACTCCATGTTCAAAACATAATTGTCTGTGGAGGAGACTTAAGCTTGACAGAGCATGACACGGATAACACAAAACACATTTGGCTGTTTAACCTAGTGCCAGATCAACGGTAATCCAAGTGGAAGGCACATTTTCAGATAGGGCCCCTGCCTCTTGGCAGCTTCGTTCTGGTTTCCCTTGGCTTCCATACAAAGCAAGGACTGGCTGTTAACATCGGGGTCACCTTTTTGGTCGCTTACTCGCAGTTTCCCTTAACCATCCAACCGGGGGGACTAAACAAAAAATCAACTAGGGAACCGGTGTTCCGTGGCTTCCGGTCAGCCGCTTTGGACGCGCTGTTCCGATCGCTCTATCTTTGTGAGCGCTTCTTAGCTTCCGTTTGAAACCAGCCAAAAGGAACTCCCTAATTGTAAAGATATAACCCTTTTCATGGATTCCGTTTGCTTCCCACTCAAATCATCCAGAACAATTGGGAACTCACTATTCACACAGAGGCATGTTCAGTGGCGATGTTGGGAAACAGCCAGGCTTTCGAGGATAGCCCTGCCCAACAACTTGAGCGCCCAACCAGGACTTGGTAAGCCTTGAGAACCACAGGAATTCTCGTCAAACAGAATGGCCATTTTGCTTGTTGAAACTCACTACCTGAGTAGATGGCCCAAAGAAGTCTGAACTGTGTGTTTAACACTGAAATGGTCTTCCCAAAAAGGTAAAGTCCAAGAACTCAGGAAGTGAGGAAACCCCTTGTTTGAGAAGTTCAGGTATGCCAATCCGTGACTCAGCTCGCACCGCACATTTTTTTGGGGGATAAACGGGAAAAGGCCCTGTCATGTCAGAGGACAAGAATAGCGGCAACATCTGAAAAACATCGAGTTCACAAGAATGTGCCACTTGCATGTTCAGTGCGGCCAAACACACCACCCTCCCAAACATATCTCCAGTTTTGGTCGGTTCTTTTTTGTCCCAGGACGTGGGGGTGGTTTGGTTGCGGGATCCTTTGGGGGTGTGATTTTTCTAGGGTAGAGGAAAGCAAGAACCGTTGTCCCAGTGGTGGGATTTCGAGAATATGATGACCTGCCTACGCTGAGTTGTTCGAATCAATCCTTCGGCCTTATGCCAGCTGGTATTGGTTTCCCTTGTTTTCGTGTCGCACTACGGATTAGGACTCACGACTTTGAAGCAAAAGCTCAGTTGCACCATTGAAGCCGCCGCAGTTCATGTTCTAGAATGCAGGTTCGTTTGACAAATGTAGGCCGAACTTCTTTTGAAAGGCTTCGTTGGTACACTTGGTGCTGATTGTCTGTGTTCGCTGAACTTTCTACCAGAGGGTTGATTCCAAGGCAGTTCTTGCCAAGCAGGACTGCTTTCAGGCTGTCTCTTCCCACTGGCTTTCATTCAGACTCTATAAAGAGTCATATCGAGAGTCAGAATCTGGGTACTTGACAACGCAGAGATTTGATTTCCCAAAAGGAGACCAACATCGTTGTTTGCTTCAATACTTTTTCACACACCGATTCAACACCCACGAATCACAAGCCTCTGTTCTGCTGTAGGTGATGTGATGAGGTTATTTGAGCTTATTTGGACTGCCAGCAGCGCGGAGCACTTGTTTTGCGTTGAGCTCCCCCTGTTTGCGGCGCCCTTCTGTCTGAGCAGCCCAACGAGGGTGGTGGTGGTGGTGGTGGTGGTGGTGGTGGTGGTGGTGGTGGTGGTGGTGGTGGTGGTGGTGGTGGTGGTGGTGGTGGTGGTGGTGGTGGTGGTGGTGGTGGCTTGAGAGGGGGACAACGTTGGCCGCCTTGAGTCATGACCGAAACCCGTCCCGGTTACAGGGCAACAATGCAAGGAAAACTGGTAGAAAGAACTACGAGCAGGCGACGAATCGCACATGGAATCGACATGGGCATGGGCATAAAAAAGTGCTACTTGGACGAAATCCATTTCGCACCACATGGGAAACCACTCTTTGTTGGTATATACAGGGGGGGGAATCCTCATTCCAGGCTTTCTGAAGCAGTTCTCGCAACCATCCGCGGTATGTCTAGGAACCAACGCCACACGCCACTTGGAAACCAACAGTTGGGGACACAACAAAAAAGAGTACAAACAACAAGACTCACTGGCTGAGTGGATGGCCCATAAAAAGTCCAAACTTTATATTTACCACTAAAATGGATTTCCCAAAAAGTTTAAAGTTCATGAACTCAGGAAGTGAGAAGATTTCAAGGCATGGAGATCCATGCTGTCTTGGATTTTTTCGCATCACAGGGAGACCCCCCGCCCAAGCCTTCGCAGTGTTGTCGAAGGATCCGGTGAGGATCTTGTCGCCATCAGTGTTGAAGTTCAGTGAAACTATCTCTGCCTCAAGTGAAACCTTCAAGGGACATGTGCGTGTCTTTTTGTTTGGGCTGTGCCACAGGGATCCGGATGCATGAAAAACACCCTTTATGTTGGTGTTGAAAAAGCAACATGTTTCAATTGGGCAAAATGTATCTTTTAAGGAGCCCTGTGCCAAAATAGTGGTTTTCCTGTTGGCGTCCATCTAAAAACCCAACCAAAACGTGGCTCCAAAAAACAGACCCACATGTCAAATCCCCTGCCAGTGGACCCAACAATGCCACGTGGATTTCCCAAACAGTCCAGTTAGCCGGGAAGTGAGTACTTTTCTTGGCCTTGCACCCAAAATTCGCCTCGGCCCCAAAGGGGCCAAGGGCGCTCAGATCTCTTCTCCAAAGAGAATCTTCGCTTTTCCCCTCCCCCAACCCTCCTGGGCCCCCCCCCCCCCCCCCCCAACACACATGTCGGCTGGACCCAAAAATTCCTGTCCGGCAGGAACACGGGCCTTGAAATTTTCCGGGGTTCGACGGACTCCCAGCTCCATGTGTTCCATTTATTTTGTCGAAAAAGAACCATGTTTCTGACCACGTGTAGCCAGGCTGCCCCCAGGCAGGTCAACCAGCAAAGGCTCAGGCCCAGCCCAACCAGCAACCCGCCTGCTTGCCAGGCCTGTCAGCCCCACCCAGCCTCAGGCCCAAGCTTGTCTGAAACAGGCCTACCAAGTCATCCAACAAGCCCAGCCCAGCGCCCAGCCCAGGCCCTAGGCCGGCCCCAAGGTCAGGTTTGTCTAACGCCAACGACCCAGTCTCACGTGTCTGAAAGAAACTGGTGCCAGCCACCAAGCCCGTCTGACGTGCCCCAGCCCCTCAGTCCGGCTGCCCAAGCAACTCAGCCCAGGCTGGCCAAGCCTTGACCTCCTGCTCGCGTCTGGCCCCAAGTCATCCAGCAGGCCCAGCCCCGTCTCAAAGTACGCCAGCCTAAGGCCTCAGGCCCAGCCCAGCCAACTCGCCACCCAGCCTCAGGCCCAAGTGTGTATGAAACAGGCCTTGCCCATCCAGCAACCCGCCCAAGCACAGCTCAGCCCAGCCCGCCCAGCCCAAGTTCCAGGCACATGCCAGCCACTACCGGCCCCCAGCTCCCAGCCGACCAGCAGGCTCAGCCCAGTGTGCCAAGGTCAGGTTTGTCTAACGTGTCTGAGAGTGGCCAACGACCAGTCTCACGTGTCTGAGACTGGTCTCAAGCTATGCCAGCTACTCAGCAGCCCAGGCTGACCAGGCCCCTTCGGCGCAGTCTGAGACTGGTCTCAAGGTACGCCAGCCTGAGACTTGCCTCAGGTTCAGTCCCTCAGCCTGCCTGCTGGCGTGTCTTACGTGTCTGCGACTGGCCTCAGGCCCAGCCTAGCCAGCAACTCGCTACCCAGCCTCAGCCCATCCAGCGACCCGCCCAAGCACAGCTCAGCCCAGCCAGCCGAAGTTCCAGGCGCAACCAACACCATAATCCAGCTGCCCAGCACCACCCATGGCTTCGCAGCCTCGTGGCTGAGACTAGCTTCAGGCCCAGCCCAACCAGCAACCCGCCTAAGCCAACCCCCCCCAAGCCCACCCGGTTTGAGACTCGCAGGCCTCAGCCTATCTAGCGCCGAGACTGGGCCTCACCAGCCTGGGCTCAACTATCGTCTAGCCCAGCCCAGTCCGCCTGCTGGCCAGGCCTGTCTGACGTGTCTGAAACTGGCCTCAGGCCCAGCCCAGCCATAGCCCAGCCCCCTCAGTGCGGCTGCCCAGCCCGCCGTAAACTAGCTTCAGCTCACCCAACAACCCACGCAAGCAAGGTCCAGCCAAGCTGCCCGAGACTAGCTTCAGGCCCAGCGCAGGCTTATCTGATGTGTCTGAGACTAGCCTGTGGCCCAGCCCAACCAGGCGAGGCCGGCTTGTCTGACTTGTCTGGAGCCAGCTTCAGGTATTCGGACCTTCCCAACACTGGATTTGTTCCTGACCCTTCCCTCAAACTAGGCTGGGCCGAGGCGGGCAACGCGAAGCGTTTACAATTACTGCGTTGCGGTTGGCTTGCCCTTTCTTTTTGTTCTTCTTCTTTTTTTCGGGGGGGGATTTCACTTCCCATAGATTCAAAGGCTCAACTTTGCAACTCGTGGCTTCCTCGCCACATGGGAGATGGAAGCCTCCAAGGTGTCTTCCCTAGCTTGGGCTCTCCATTGGAATCCACTAGAGAAATGGCAGGAGAATCGTCCAAACTCGGTTCCAAAACGCCTGGTTCCGGTAGGCAGCATGGGTAGGTCTTCGAATTGGAGCCATCCAAGTTGGTTTCAGTTGACGTGGCAACCCTCCCAGAGATTCCCACAGACCTTCGGAGGCCACGGGGGAAGGAACAATCATGGCCCTTTTGTTGGGAACCCAACAAAATGCCTTTGATTATGGTGGGCGTGTGGGTTCCGTGTTAACTGGAGGGGAATTCGTGGTATTGAAGGGAAACCCTGTGAAATCCCAACAGCCCCGCAACCCCCTGAAACCCTCCAGAACCCTCCCTGAAGGCTGCCCAAAACCACCCCAAGACCTGGGCGCAAACTAAGGCGCCGGCCGAGTGACCTTCCAGCGAGGCAATCTGCTGTCCGGTCTCCACCTGCCCAATGAGGGAACCCATGGATGGATGGGCACAAACGGAACCACTAATGAAACTGCAACATCTAGAATGGGCGGGGTCCCTGTAGTTTTCCTTTTACGACCACACAAAAAAGAAAACCGAAATGAGCGGTTTTTTGTGGATGTTGCTAACATGGGCAAGAAGATAAGCCGCGAGGCAAGCGTGTTCCACCCAGCAGTGAGCGCCAGGGCTCTCTTGAATCCCAGCTATGATTTCTGCTGACCCAGGAGAAAAGCCCTCAGTGTGGAAATTATCGAGGGGCGCTCCGGAAACTTTCCGTGAAGATATCCGGCGATCCCAAAGAAGCGAAGGGACAGGTTGTCATAGAACTTGTCCGTTCGGACCCCCCAAACAAAACATGGTCTGTGTTACTCAGTTTCAAAGTGGTTTGTTTGGGGGAGGGGTGTTTGGGGCCTCTTTCAGGAGGTTATTGTCGATACCTTTCCTTTCGGCTCGCCCCCCAGTTTTGACCCTGGGTAAGTTTTCCCATTTGGGACATATCAGCTTCGTGGTCTTCCAACCAACGGTCATCCCATGTAGCACGGACCATTTGATCGACCCCATATTCCAAACTCTCCTTTGATCCACAAAAAGCCCGAAGGACCCCCGCAAGGTCCGTACATGCATCACACTTCCCAACCACCCGCTGTGTGAGCACAACCCTTTGCTCTTTGCAGCCCCACGCAGCAAAACACGCTGCAGTTGAGAGACGTCTCCGGGGTCGAGCCAACCTCGTAATGATATCCAAAGGAACCCCCCATCCCTGCTTCAGAGCGAGATCTCCTTGAAGGGGAACCAAACAACACGCAGAATTGCTTGCTTCGTGGAATTGCTGGCCCGTAGCATGGGCCCGGTGGGCCCGGTCGCACCATTGGCTTGGCTTTGGGTCTGTCCCAACAGAATGAGAAGGTGTGTGCCAAATTCCCATCAGAATCGGGCAAGGAGTGGACTGGCCAAAAAAAGTCCTGGAACGCGCTATTTGCCACTAAAATGGCCCACACACAAAAAGCAACTAAAAGTCCAACTCACATAGTCCGAGCCCAAAAAACGCGACTAAAGTCCATGAGCTCGGGGAGCGAGCTATTGAGCTTCATGGCCCTCCCATCTCTCGACTCGCGACTCGATCTCGCTCGCGCGTCCCAGAGCTTGGCGGTGTTGTCCATGGACCCCGTGGCCACATGGCTGCCCTGGCGTCCGAGGGGCGAACCAACGTACCCTCGGTGCCATGAGGGTCTGACGTTTCGGACAATAGGTCCTCCAGTTTTGGGAGGAGTTAGAATAGGGGTACCAACTTAGGTGTCCGACACGCCGAGCAATGTCGGCGGATATGGTTTTGATTTCGAAGAATTGGTTCCCTGTTTCCACCGTTGGTTGCAGCCCAAATGGATTCGTCTTTTTTTTTGGGGGGACCCCCCAAATTGGTGGTTTTCCTTGAAACCGACCCCAAAAAGGGTGCTCTCAAAAAAGACGGACGCATTTGGATTTGTCAAGCGCAGCCCCAGAAGGAGTATTTTCCTTCGTGTCCCCCAACATCGAACAAACCGAAGGCTCCGTTGTCAAGGAACCATGTTGTCTTCCAGGACCTATTGTCCCTAGGTTCCCCAGTAGTGCCTTTTTACCCTTTTCTGGGGGAGGGTTCCCCTACTGAAATGGACTACGGGCCCAACCCCCCCCCCGCCCGACGTCTGACACGTGGGGGGGGGGGGGGCAGACCTTGCAGCGTGTGCCCTTGGAAGAGGAGGAAGCGGCAGAAGAAGCATGCGCGGCTGTGCCAAGAACTTTGGAAGATATCTTGGAAAAGCTGCGCGATGTGCCCCTCCGACGCCTTGCGCGTCTTCTACCACACATCAAGAGCTTCTGCTCACAACTCAGAGAAGACGAGGCCGTCCTCAGCAAGGATGCAATCAGACGGCCTTCCAGGAAGCTTCTGAACAAATGGACTTTCATTACCCGGCAATTAGCTTTGGCGCGGCAGAACGCCGCCTTCCGAGGTGAGAAAGTGGCACGGGCAGTAGCTTGGAGCAGGGCCTGCGGTGAAGCCATCCAGCGTGCCAGCGAGGTGGACGAAGGCGATGGCCGCTTTGCGCCGGTTCAATCATTTAGGCTAATGTCTTCCGAAAAGCTGCAAGTCATTCTGTACAAGTACAAAATAAAGGATGGCCTTCTCGAAGTGGGCTTGGGCTTGGTGGAGTGCCTTTGGCGTGGCGCTGTATGCCAGAGCAAAAGCGGCTCACGGCGTACGAAGCAAGGCAAACTTATGCCTTGCCAGCTCTTTGCTTCTGGAACAGAGGTGGTGCACGTCAAGCGGATGGCTCCCTTGAGTCGGTCGGATCGAACCTGGTGTGTCACGTGTCTCAGCGAGGTTGACATCCTGCAGCCTGCAGAGTCTGTGTTGGGAGAGCTTACCCAGGCAAGCAGCGGAAAAGTATCGGCTAGATTTACATAAGATGGCGCAGGGTCTATTAGCAAGACATAAGAATGAAGACATAGGTATAGGGGGGTTTTGCTACGTTTTTCCCCAAACAGCGAAGCATTGGGGTTCTAACTTGAGGTATAGAGAATGGGAAAGTGTGACGCCGGTTCCGGGGTCCTGTTTTCCGCTTGTCTTCCTGTCTCCCAGTCTCTCCGGTCAGATGCCAGATGCTGTGACGCTGGCTCCAGGGTCGTTTCCCCGCTTGTATCCCTGTGTCTCCCAGTCTCTGCGGTCAGATGCCAGATGCTGTGGCGCCGGCTCCGGGGTCGTGTCTCCCGCTTGTCTCCCTGTGTCTCCAGTCTCCGCGGTCGGCTCCGGGTTTGTGTCTCCCGCTAGTCTGCCTGTGTCTCCCAGTCTCTGCGGTCAGATGCCAGATGCAGTGACGCTGGCTCCAGGGTCATGTCTCCCGCTTGTCTCCCTGCGTCTTCCAGTCTCTGCCAGATGCTGTGACGCTCGTGTCTCCCACTCCCTGTCCAGATAGATGCTGTGACGCTGGCTCCGGGCGTGTCTCGCAGTCTCTGCGGGCAGATGCCAGATGCTGTGACGCTGGCTCCGGGGTGGTGTCTCCCGTCTTTCTGTGTCTCCCAGTCTCTGCGGGGATGCCAGATGCTGTGACGGCTCCGGGGCGTGTCTCCCGCTTGTCTCCCAGTGTTTGAGATGCTGTGACGCTGGCTCCGTCGTGTCTCCCGCTTGTCTTCCTGTGTCTGGATGCCAGATGCTGTGACGCCGGCTCCGGGGTCGTGTCTCCCGCTTGTCTTTCTGTGTCTCCCAGTCTCTGCGGTCAGATGCCAGATGCTGTGACGCTGGCTCCTGGTTCGTGTCTCCCGCTTGTCTCCCAGTCTCTGCGGTCGATGCGCTTGCTTGGCATCCGGTAACCGGCGTTCGGCTCCCTTCAGCTCTCTTCGGCAGCAGCTCGCAAGCGCAATTGAGAAGCATCAAGCTAGAAACATAGATTCGACAAGTCAGCAGGAACCACTTGCAACAATGTTTCGCAACGGGGAAAGGGCATGTCGCAGATTTTGCTGTTAGCCTGTGTGCAAAGCATCCTTGTGGAGCATCGTTGGAGCTAGAAGCAAGTACTGTCGAGCCTTAAATATGTCTTTCTTCGGGATAAACATCTCGTCGTGCCTCCGGCTGATTCTGAGCTTCTTTTTAGAAGCCAGTGCCGCACTTCTTGGCCAACTGCAGGTTTGCATCTTTGCGGCGGACCAGCAGGGCCTGTCGAGCCTTAAACATGTTTCTCGATGAAAAACAAATATATAGTGACATGCGGCTGATTGCTTTGCTCGGGACACTGGGCTGCTTTTTGGAAGCCAGCGCCGCACTTCTTGGCCAAGTGCAGGTTTGCATCCTTGTGGCGCATCAGCAGAGCCCTGGCGAGCCTTCAATATTTAGACTTTGGTTTTGATAGACAAATACGGCTGACACCGAGCTGCTTTGTGGAAGCCAGTGCCGCACTTCTTGGTCAAGTGCAAGTTTCTTAAATGTGTCCATTTTCTCGAACAACAAATATACTGTCACATCCGCATGATTGCTTTACTCAGAATTTTGAGCTGGCTTTTTGGAAACCAGTGCCGCACTTCTTGGTCAAGTGCAGGTTTGCATCCTTGTGGCGCATCAGCTGAGCCCTGGCGAGCCTTAAATATTTAGACTTTGGTTTCGATAGACAAATACGGCTGACACCGAGCTGCTTTGTGGATAGCCAGCGCCGCACTTCTTGGTCAAGTGCAAGTTTCTTAAATGTGTCCATTTTCTCGAAAAACAAATATACTGTCACATCCGCACGATTGCTTTACTCAGAATTTTGAGCTGGCTTTTTGGAAACCAGTGCCGCACTTCTTGGTCAAGCGCAGGTTTGCATCCTTGTGGCGCACCAGCAGAGCCCAGCCAAGTGGCCTTAAGTGACTGGTATGCATCCTTGTGGCGCATCAGCAGAGCCCAGCGTTTGCATCCTTGTGGCACAGCCTTAACTGACTGGTTTGCATCCTCGTGGCGCATCAGAGCCCCGGCCAGGCGGGCTTAACTGACTCGACGGCAGAGACACACTTAGCGCTGTCGGACTTCTGGCGGGGACAAGGTGTAAGAAGCGGTTTCTTGACATGTTTTCCTGTTGGCACTTTTCCGGTTGTTTCCTTCTAACAAGAAAATCGCTTGGATCCTGAAAGCATTTGTGCAGATTTGCGAGTGCTGGTGCGCAGGTGGAGAAGTGGCAGACAATTGAGGGTTTAGGGGCTAAGCACAATGCATTTGGCTTGGACTTTTGCTAGCAAGTAGCACCAGCAAGTGGCGCTAGCAAGTTGTAGTAGTGAGTTGCGCTTGGAAGCTGCAGTGTGTTGCGGCAAGCGCTGCGCGCAGAGAGCTTGCTCAGACAACTTGTTGCTTGGAGAACTTGCTCAAAGGAACCCTGTGTTGCGGCAAGCGCTGCGCGCAGAGAGCTTGCTCAGACAACTTGTTGCTTGGAGAACTTGCTCAAAGGAACCCTTCCTCAGAGGAACTTGCGCAAGAACTTGCTAGGATTACTTGGCGCCCTGCGCTGCTCATGCTTTCGGGCCACCCATCTTCTAGTCTCCTCTTGGTGGCATCACTGTAGTTCGAGCACCCTTTCTTGTTGGCAGTGCTGTTGTAAACCTTGCCTCCTATCTTGTTGCCAGTATTTAGCACCTTCTCAGTTGGATAGCCATGTGGCCCGGCCAAAATCATATCCAGTCTTTCGCTTCGCTAGCTGGTCCTGCAACGCTTTTTCCTCATTGCAACCTACGTAATCCAGTCCCACTGGCAAACGCATTTTGCTGAAGCATGTCACACCTTCGTATGCCAAGGTCGCAGCTTTGACATATCTCGTTGCCTCCTGACAGAAGGGTTGAAGACAGATTTCTCAGCCTTGTTTTCCACATATTCCGCAATATGGACGCTGCTGTTTTGCACGTGTCCGAAAGTGCCGCGGGCTTGCAAGCGTGAGGGCTCGAGGGTGTTCATGGCGCTTGTGCTAGCCTCCCGCAGTGAGTTTTTTTGGAAATCCGAGCAATTCCATTTCAGTCTCGCAATCAACGTTCTTTTCCGAGATCTCGACTTGAATTTGGCAGCTCCGGGCGAGATTCTGAGTTACTTGCTCGCAGCATACGTGGCTGGTCGGGAAACCAAGCTGGAGGGATATGCTGATAGCATCAAGACCATCGCTCACCGAAGCAACACGTGCTACAGACATGGCCCATCCATTTCTTCTTTGACGACACAGCTTCGCCTCCACTACGCCTTGAACATCGATTCCGACCCGTTCAAGCAAAAGGTTTCGGTGCTGCTGGACACTCTGCGTGCGTGGCGAACTCCCCAGCAACATTACGGAATGGCGGCTCTGGTGCTCAATGTGGTGATTGCAACAAGGACGCACAGTCATGGCCATGTTTCGACACATGTTCGGTGGCTGTATAATCTAATAAGAGTTGCTATCGCCGCCGCCGTGTTTCTTTTTGGGGTCCCATCAACAAGAGCCGTTTTGCAAATCGCAGAGGGGCTTCCTCGCTTGCTTGCTCTTAAGATCTGGTCCTATCGCAGAGAGGGACGAGCGAACACACAGTCAAGCAGGCGTGCTTATCATCTTGTTTCATCGTCAGAGGGGGTCCGAGCTCCAAGGTTTTTCTGACCGGTTTTCAGAAAGAATTGTCCTGGAAGTAAAGCCTGGGTGAGTCGGGT